TGGGGAGAATGAAAAAAAGGTTAACGAGATCCGACAACCCGAACGTAAAAATCTTCACAGATTGCACACTAAAATTACTTGAGAATCATGCCATGATCTTATTTTGACCAATCAAAGACTTCTAGATTGACAAATCTTACCAATGCTTTGTCCAGTTTATGTAAGTTAAAGTCTGTTCTGCTAAATAGCTTGATACCGACAGTAACTCCATAATTTTCTATTTTTACTGTAACACTTGATTATTCAAACCAGCAGCAGCAGGTACAAACTACAAATAATGTGATCTTGTTACAGTCTATTACTTATGTATGCATACATCAAATAGAGTTATGATGTCGATTACGCACCGTAAACTGGGGCCGCTAACGATATTGATATTTCTCATTTACGCTCACTCAATCATTCATCCATTTCATATGCAGGCAGGCTTTGATAATAAAAGTTAATAGAACATTTAGGCAAGAATAACACCTTCAGCCGACCAATCCAAATTCATCTCATCCATCTGCTTCAATTCTTCATGGTTCCATTTCATCATCACGCATATAATAATAGCCAAACAACTGACGTCCATCTAATCCAATCCCATTGATGGAAGGAATGGTTCTTCAACAAAAAGGCCGAACTGACCTGGAGCGTCGAGGTCTTGTTGTTACGCTTATTAATCATTCAGCATTTATATGAAGAGTACAATTACTCATTAAGATGATGCCCCAGTTTTATGTACGAGGGTGGAATCAGACTCGTTCATATTAAGCAATTCGAATGGACAGAGCTTCAAAATGTGGGTCGGAGCTATTGGACGGACATTGGAAATGTGAAGCAGATATTTTCGAGTGTTTGAATAAAATTCGCCACGCTCCATAAAAATCATTACCTTGACCAATCACCTCTTCAAGTTTTCATTTCCAGAAATCCAGCTGCTGCTCATTTGGACAGATTTGTTTCCTTTATTTGTTATATTGTGGGTGGGTGGGACACATTAGTTTTCATTTTTGCTAAGGGATGGTTTTCAGTTGTCGATGCCAATTATTTTTAATTTGGGAGTATATATTTTCGAACATTAGTATTTGGGTGGTAAATAGGTGGTCACATTAAAACGCACATTGAATTAGACAAACTCCACGCGAACCAAAAGCCTAACACAGGGCTTAATTACGGATGGGAGAACCTATGAAAAAGTACTTTTGGCTTATCTTGGAATCTCACTCACTCTCACTCACTCGATCTCTGACATAATGGATTACGATTACTAGTGATTAAAAAAAATACCCGTACTATTAAGTTCAAGTCGGTCTTAAAATATTTCCAGTCCACTCTCTCTCCTCGACTATAAGTCAGTCGGTCAGGTATTTTGCCTTGCCTTTTATAAAGTCCGACATCCGACTGTGATCTGAGAAGGAAAAGCTATTCAAATCCCTTGCAGTACAATTAATTATGACTGGGCAGTTAATGATGGTGATAACTGCATGAGACGGAGATGGAGATAAGATCACATTAATACCTACCACACCACAACATTGCATCCTACCCTATCTATCCATCACCATCACTCCATCGTCCAGGTCAATCAGTCAGACAACCCTTAATTTATCAAAATCTCCAGTTCCTAATCGGGAATCTGGATCAGGCAGGAATGGAAATGTAAAGAAGCATGTAATGAATAATGTAATTGTTGATGAGAGTCAAAATGCGCCCACCTAATGTGATTAAAGGGAATGACAAGAATCCTTTTGTTTTTCTCTCCCATTTGTGTCAAGCTCACGGGGGGATAGGCATCTGTTACCTGGTCCAGGCTTCAGGATTAATTTAAACTCAATCCAAAATAATAATCCATTAGATGTACATACATTGAGTTTTATATCGTCTTCTTGAAGACGATTTTAATAGAATACACACATTATTATGGGACGATTGCTTTCAAGTCTGACCATTTTTGGTGGGATGGTCAGTTGCCGACGAGAAGAACGATGCCCTAAATCTGAGAACTGGACGAGTGGCCTGTCAGCCTTTTACCTGATCGTTTTCTTTGAAATTTCAATTTGATTACGGTTAATACATGGTAATAATGATCATTCAGGTTAAATCTCACCGAAATTCAGCAGCAACTGGGCAGGTGAAGCGACTTATTTTATTTTACAAAGTTGGACATGGGAATGCTGCCCCATCAAAGAAAATTGTGACCAACTTAGCGTACATATTATGGCCAAATTAAAAGTATTAACATTTCACTTATGTATGCCACCCTATAAAAATCGTATCATTTAGATGCGTTAAATATTACCTTGCATGGATGTGGGTAAGCTTTTTGATAAAATTAATTATACATCATGGATTGTGCAATGGTACGTATAAAGGATTTCCAGGCGTTCTCATCACTTTTTTTGTTATGCATCACATAACAGAAAAAAATAATCGAGTTGGTTCATTATACAAGTTCTGTACTAACTTTTAATTAATGATAGTACGGATATGTCAATATCATTTTTAACCTGAACAAGGGCTTACGTGACCCTTCTGTCCGACCGACTGTACGTAGGTATGTGATGATGGAAATAGTAGTTGGGTCAATTCGGACAAAAATTTAGAAAAGCACTCTCTCGCCGAGTCGGGCTAAATGAAGTCTGCACTGTAAGGTTTTTGAATAATAGATGCATTGAAATGATGGTCTGAATTTTAATTCTCGCATGAGAACATCTCAAAGTGAGTTTGATTGGAGTCACTGAGTTAATTTAATTAAATCAACGTTTTTTAAGTACCTGTCGACTTGTCAGTTGGTATGAAGTGGCAAACTATACAAGTCAACTTTTAAGTATTATGAAATTATGACATGACAAGAGTTTATTTAAATGTAAACGTTTATTCGGTACTCAAAAACACGAGTATGCATGAGCATAAAAATAGAGAGGTTTTAATAATGATATTTAAAAATCAAATTTTTCAATAAAAGCACTGTTTTCTTCAAGTGAGTATGTAATTTAAGTTTTAAATTAATATTACCATCGTGGCTGACAGCGTGGCTTGTAGTGTGAATTGAATTCTACTCCGGAAATCAAATAAATCAAATGGGATGAAATCTATCTACTAAACAGATATAAGAAACTAGCGGTAGAGCTATGTATAACTTTCCAACGACGACACCAACGGTAACTCTCAGGTTTATAAGAATCTCGCAGTTATGATGACATGGGACGAAATCCAGGAGATGCCGTCAACAAAATTTTGTGGCATTTTATCGTGATAATGACCTACAGAGAAATTCTTTGTCAGTGGTCATTTTCATATCTTGCTAATATGTGATAAAGAAAATAAGTTCAAGATGTTGTATACTTCAGGATGGTAAACAGACTGACAGAACATTCACATAAAGTAGCTATCCCTAAGCATACTAATTTCTTTGAAATATGCACATGAATGGCACGCACAATACTGGATCAAAGGTATTTGGGGTAAGAGTGAAAGGAAGTTGAGAATCATATGCGATTTCGAGTTGGAAACGAATCTAAAACGGGAAAAGACTTGATGGAATCTCTGTTGTATGTTATTGAAATGGAAACCCATCATCTTTTCAACTTCTTATCACTCTCGCACCATGAAACACCACACATCAACAGGAAATAAGTACGGAGACAAGTGAGGTGAAAGCAAGATCTCTTTGTTGGAATAAATCACATAGCAATTTCTATATATGTGCTCAATACATATGCTTAACTGAATTCTGAACATCTGTAAAAAATGGATCAATCATTCCAGGAAACGAAGTCAATTTTACGTCAAGTTTTCAGATTTCACTCAGTTTTATTCTATTTTATTCTCACCTCTGGTGACGTCAGGTGTAAAGAATTTATCATGACTAGAACAAGATTAAAATGGATTTCACATTGTCCACTAGGAACTAATTTACTCCTTTATTACTTAAATAACTGGAGAAAGCCTCTCGGGTTTTCCATATTCCGTTCATATTTTCACCCCACGTTCATCATTTGCATTTTACTTACGCAATAATAACGCACAAGTCGTACCATACCATATGCATACCGAGACAGACTTTCTCCACCTCGATTTCTTGTTTGCATACAAATAAGGATAAAGTACTTCACCCTCTCTTTGCAGAAGAGGGAGGGAAAGTAGAGTAAACAGAGTTTGGTAATGCTATTAGTGTTATGAATGAGATGTGAAAAGCAAGCTCATAATTATTCCATGTCAGACGTGTATGTGTTGTGTGTTTGTCATGTGCGAGAGCATTGTATGGTTCGCTTATTCCTTTCACATTAAAATTTATTTTAATTCCGTACTCCTTTCACTGGGAGAAAGCTGATGCGTGCGTGTATATAAATGGGGAAGAAGGGCTCTAAATTCTTTTGAAGGCGTTAGAAATCCTATTACTCAAGAAGTATAAATATTTGCGTGAAATGCCGACATAAATTGTGGAAGACTTTAGCAGCTGCATATGTATGGAAGGATGGAATGATGGAATACCAATACCACCCCTCTCGATGCAAGTATAATCCTAAATAGTATGTTGAGTATGTTGATTTTAGTATTTAGCAAAGAAACCCAAACAAATGATGTCGCATACATTACATAAATTTGGATTGTTTGCATTCACTTCCTTCCGGTCTGCTAAAGCATGAATACAATCAGTGGCCGCGATGCGTGGGGACAGAGGGAAAATGTCCTATTCGATGTCCCCATAATCTGCCCATGTTGTATAATTCCCTCCCTCCCCTATTCTACAATGTTAGTGTCCCCACATGTCCCCACGGCTTCCGCGGCCACTGAATACAATGGTTGTGGTCAGGGAGGGAAAGTGTCTATCGAGAATCTGGGTTTCCCTGATGAAAAGCTTAGGATTAGTTTGAGAAGATTTGAGATGAGATGAGACTTCTTGAGATGAGATGAGATCCAGTTCTACTTTGAATCCCTCGTTTCCATCTGTATGATTTCGTACGTACTGGCGAAAATGTAGCGGGATCGATCCTTCAACAACTTTCATTTTTCATCAAACAGTTTTTGTCATACAGTTGGTTGTTTTTCCAAACTTCGTTGTTTAATACGCCGCTCATTTACCATTTTAATTTAAACCGTTTAATTCTATTTCCCTTTCCGTTTAGGGAACGGTTTACGTAACAATAACACTTTTTAAAACTGCAGATTTTAAGGTTATCATTTACTTTAATCGTTGTAATACGAGTGAAAGTGATGACAGAGCTATAGCGCGGCAAACATTCAGTGCAGCTTACAAAACATCGCAAATAATTTACGCTTATTAAAGAATTTTGTTAAAAGACTTGTTACTCATTGAAAAACGGTTTGCATAGTGTCTTCTAGTCAGTACTTTAGTAATTGTTTACCATTCTGTGATACCACTGGATTGGAGTTAGGAAAAGTATGGCGACGGACGGCGCCAATGGAAGGTCAAGCCATCAGATAAGCATTAGCGGGAAGGGTGGTCCCGGCAGCTCTGCAATCTGCTCCCTTACTAATGGCAACAATGACCACGATTCAGATGTGGGGTCCGAAGAAGAGATGGAACATGTAAGGAAGGAAGGAGTAGTAGTAAAATACTTTATGACATCAAATATTACGCAAGTCTTTAGATATGATACTTACAAGTTGTTAGCTGAACTTATGCAATTAATTAAATTGAATACCGTTACGATCCGTATGTGTGTAGTCGCAACTATTTGACTTTGAACTTGAATATTTTAGGACGGTTCATCTACCTGCGGCAGTGCATCAGCCGTGACGATAAGTACAAATGCGACGAGTAGGTCAAATACCCCCCTGAGCCACCAAGATGGCCCTATAAGAAAATCCGGGGGAAATAATCGTAAAAGGAAACGTCCAGGTAGAACTACAGGGAAGAAACAACCCTTGCCAAAAGGGAAATATACATATGTGTAAGGTTTTGTACCCCCAAGTCATGTATTTGATCTGGCCAAATTATTAATTGAGTAGTAGTTGTCAGTCAGTAAATATGATTTTTACTGTATATTACTGCCTTCAACTGCAACGAAAAGTAGATGTACTTTAATTAATTGAAATGAGCTAGTGATGTATTTTGTAATGTGATTTTCAAGTAATTTGGCCAGGTACTTGTATATATTAGTGTAATTACACGTTCTAAATTCTGCAGGTGTCACATTAAAGAAGACCACGGACAGCCAATCTTTGGGTGTCAGTTTCATATTAACCTGAAGGATGGTCAGAATATTTTGGCTACGGTGGGAAGCAAAAGGGTCTCTATTTATGAATGCCCAAAGGGTGGAGCTTTTGTCTTAACTCAAGTGTATGAAGACCCTGATGTAAGTTTTTTCCACTAGCTTACAATGTTAACCCTTGTTAACTTCCTCTTTACTTGTTGTTTTAGTCCGATGAAAATTTTTACACGTGCGCATGGACGGATGACGCATCTGGAAACCCATTACTTGCCGCTGCTGGAGCGCGAGGAATTATACGCATATTTTCCCCAGGGACTGGTACATGTATCAAGCATTACCTCGGGCATGGTCATGCCATCAATGATCTTATATTCCATCCCAAGGACCCTAATTTATTATTATCTGCGTCAAAAGTATGAATTTCAAACAATTGATCAATGAAGATGTAAACAAATAAATCAAAATTATCGTACTTGATAGGACCACTCGTTACGCTTGTGGAATATCAAGACAGATTTTTGTGTCGTCATTTTTGGAGGGGTTGAAGGGCACCGAGATGAAGTATTGGCCGCCGATATAGATATAACTGGATCACGTTTAGTGTCATGTGGGATGGACCATTCCTTAAAAGTTTGGAAATTGGACAAGCCTGAAATAGAGGAGGCAATCTTGTCATCCTACATCTACCACCCGAAAAACTCCAAGTATGTCTATACTAAGGAGTTATTCTAGAAGACTGACAATGAGTTAATGAAATATATAGATAAACTGCAATATCTTATAACCCTACAGACCATTCCCCACCATGAAGCAAAATTTTCCGGATTTTTCAACAAGGGATGTCCACAGAAACTATGTGGACTGCACAAAGTGGTTCGGAGATTTCATATTTTCAAAAGTAATGCACAGCTTTAATCGACAACTGCATATGTATCATTTCTATCTGCAAACTACCAGAATAATAAGTATTTCGTCATATTATAGTCTTGCGAAGATCAAGTGGTGTGTTGGAAAGCTGGGAAGACTTTTCAAACGTGGGATGATGTTCACCTCAATACCACCGAGGCGTCGTAAGTTCCGTTTCGAACTAAAATATGAATTCAACTCAATCACAGAGTCTGCATTTACATTGTTATTATTTTGCTAAATAGAATCATCACAAGGTTGGATATCAAAGATTGCGACATCTGGTTTATTAGATTTTCTTTCGACTATTCCAAGAAGAGTATGGCCCTAGGTAATAAAAGTGGAAAAACGTTCATTTATAATTTAGATGTGGTAGAACCAAGCTTGATAAAAGCCAGTATTTTAACCCATCCAAAATGCGTTACTGCTATCCGACAAACGGCATTGTCGAGAGATGCGTCAATTTTAATTTGCGTTTGCGACGATGGGACCGTTTGGAGATGGGATATAAATAAGGAACATAGGGAAGACATTATTGAGAAATAATGGTATTCGGTGTGTGTTTGTAATAATTGGAAAATCGGAGTACGGCAAAAATGATATGCCATAACGAACTTTGTTTAATTTGTTTTTATACTTGTGTCCATTTTTAGCCAAATTTATTTTCAAAGGTTTATAGCTTCATGTAGTAATACGACATGGACACATAATGTTATACACATGTTAATTAAATTATAAATTACATAGATTTACAATACTTTTATCTATCTAAAAGGTCTCAATGTAAAAAAATAAACTAGACGGATGAATTACCTACTAATTATTAAAAATTTGTCTTTCGGCAAACGCACATGTTAATAAGTCCATAATCTTTGGTTGTTTGAACGCATAGCACCCCCGTTGTAAATGTCCGTCCATTTTGAGAGACTGTGTTTTGGCAACTTTCTTTGCAAAAAATACTTTGTTTGCAATCTGCGGTAGTGGTTACCCCAAACTTATTTTGCAGAGTCTAATAGAAATATAAGTTACTTTCTATGATATCTATTACTTTATTCGACAAGGAATTCTATGTACGTATATTTGTAAGAACATACCTGTTTTTCATTGATAGTGGTGACCGACGAATATTTGTCATTGGTGTCACAGACGCAGAGATCATCGTCGACACAGGTTGGTTCCGAGTGGGAGGAACAGATCCTTAAACACTTGGAGTACGAATAAGGGTAATACGTCTGACAAAATGTGACATCTGCGCTTATATCATCATAATTGATTACGGGTCTCAGTTCGACATCATTGTCTGATCCATGCGTAAAAATTAGGGTGAATTTGAGGATCAGAATAATAATGCCTGCTGTGACATATATTAATTCATGGATTAGTCGGTTCAAAATAAATTGTAAATTTTGTTACGCTCTTTTAAACACTTACCTTGAAGATGTGACATTTTCTGGGCAAGATCAAGGTTGCAGATTCACAAGACTTACAGCCACAATAATGGTGTAAATAACTCATGTATTTAAAATGGAGACGAACACCATTTTGTGGCAGGTTCATTTAAAACGGGGTACTAAAATCAGGTACTTCCGAAAATAGAACTGACCTAAGGCATGTGGTCAGTCCATGTTAAGGGCTATCTTAGGCTCAATCTACATAATGTATATTGCCCTCAAACCCAATCATACATTCCAAAATGACTTAATTTTACTGTACTTAAAAGCCCTACATTCTTGAAGCCCTGTTTGCATGTGCCTATTTACACGGCCTACACTTCCTTGTCTACTGTCACTGTCAGAAGCTTATACAAACTGCGTTCTGTTTGTATAACAGATTCGGTAATTAATAAGATAAAGATTACTGAATTCATAAAGTAAAGAAATAAGAATGTGTTTGGCCTTACTGAATAAATGCTATCGAATTTGACATGATCTAAAATCTCAACTTTATTCCATAATTATGGCCTTTATTACCTAACTTTTTCATGCATATTATTGCATGAACTCCATGAACTTGATCAGCAGAGACTGACATTGATGGCAAGGTCACCTTGTTGAAAAGTTTTATAATGTGAAGGGTGTGTTTCTTAAAATGGTGCATTTGAACTTTTTGAAGGTTCTTCTGTCTAATGTACTTTCCGAAAGTCTCGAGAAAACAAAATTACTTAGAAAGAGAGATTGCCATTGTCATTATGGGATCGAATAACCTTGCAAATATGGTTTCCTATAAAAGGCATTCACTCAAAGGATGGGATGGTTAGTTGCATTAAAAATCTTGACAAAGTTTGTGAGACTTGGAGAAAGTGGGAAAATGAGACGGGTAAGACATTGCAACTGCCTTCTTTTCAATTAAAATTGGTTATTTTCCATATTACAAGTTAATTGTACACACTTTTAGAATATTTTGATCGGTGTCATCTTCACTGTCTTGATCACTGAGGCATTTGCTCAGTATGGAATCCCGGATGATGACGATGAGGTCCCCAGAGCTCGATCAATGCCGGCTGGTAACCACCGAATGAGGAAAAGCGTGTCCCTTGTGGAAGAAGAGGATACTTTCGGCCCCAGCATTTTCCAGATTTCTTCACGATCTGATCCTTTGAAAAATATGGAGAAAGTAAAAATGTTTGCGTCCAGCCCGGTTTTCACGAGCCAAGGAACTTTTGAAATCAAGAAAGCAATTCCCATCGTGAAATTCAAATTCATGGACGATCATTTGGGGAGATACAACTTTGAGTAATTGAGAGCATGACTTATTACTCCTCAATAATTTGTATAAAAAAATCTATAGTTTTTTAATTATAATTTTTCAGAACCATTTCTGGCGATGGGACATCTCAGAAGAGAGAAGGATCCTTAAAGAAGCTGAAAGAAGGGACGGGAAGTGTTATGCAGGGCTCATATGAGTACGTTGGAGATGATGGAAAGACGTACTCTGTTAGTTGGAAAGCCGACGGTGAGATTTGTGAATTTTGTGATATTACCAAAAATAACTAAATATGTAAGTATTTATGGTGTCGTGTCATTTATTTCAGAGGATGGATTCCAAGCATCGGGGGCTCACTTACTAACAAAATAATTGAAACTAATAGTTGAAATACTTCTTAATTGTGATACGATGTATTCATGAGACTTTTGTTACTGTGATTTGCATGGATTTTACTTCTGGGTTATTAGGACACGAAAAAAGTTCAATAAATAAGCTCTTTATGTTTTGCACAATTTTTGTAACCGCAATGAGAGTAAATTTCACAATGACGACGAACTAACCACAAAATGTACCTACGTACTCTGGACAAACCAAGAATTTCGAAACGAATGACGAACTGATGTACTTAATTTTAAAATTTTACGGCATTGCAGATTAACAACTGGCACCAACATTGTCTTGTTCTATCGGTCATCGGGTCCTCAGATCTTCGTAATTTAACATGCATTGTGACATTCTTAACAAAATTGATCTTCAATCTTTAGTAAAATGGATCGGGAAATCGGACGTGGTAATTTAAAAAATCAACCAATTTCTGAAATTAAACTTATATAGATACGTACATATACAGGCAGTCCAAATAGTTGGTATTATCACTTATGCTGTGGCGTTTCTCACTCAAACGGACGATTTTATTCATATCTTTAACCAAATTGGAGTCAGTTTTGACTTTTCAAGTGTGTTGTTTCATTATTTTTTTAACTTCATTAGCTGTATCAGTAATCATTGTTAACTAAACATTATGCCATGCGGATAGATTGCAGTTTTTCTCACCTTTCCGTAGAGGAACTTTTACATTCAATGGAAAACTGTAAAAATGAAACTGCGTGTGCACTCTTGTCAGGTATTATTACCAACAAAACAATTTGAATGCAAACTAAACTATTAATCATTTATGCCGTAAAAGTAAAAGTTTATCGCAAATATTTCATGAATAGAAATGATTGGCTTGACATCCAGCTTCCTGGGAGTTCTTGTTCATGTTGCCGAATTACTTATTGCCCTCAAACTTATACGTGCTGCAGAAATTGTAAGAAATATCGTTATTCATTATATAATACTCGATCATGATGATTCCACTAATTTATCCATCTTTGGTTTAGAGGAATGATAGTCAATGCCACAAATGGCTATTATTAACTGTTACCCTAACCGCAGTGGACGTTGGTATCAATGCTGGTCAACTTATATTTGACGTACATGGCTACGAATTAATTATGACGTACACTGGATCCACCATCATGTACAAGTTGGCATCGTGCGGCGTCGTAAAATCTTTTGTCACAGAAGTGAGACGATTAAAAGCTAATTCTTTAGATGAGAGTAATAATAACAATTCTGAACCACACCTTTACGAGAGTGACAATGGTTCGGATCAGGGAAAACTCTTACTAGCAAATGATGAGGTCATTTAAATTGTACAGAAGAAAGAGTCGAACGGAACGCATGTCCCCATGTCCGTTTATGAAATCTCAACTCCCCAAACAGTATAATGAAATGACTCACGTTCACTTTTGCTTCCGAATTATAATTTTAACGAGGTCATATTTTTATGAAATGATTATCTTCACTCTTTGTAACGACGTTTACGGGCTACATTTTCTTGGTAAATTGTAATAAATCAATATGGAATATGCAAATAATAATGAGAGTAGTAATTAAGTAAATAAGTTGTGCATAAATGAAAGTGCAAGTCTTGAGATTCTCATAACAGCATATTTACAAGTTGATGTTAATGACTGAAAAAATATAAATAGGACACACTTCTTTTGTCCACGCCGTTTTTTAGATTCGTCAAGTACATAGAAGTGCTATACTAGCTTATCATAAATACTATTTTTGGAAACCACACCCACACAGTCAATAATAGTAGTAGAAATGACCATATTACGCCTGCCAAAGTTTTCAATGATGATCTTGGCGTCATCTATGCTGATTAGCACATCAAATTCAGTGTCAATTACTCTCAGACCTTCTCCATCAAATGATACAATCAGGGTCAGCCAAGTTAATAATTCTTCAGAAATTCTCAATTCCACGGAACCAACAAATCATGAGGTAAGGAACACAATCTCACATAATGCATATGTATGAAATGACCTGAAAATTCGCAATTTTACCAAAATTCAACTCTTCAGACCATTACAACTCAAAACTCTACAACGCCGGATATAATCACCAGAACGGAGAAGCCACATCAAAATCAAACCAAATTTACGCCTTTCACCGCATCGCCCGGAATCCAACGACTCGCCCAAGTCTTAAATGACACCATCCTAAATATCGACCAACTCATCATCAACGCCATGAGGAATGTTTCTCAACAAGGTCAGAAAGACATTCAGAACGTTGGAAATATTCTGCAAACAGTGCAAACATTTCTCACAGAAAAGGGATCAATTATTTCGCAGGACACTGAGGCAAATCTTGAAAGAGAATTGGACGGGATTCAGCACTTCATAAGGCATCAACAACGCAAATTTCAACAGCATCACTCGTCACTAAATTCATCAAAATCTGCATCAAATTCGTCAGACACAAATGCAACCAAAGTTGTAGAATTCGAAATTCCTATACTGCACGCTGGACTTGAATACAATCATAATTTTAATAATTTGACGGGAGGAGAAAGTAGGACGACAAACTCATCACGAGCCGGACGTCAAAATGGGATGGTGCAAAATATTATGCAATTTTCCTCAAAGGTATATTTTAAATAGGTTCTGAAAATATGAATAAAATTTGCATATTAATTTAATGTGGCTTTTTCTAAATTCTTAATAGGTTGGAGAAGGATTACGATCGACAATTGAAGGAGCAGAAAATATAGTAACGAACTCTGTTAACCAGATTCAAAACCAAATTCAAAACTTTCTAAATGGAATTACAAGCTTTTTTATACCAAAGACAAAAGATGGAAATAATTTTAACACGAATCCTTCAAGGAGGATATTAAATTTTAGTGCACTGCCACCCCCACCACCTGGATTACTATTTAGAAAACAGCAAATCATTTCACAGTAATTATGTAAAATTAAGCACTTTCTTTTCACGAGAATACGAGTCATACGAACTTACTTTATTTTCTGACAAATAAAAAGTAACATTATAAAGAAAAGATTAAACAATTAAAACTGCGTTAATACATCCATCATTTTCTGGGTGATTTGTAACCTGAAATACATAAAGAGTCAATTATTAGTGTTTTTAATTACATAATTATAATGTTTGTAATTATTCAAATTGTATGTTTTAAGTATTTAAAACTCACCTGAGCATATTTTCCCCATACAACTTTCCCCGTTTGTGTAACTAAACCCAATTCACTAACATTAACCTCAATAACGGTACCCTTTGTAATAACTCCTAGACTCGTGTACATTGAAGAACTTGGATTTTTCTTGACGCCAATCATTGGAAGATGAAATGTGGTCTTGAGTTCTGGGTGAGTTACATGCGCCGTCTTAAATCGGAGTCCCATGGGTCGAATGAATCTCTCAAACTTTGGAGGTTTTCGTGTGAATCCTTCCCCAACAAAGGTGACTTTAGTGACCATCCTTTTCCACGCTTTACGTTTAGATTTTCCAGATTTTAGCACTTTGAAAACTTCAGCTTCTGACTGTGCCCTAACTTTGGGGATTGGAACGTCCCATTTGCCAGCCTTCTCTTTCCTCTTCTGTTTAATCTGATTTGATAAGATTTTTGACCGCTGTTGTGTCTCACGATCAAGAAGATAAGCAGGAAGGGCCCCATCTTGGACTTCTTTCTCCGTTTTAGTCTTGGTCATCTTTTCTTCGTGCGCCTTGATGGTCTTCTTCATCTGAATCTTTTCATTGTGTCGTTGCTTATTGTACAGCTTGGCCCTTAATCCACGAAGGCCTTGCGCCTTCTTGGCGATGGTGTGAGCTGAACGGGCTTCTCGTTTACGTTTCCTCTCCTCATAATCCAATCGACGACCGTACCGCTTCCGGTGAAGCTCGATATGCTCGTTTTGTGGCATTTCTAAAATTCAGAGTTAACATTTTAATTGGCATCTAATAATTTATGTTTTGATTTGATTTGAAATTCAAATCATTTTGAATAATTGGAAAACAATAATAAACCCGTTTTTACAAACATGTATAAAACAAAATCAATATAACAAACATAATGAATTACTTACCGGTAACACAAACAGTTGGTCTCCTTAATTTAAATCAATTTCAGGATTAAGTTCCTGAAAAACGTTGAAATTTAAGGAAATCTGTGAATTGCCAACCTCGTGGGTTTTTCGCAAAAGATCGAGCATTGAGCGTAGCGCTTGGTTGGGGCATTGTGAATTCTCATGCTCATGTAAAAAGCTCGTATCTTTTGCTCGGAGGCATTTTGAGAATAAATTGAGATTGAGACTTCGTGTGTCGTGAGAAAAATGAGACAATGTAAAAAATTAGTTCAATTTATTCACCACAACCGAAAGCCATTAGTTTTTTGTCACTTTATAAATGAGAAAATATATTTCTAGCTAATATTTTTCGTATTTTATGTAAGATACGATAATTTGGCACCGGGAATATGTCACAATATTGCAATTTTTATGGCGTTTGTGGTGGTCGAGAAGATTGTCATATATCATATATAATCATATTACTTTGATTGTCATAAATCTGTCGAAGATATGTCTGCCGATCCTGGAGTTGCTTGTCGGTGACCGTCCGGATCTAGGCCGAGAGTTCGTCGATGCTTTACAATGGCTTTCCATATGCGGAGTTCCACGCCACCTCTGCAAAATGTAATAAAAAAGACTGAAATTTCGAAATATCTTATGAAAAAATTAATAGAAACATACTTTAACTTCAAGTTTTTAATATCTTCTCTGGTCATGTAGTGAAAGACGTCGTCATACGTGTATTCCTCTTGGAGAAACTAAATACGTGAGGGATAGATAATTACGATTAATATAGTGTACAATAATTAATAGAATAAATATTCAAATTTCCTGTTACTTTTTCAATCGACATTCGATCCAAGTGCAACTCTGAGAGGTACTCGATCAATCTCGGGTCTCTCACATTTAACGGTAACTGAGCAGCGTTGTGTTGATGACAACAAGACGAGTTTGCTGATCCAGTGACGTTGTCTCCATTTCCCGAAGTGCCTTCAGGGAGAATGTCTGCAACACCGGCTTGAGAACTGAGGTCGTCCTCCGAATTAATTGTGTGATGAGAACTAAAGCCTGTCTCGGATGAACGAATGATTGTCGGTGGGGTTAAAGTTATCAATTGTCCAAAGACTCGCATTTGTTGTGCGGTTTGGCTGAGTAGTTGTAAGTGAAGTTTTTGTTCATCCAGACTGGATCTGAGAATGGTTTGATACGATTTCTGGGCTTCAAGGAGGTCAGATAATAATCTAAACGAGAAGATTACAATTAATTTTGGTATTCATATATATTTTGGTAAAGATTTCTGAAAATTTCTGACTCATTTACACACCTCTCGTTTTCAAGGCGAAGGGTGTCAAGTTGTTCGTGATATTCGGAATGCATTTTTGAGGAAAAATCCAATGCTTTGTGAGACTTTAGAGAATTCACGGTTGATACCCCAGATGTCGAACCGATACCGTCAGAGCCACCCCCTTCACGATTATCTCGTCCTGGTTCTGTGTAAAAAGTTAAGAGATACATTATTTTGCGCTATTTACTAAATACACATGTATCAACTCTGTGATATTTTACGTACCTGGTGATAAAATGTGAATTGCTGTCTGAATCGCTGAGCTTGTTAATGCATCCAGAGCAAACATCCAATGCGGTTTTATATTGTGTGATCTCAACGCGTTGTTCACAGCATCTCTGAATAAAAAAATTGCCAAGTGCATCTGGTTTACTCCGTTTGTGTCCAGAGATAAATCATGCTTAAAGTTGGATATGAATTCTTCCAGTTTTCTTCTATCATTCGTCTCAATAAATTCTCGAAGACCGTGAAGAATGCGAACAATGTGTTCCTAAAAAGGTCGAAAACAAAATATTACATTGCATATCGTGTGTATTTAAATATATCTACATTTTATGCGAAATTTACCCTCTTGAGTATTGCCCCGTCCACATCGCGTTCATAATTTCGAGTCCAAACGTCCACAATTCTCTGTAATTATCTTAAATTATATCATCTTATCTTGCGTCTCATAGTTATTTGCTTTTACCTTTTCGTCCTGTGTCAATACTTTATTGAGTGTCGTTCTTCGTTGTGATTCTTTCTATGTTTGCAAAAGAAATAAGTTTTTCAGTTTTTCATTAAATGCATAATATGCATTGCATATTTACAAGTTACCTTTAGCAAATAAAACGTGTCCTGTTCTCCGCCTTCTCCAACATTCGGACTTGTTTTTGACAGTTCGGTGTCGGGAGAAATTGGAACCATTTGACCATTTGAACCTCTCCGATTAGACTCGTCATATTCGGAAATGTTGGTATTTGTACTAGAAAATACAGAATTTTAACTCAGACATTAATTTAAACCCAATTTATTTAATGTTAGTAAAGGCAAAATTTAAGTGAGTAAATTGTTATTAACGTGATAAAGTGAAGGAACAATCGACATAAATATTTACAACAAAAAGCAAAAGCACATTTGGCAGTGACCATATTATGACAGAAAATTTTCACTAAAAAACTGTAATGTTTTCTTAAAGTAGATAAGTAAAACAGTTTTATGATGAGCACCTCGCAAATGATATCGCAGAGTCGGACGAGAAGTATGGAGAAGAGGGTGAACAACCTCCCACAGTATTTGAAGGACTCTTCTTGGGGGAGGAGCTGCAATTTAGATAAGTTTCACATACCATCGGTGCAATCAGTTTGTCAAGGATTTTGTTAGTCACATCACAACAAGGATTTTTATAGGATTCGTTCGAGAAGTCGTTTCTGAATTGTATGCATGTGATATCTTTGCAAGAAGCCCACCTTGCGATTTGCCCTTACAACCACTACATAATAATACTAATAATATAAGGAATTACTACTTGATCGTCTACTTTTGAGGTCTACATGTTCTCATATAAGATTGAAGATTGATTAGCGGCCGACACCGACAAATTATTGGAATTTTGCTATTTGTGCAAAATGCCGGTGTTATAAATACTTAGTGATGACATTTGTCTTCAATTGTGAGACACGTACCACTCCTCGTTGGAAAGGGCTTGTCTCCTGCTCTTTTCTGCAGCAATGATGCGATCTGCAGGGACAGAGATGCTTCTTGCAAATTCTTGAGTGGCTGTGAGAAAAATAATAACGTTGAAATTTCAGTTTTCAACAGGCTAATTAAAAAACATTATTAATGTGCTCGAAAGACTAACCTGTGGCTCTAATATTCTTTTTACGACCGGATCTGGTAGAATTAAATGTTTTGTATTAGAGAAATAATAGCAAATTTTTCGAAAACATTATTTTGAAGAAAACTCACTCTGTCAAAAATGGATCTTCGAGTAATGCAGATGCTCCTGCACGTTTGTCCGGATCAGGTTCGAAACATCGAAGAATGAAACTTTTCGCACGCTCACTCATTTCTGACGGAATTTGTGGATGCATCTGGAATATGATAAATATAGGATAAAGTTTGTCCAATTAAATAATTTTAGTCATATGAGATTTAGAGAAGGAAGGGCCAACATAAAAAGAGTGACCTTATTCGCACCTTATAAAATCCGACTTTAAACATTGCAGCTTCAGCCGAACCGAGCTCAATGAATGGTGGTTTTCCACTGTGGAAAAAATGTAGGTTTATTTTTTATTAAGGTTGTCAATTAATTTAGTTAAGCTTTTTTACGTTGCCATTTCCACAATGGTGCATCCCAACGACCAAATATCCGCAGCCGCACCGTAACCTCGTTGGCCCTTGTCGATTACTTCGGGCGCCATATACTGCAGGGTCCCAGCAAAGGTTTTTGTGAGTTGTGACAACCCAGCCAACCGTTTTGATGTACCGAAATCGGATATTTTCACAACGCCAGAGTACGCTAAAAGTACATAATTATAGAAATTATAAAATCAAATTTAAAGCTAGACGACTGAAATGACTTACTGTTCACAAGAACGTTGTCCCCCTTGATGTCCCTGTGCACAATTTTTTGGTCGTGAAGATATTTCAGCCCTTCTAATATTTGTTTCGTGTAATAAGCAATTGTGGACTCGCTCCCTTTGAGTGGCCCCCACTTCGAGCGCAACAGGGCGGACAAACTTCCTCCGGGAACTAATTGTGTACAATACAGTCAAAGATAAAAATAATTCAACTTATGTCAGAGTATATAAACTCACCTTGCTCCATGAATATTTTGAAAATATTATCTTCCGAGACTGATCCAAGATACTGGACAATGTTCCTGTGTCTGAGCTGGGAGTGGAGACGGATTTCCTCGTGGAGGGGTTGAACCTCCCCCAAATTCTTTTCTGGAATCTCTTTAACTGCAATTCTAACTTGAGTGTTGAGATCTCGGGCTGCGTAAACGATGCCGTAAGTCCCCTTTCCCAAGATCACTTTCTTACTTTGGTCATCCAGTTCGTATTCGTACTGGCAATAAGAAAAATCAATGTAAAAGTTAACATGCACAACCAAAAATGCATAATATTCATTCATACTCTAATTTGTTCTTCGGGCATGACAGCATCCAAATCAGTAAATTTATTTGCTTGATCGGCAGTGATTTTCAGCACCAAATTATAAAAATGTTCCCGAAATAGGCTGTTGGGAAAGTACATGTGAAAGTCGTCTGTTAAGAAAAAAGGCATGAATATGTTAAAAATTTATAGGTTGGAAAAATGAAATATGCATGCATTAGAACTTTCATCATTTGCATACCAGAGTTCTCGTGGACGTACAAGAAGACGCATCGATCATCTCTTTTGTAAAGTCTGGAATCAAACAATTATTTAAAGTCTGCAGTAGAAAATTCTGAAATTCTGCATATTTATTGATAAGTACTTACGAACAGGATTTGATCATGTCAGCCGTGAAAAGCCAGTCATGTCGTTGTTTACAACTTGACTTGAGACATTTTAAACAAATGTTTGAAATATTTAGAGATTTCTGTTCTGCTCCAAGATTTAGTATGACAAAGCCTACAAGATCAGATCATTGGATTATCAATTGTGAATGGTTTGGGTTGGTAAAATTAGGCAAAATGGCACTAACTTGGCATAAAAACACGAGAGGGTTCCAGGATGAGAATCTGTACATGCATAAAACTCGGTTCAGTAAGTGAATCAATATTTACGTTAACCAAAATCTCAATTAAAAAACAGGACATACAGGAATCCTAATCGTATCGCCCACATCGCTTTTGGTTGCACTAAAAGGTGGAAAAGGATAGTAAAATATATGATTTCTAAAATGTCTGTCAATAAAAAAATATCGATGCAACTTAAGAATGTACTTACTCGACAAAATACTCTGTCCAGAAACCGAAAATCACTTCTTCCGGTGTCTCGGCCTCGGTTTGTTTCCGAAACTGCTTGATAAGCGTGATGTTTCCAATTGTCGATTGTAAATACCAATTTGGTGGTTGCAATTTAAACACTGAAAAATTTATATGTAGGTGTCAGTTTTGGGACATATAGATTTGAGTTAATAAATACTTACTGCATTCTGCGGCTTGTATTGCTTTTCCGTAATTCTTGGCCTGCAACAACCAGAAGAACATTTTATTTCTACATTATGTATGATCCATAAACTGATATGAATTGTCAAAATAAAATGATTGCTAACCAGCACGCTGATTTCGAAAAAAGTTGCGATATCCCAGTAAGTAAGCGAAGCTAGACTACCTTTCTTTCCAATGAGATTATTTAGCACCATTCCTAAAATTACCAAAAAGTAAGTTTAGAAATAATTAATATGCAATTCATAATTAGTCACAAAGAATAACTGACCAATATGTTGGAGTTCTTCACTTTCTGAAAATTCTTTGCCACTGACGACCAATAAAGTGGCCAAATTGATCCCCGCATATTCATTCGGCTGAACTTCGAAACCTTTCCGATACCAATGAATTGCATGTTCTAAACTTTCTTTGTCCGTGTAACTTGACTCGACAAATTTATCTTTATACACTCGACCACATAGGCAGACCAGGTCAGCTATTAAAAATAAATGTTGACTTTAGTCCAATAATATGGATACCGTAAAATTCACTGGATGGGACACTTACGGACATGGTTTTCCTTCTTTTCCAAAGCTTTTGTAATTACTTGCAATGCTTTCTCACGGTCTCCTTCTTTGTTTCTCCTAAAATTGAGTACATAAATGGATTGGAATTGAGTTACCAATTTTCCATCATCAAATTTTATACAAATTAAAAAATATTTGAAGTTTGTACCTGTTGAGAGCAAACGCATACAAATGTTTTATGGCCGGCGTGTTGATACAGTTTTTGTAATTGTGGATTGACTTGAGAAATTCCAAGTTATCGACGAGATTGACCATTGCATCGTAGTCTTGAATGTCTCTGAACGAGACGAGGATATTGTGAACAACGTCGCCAGAAATAACGTTGGGGTCGTCCAACCGCTTTTTCATGGCGTGTAAAGCTTTTGATAACTCCTTTCCTGTGAGACTCTCTCGGGTTTTGCGAAGATCGGTAAGAAATTTTTCTTTTATGTGCGCCCTACAAGATATAAATATACTTAAGATCCATAATTCTTAGCGTAGCTATTTTATACTTAATATCAACATATTTAAATACTTGGATTGAATTTCCACATCTTGCAGCAATCTTTTAATTTTGTGTGATAATGGCATTTTCGTCTCCACGCCGGTATCTTCTCCACTTGATATTATTGCAGTAGGCATTGTCACCTTGATTAAATTAGTTTGGTATTTCAAAGTTTGTACACTATTGATGTAATAGATGAACATTTTATAAAACTTACAACGCAAGAACCACACTCCAAAGTTCGGTATGTCACCACCGGGTAATTTGTACATGATAACTGATTTGAGAAATTACAATTTTAAGCAAAATTTAGAATACAGATAAATCTTTGGTAGTACATACTTTCAATGGCATTGCTATTTCTGTTTCAAAATCGTTATACGTGAGAATGTTCTCTTTCCTTGAAGTTAATAAAACAAAATTCAGTACATCATTATTTTCTTGTGTAACGCTAATTTGAAAGCGCATTTCTTACATCCCAAAACTTTCTCGTACGCCCAAATGGTAAAACAGCGTATTTTTCTGAATATCGATGGACAAATCAATCAACGCAATGTCAGCATTATACCTGTCGGATAAAACACGTAAGAATACATGAATTAAATTAAAATGAAAAGCATAACAAACGTCAAATCTTACATTGTTTCAAGCACGTTGGCTTCTCCAAAATCCAATTTCTCAAACTAAAAAGATCATATATTTTCATTATGCATGCAAAATGTGCATTACACAATTCAAGAATTTTAATGAGTTCGCAAGTTACCTGAACATGATGGCAATTAGCGTTTAAAGTAGAGCATGCATTTTTAACATCTTCAAATGCTTGCTTTCTCTGGGCGAGATTGATGGGATTTTGCAAATCGATAACAAACGCCACATCGACCTGAAATTTTAAGGGTGGTACCTTGATTAATTAAATCATTTTAAAATTTAAATAGCCGTCATTATCACCTTTGGTCGTTGTGGCGAAGCTATTTGTGTAGTCCCCGAGTTATCGCTTCTTGACCCAATGCTGTCCGTCGATGCCTTGTTTTCTACTAGGAGAATGATAGCATTTAATATTGAAAAATTAGCATAAATACAAATTCAAATTAGTTTCTCCATACCAGGGATTTCCAGCTCGATCCCCGCATTTGACGGCATTTTGGCACCTTTTGCTGTACAGAATGAATGACTTCGATGTACTTTGTCCGCCTCTGGTTGCATGAATGTGCTTACACTAGCACTTTTCTTCGTACTTCCAGCCGTTTTGAAAGATTTTTAAGGACTGAGCTGATTATCTTTGTAATAATTTATGATTTAGTTTAATTGAAGCTCGTGACTCGTCAATGCTTCTCCTGAATTTCTCGTTGTTATTTTCTCCTCGCTTAATTTGTCAATTTCACTCAAGCAAAGTAACGCTCAACGCTACTTTTCTTCTTATTTAGTCACTCACTCGCCTTAACAAGGGCTTTAATTCGTCTAGTTTGAAGGCAATTAAAGAGCTACAAATCTCACATGACTCATACTCTAACTCGATTCGCAGACTAAAATTCGCAAACTATTTGTTAAACACAGGAGCACCAAACGCATTAGCACATGTAGTCAAAGATGCTCCAAAGAGTCAGATCTGAAAATAGTTTTTAGTATCTTTCTTCTACGGAGTATGTGATGTTCCTTCCGAATGTTACAGTCTTCTTGAAGGTGTTTGCATTAAGACTGATCGCTGAGTTTTTACCTTGCTCCAATACATCCCTCACTTTTTAAGCTGTATAAAGAAGTCTGTTAAGTAGTAAAAGGATGCTGATGCTGGTACATATATGCCCAGTTATATGTTACATAATAACAACATTGCATTCAGCAAATGTTCATACAAAACTGAACAGTACCAGATACATAGATAGAGATACGTTGGCTATGAACTTCACCCATCTGACTCTGACTTTGGATAATATTTATAACGCTGTTAACTGTCCAAAAACCTTGAGCATCATCAGTTTTGCTTGGTTATTAGAATGCATGGTAAGTGAGTATGCATAATAATATGCAGCATAGTTCTAAATATTGCATATACTGAACTATCACAAGAACATTAATGTTTTATCGTCGCTCGGACGCGATGTCTGTGTATAATCGTATCAGTTCAATTCATGCATATGATGCACGCATTATTTTCTTGGTGGAACTTTTTGGTATGCAGAATGTAATATGAAACTCACTTTTTTGTCATATAGACGGTAAACTGGACTGCATTTTTTGGTTGCGCGTGGTATGTAAAAGTTGACCATGATGACGAGAAGGTAGGGAAGTGTGGAGAGGAAATGAAGGATTCGACTTGAATTGCTTATCATTAAGGTTGCCAAATAAGGACTCATGTAATGATGGTGCATGGCGTTCTTGTGTCTTGGTCATCGTGATGCAATGAGTCATGCGTAGACTTTTTTGTGCTAGGTTGAAGTTTTATACCTGAAAAGTCAGGTATAAAATTCGTAAATTTTTAGATTCATGAAATATGTCAAATAAATAAATAAAAACCAAACTCTCCAATTTAGCTACAATAATATTAATCTAATTTAGTTACACAAACTGCGAACGTATTTATTTAATTTGTTTTTTGGGGTATAGCCTAAGCATAAAATTTCATACTCACAAGAATATTAAAGAAATGCAAAATATTTCACATTTCTCTCTAAACATATTCAACATGCATAGAAATATTTACCTCCCCCTTTAATCCATACTCCGCATAACATGCATACTATCCAACCAAATATTTTGGCAAAATAAAATGATATTTATATGAGCACTTATCAATCACACATATTCATTGCTGATAATTATTGCGTCAATCAGATTGAGCATCAGGCTATATGCTACGGTCCATTAGTAGTGCAAACACTCAAACAGCATTATATTAGCAATTTGAATTATTAGATGATATATCCCGTCCGTCCATTATCATTGTAATCTCGTGTTTAACCCTTTCATATGACATGAATGACTCATATCAATATCGTAAAAGCACTAACTCTCATTCACGTCTTCTTTATTGTTAAAGCTGGTAAAATAAATAAAGCTAAAAAACCACCACGTCATCATCTCATTCTCATATTTGCTGCCTACTTCAATATAATATTACTACCAAAGCAAAGCTATTGTGCGTATTACTACACATTGCAGATCAGAATGACAGCTGCAGTTGTGTTCAACTTTCAAGTGTAAAACCGTTAAAATCACGGTTTCTCTCAAAACTAACAACATTTTGTGTTTGGTAAAGGTAGTAAATTGAGAAAAGGAGACGTTAAAACTAAAATAATCACAGTAGTAAACACATTTGGGAGGTATGAATTTTCGTTGGTAACGTTTTATTCCGATTACAATTTTATTATAATTTTTGTTTTTGAGAAAAAATGAAAATAGATATGGATTTGTGATGTGTTGCATCGTGTAGTTAATTTAATCATAACTTTAATAATATCACATGTTGTTCATTCTTTTTATCCAGATCAAAGAACACGAAACCGGATATAGATCAATTAATTACTCCACACGGACGGTCGTGCAACAGGTGGGTGTTGTTTTTTTTTACCTGTTGCATTTTTACGAATAGAAGTAAATATAAAATATTTAGCTCACACTTAATTTGTGAAACATTACATTGGACATAAATTTTTGTAGATTTTAATCGGGTAACATTTTATTTTAAGACTTTACTAAAATGGACAAGCTACGCCGGGCTCTGAGTGGTCAGGAGAGTCAAGAGAGTCAGGCGGAACAAGGAGGGATCACGGAAATAATTGACTCGACGTCTTTGTCGTGGTCCACAAGGGTCAAAGGATTCGCGATCTGCTTCGTCGTGGGGTTCGCTTTCTCAATTTTTGGCTCGCTACTCTTCTTCCTGGGGAACAAAGTGGTACGTTGTTTGTGAATTGACGTAAAATACGTAAGAATATGCACATTATTTGGAATATATTCTCATCTTAGGGTTTCGGAATCTGCTACTCGTTTGGGTCCATCATCTCAATCTTTTCGTCCATGGTAAGTAAATATTTCGACACGTTGCCGATTGTTGTAGTAATTTTATAGCCATGTTTTTATGCAGTTTCTTATGGGGCCAGTAAATCAGATAAAAAAGATGTTTGACGGAACTCGTGTCATCGCAGCGATCATAATGTGGGCTTCGATCATTCTAACGTTATTCTTTGCATTTAAGGTACAAAAGATACTGATTAATAATTCTAATAATTCAGACATTAATTGTTTTTATTGTTTGTTTCTCAGACAGGAAAAGGTGGGCTCGTCCTCTTGTTCGTCATTATCCAGTTTTTGGCTATGACATGGTATTCCTTGTCTTACATCCCTTATGCAAGAGATGCAGTGAAGAAATTCTTCTCTGGGGTCTGCCTTTAATAAGTTATGGTCTTAAATGACGATAAATTTGATATCAACTATTATTTGAAGACACAAATTTTACTGTGGGGGGTTATTCATATTCATACATATCCTCATCAATATCAATACGTATGTACAATACGTATAATTAGAATAGAACACACGTAGAAGTTTATACTTTGTGTATGGTCACTTTTTACCAAGTTCAAAACTTCGTCAGGGTGTATTATTATTATATAATTACAAATATGGAACTTTTCGTACAGACTGAGTACTTTTTTCTTGTTTATTGTTGCCGTATTATTAATTGTTTATTGGTATTTAAGAATATATTTGTATGTACATATATTAAGTTAGCATTACACAACTGGTCCTTATACAGATAGACATGGGTTTGTAGTCGAACCTATGAATTACTTGCAAACTTATTAATTTATAATTGCGTAAATATAATCAATTTTATTTCAAACTCGAAAATTTGCAACTTTTTTCGCAACACTGTCCATTTGATCTTCCAATTCAGCAATTCTCATCAAGAGAATTCTCGTTGTTTCATTTCCATTGTTAATTTCTAAACTTTCATTTTCCATTCTAAGCCGTTCCTTACGAAGATTTGTTAAACGTCGTTCCTTCAAGAGTTGTGTAATATCGTTTCGAATATCGACTGGAAGTTCCTGCTTTAAAATTTTCGGATTGTATTTGTAATAATGTTTCCCATCTTTCAAGTCAGTTTTCTTAACGAGAACTGAATTTGCGTAGAGCAAGTCAATAACGAATAAATTCTGAATCATTCGAGAAACACTGGCCAACTTCCCGTGGCCTCGGAGAGTCTGAGAATCGGGAAATAGTTTACAATTTTTAGCAATACTTTAATGATGAGAATTACAGTAATACCTCGACATCTTTAATCGACATGGCTAATAAGAAATTCATGAACACGATCACAATTATGACGAGAAATCCGACGCAGAAAGTATTTGCAAGAGCTTGGAACCAGAGAGCTCGTTCCTTGGCATCGTCCGACATTGTGTCGTATCCAACAGAACCCACATCAACGGTCATCATTATAAAGCCAAACACGCTACCCATCTGAATTACATAGAAAATTAGACTTATAAACCGGTATTAATATAACATCTTTGATCTAAACGTATAAAGTCTAACGTCAGTAAAGAGTAAATTGAATCCCATGTAAAATCCAATAAATAGTGGCAGAAACATGAGGATGATTTTCAAAACACTTATAAGAATCTGAAAAAAATACTTATTTAAATATGTAAACTGAAATCGGTGTAATATTTTTATTTTCTACCTTGACAAGCATTTCAAGGTAAATTGAAACACCTTGATACAATCCAACTTGCATGAGAAACAAAACCCACGCAAGAAATATCCCGAGCTAGAATTATTGAAAAATATTTCAGTTTCCGAAATAGTAGGAAGGTTTTAATATGTAACGTACACTTGCTATCGGATACTGCCACGTGATGTTATAACCTATAACCATTTTGATAATTTAATTGGTTAAGAACTTGTGAATTCAGTTTAAAAATTTGCATTTTGAGTTCAAATGAACTATTATGTACCATTTTGGTAGAACAATCCAGGCCATAAGGTCACACCCATAACGACAATGGAAACTCGAATGACCCATGTCCTCCAACTTATCAAGTATTTGACATCCACTCGAAGCAGCATGTAAACTTCAACCAAGGTCCACGAAGCGTTTATTAAGAGAAGAATGCCAGCCGCAACCGTAATTGTAACGTTAATATCACATCGTGTCTGTGTACTGCTGGCATTGATTGTACTATTTTCATTGTCGGATTCGATTTTGCAATGTTCGAAGTAGAGGAAATATATGAAAACTCCGTACAATATGGGATACAGAGTCTAATATAAAGTACAATTTTAGTTAATTATAACAAAATCATTACAATTACTACAAATAATTACCGAAATCAAGAAAAATATCCAAAATCTGCTCGCCATTTTAGAATTCTTCAGATATAGAAAAGCTCTGACGAGTGGATGATATAAAAATCTCTGCCTGACATCCGACTTCGCGTCAAGAAGGTTGTAAAGAAATTGGGTTTCTTTTTGTTCATGCTTAAAACTTGTGTGACCCGTGGAGGTTTGTGGAAATTGTAAAATTGGCCTGAAATACATAAACCAATTTATTAGCCTAGTTTTATATGATAAGCTAATCTTATTACCTCCAATCTAATTTCACAAACGTTTCGCCTTTCATTTCTCCTTCTTCGATGGAAATTCCGCTGTTCAATATTTCCACTAAAACGTCCGGCATTGAGAGAGAAATTTTAGACGCCAACCTGTAAAAAAACTTGTGATGTGACCATTTTCAATTTAAGCGTGAGAACAATTTAGAAACTTACTTTACAGTACAATGAGCCCCTGAATTTAGTAGCATCATCGTGCACTTCTGAAATTCATTGTTCACAGTCAAACTTAACGGGGTATTTCCCAACCGATCCGAGTGGTTCAAGTCAATTTGGCGATTAATAAGAATGTCGAGACAATTAATCATTTCGATCGAATTAAGATGACCCATAAATCCTACAGTAATAATAACATACTTAATTAGCTAATTAATGTTGGTAAATAAATGGCACAAAATTTACCGTCCTCTAGAAGTACGTGAAGACACCCTTTCCCATCAGCGTCTTTGACATGGACATCGCAGCCATTTTCTTCCAATAAAGCTTGAAGATATTCTGCATCGTATCTTCGGACAGCTTCGTGAAGGAGGAGAGATGTATTATTGTCAGGATTTGTACGCACTCGAGGAATCATAATGCTTAGATCAGATTCCATGCTGGAAAATTGTCCTATTAATTTATTCTTGCTCATTTGGTTCAAGTTCAATAATTAATTAATGAAAAATTAATACAAAAGTAAAAGCACAATAAGTATTGCAAGTGAGTAAATAATAATGTACATCAATGATAACATAACTTATCAGGTGAGGAATGAGTAAGGCTATGTGGAATCTATCTAATAGACAATACAACGGGCTTATCAGCAATTATGTATGATAAAATGAATTATAATTGGACAGCGTTGTACCTAATTTCCTGTACTCCATTCCAATGTCATCATTATTATTGCCCTACTGTCAACTGCAACTAATTTTATGGCACAAGTAGGCTTAGGATTTTTTTTTTAACGTTTCTAACGTATTATTTATTATTAACATAAACATTGATAAACTATGAAATACACTTAGTTGGCTTGGGGAGTAGAGGAAAAACCCGATGTTGGTGGGTTGGGAAAACCTTTACTTGATCCGGATAGGCGTCCGAGATCACCATTCGGCCCCTTACATGATTTTTGTAAATAAAACGACCTATCATTTAAAATATAAAATAATTCTTCTAATCCTCGTTGACTGGGGACAGCTCCCATGATTGATGCCGCATTCCCGCGTTGAACTGCCAAACTAATCCGTTGAATGAGAAAAGTTGTCGACATTGGTCCAGTGACATCCTTCATCCTCCTCCCAACATCTTGGATGAACTTCAACCCTTCCGTCCCCCATACTCCTGATGTCTCGATAGCCACCGGAACAAAGATATAGTTTGTTTTAAGTTCAGAGTACAGTTTGTGTTTTTTGGTCTCGGCTAGTTTTGCTGCTGTGCCAGCATGTCTAAGTGTGTGAGAGAGATAAGAGGGGGCAAAAGTGTCTGTACATGTAAAGTCCCATATTAGTGAGCGTCCCTGTTTGTAAGGTATTAGTGTTAGACCATCCGGTCTTTTTCCATCTGTCCTACAACACCCTACTGGTTCCCTAATGCTTGGTATGCCTGCAGAAATTAAGGCTCTCTTTATAATGTCATTGGCTTGCGTATGTCTAGAGTGCCTGCCAGCACTTTTTTTACATGAAAGACCATGTAAGCCTAGTTCATCTACTTGTGCGCCGCAAACACATTTATGAGGGAAACATAAATTTAACCCTAACCTCAAACCTATTGCAATCCTGAAGGAATTATCGTCTAAAAGTGTGCCTAAATTCCTCGATGGTAAAGCTTGCAACCATGCACCTGATTCTTTTGACCTTGATGCCAAAATCCTAGCAGTATTTATTGGGGTGGTGGATGATTCCAGGATACGTGAAGATACGTAATTGAAAATTGGACTTTCCCAGGATGATTGAAAAGAAGTAATTGTACTGCGAGGTAGTTCTTCACAACTAATTGACTTCCACAAGTCCTGCGCCTCGGTCACAAGTGAATCGGACAAAGCAGTGACATACGAGGGCAAAATTAAAGAAACCAAGTCAGTGGTGGCAAATGAAGATGCAAGAAAACATGGAGTTGCTAATGTTTTAGATTGTCTAATTCCTAAACCACCTAATTTAATTGGTAATGCAATTTCTTCTAAAGACAAAGGATTAATTTGGCAATTTGTAATTTGTTCTAAGGCATTATGGAGCAATGAATCAAACTCCTCTAGCAAATGTGGAGATTTAAAAATAGGGGCTTAGGATTAGTCATGTCTTAACAATTGTAATTTATTATACAGGGTGGTTTAAATGTCACGCTACAATGGAAAATTTTTCGATGGGAAAAATCCCTAAATCTCCATTAGTTACAAGATTTTTGGTTGAGATTTTTTATAAAATTATTATCAAAACTGATGGAACTCTGATGACGAAATTCTTGAAATGTTGAATTTTAGAGACAAGATTTCGTAACTAATGGAAATTTACGAATTTTTCCCATCGAAAAATTTTCCATTGTAGCGTGACATTTTAACCACCCTGTACTATAGGAAATGATCAGATTTATATTAATTAATTGTAATGTGGTCATCCCAAACATTAGTAAAAGCATGTTGCATGATCACAACGCAAATTCGAAGTTTCAGTCAGTCAGAAAATTGATCATGCACTAAAAGTTCATACCATTTGCATTTCCAAGTATAATATAAATTCTGAGAAATAGAATTATAGCAAGAATTATACGTAGTTCTCCATGCATGCAGAAGTTGATAGGTTCTGCTACATATATGATGGGGTCGGTTCCGGGTTGGATTAATAGATCGTCGTTATATATGCGTAATTACTTATAGACGAACTTTTGCATAATCATTGTTGATATTTGCTTTAACTTCGTAGAAGTCGTATTGTTAAGCTGGGGTCATCATGGAGGTACTGATCGTGGAAGTACGACTAGAAGTAGTAAACTAACATTTTCTCATTGTAGTGGAAGCATTATGGAAAAATTCATAAGGCTGAAGGAACAATTTATCGTTGTCCCTCGACGGTTGCTCAATTTTTCCACCAAATTCGCATTCGATCCACAGATACATATGAAATGGAAGGTCATTTTGTCACTGGAACGCCATCCAACTGGAACCCCAACCAGTTTGGGGGATTGTCTTCGCCATCATTATCGCTTCCCTCAATGGTCTTCCGGGGGAAGGTTGAGGACGAAAACAGTTCGGAACAATACTGGGAAGATTACAATTCTTCGTCGCTAATGAGTTACGGTAATGTTGGAGAAATGAATGAAGGTTAGTCGTTAGTGGCGTACGCGTAATCAAGATGGGGTGGTCTACAATTAACGTATAAAATGCATTTTTCTTCAGTTTGCATGGGAAGTGAATCTCATCAAATAAGTCCACCTCCATTCATCCCACACGAAGACTATTATACTGAGGAAAATACCGATGAAGGGGTCGACTTAAGCCTTGGCTATCAACTGTTTCAACAAGAGATGGGAAATTTTCTATGCGACGAGGGCAATCAAAAGCAGGAACAGAACGTGAACAACAGCTTGGACAACCCAAATGTGGTCGTGGGGTCATGCTGTAGTATGAACGGAGAGAGTGACATGTCCAATTTGACAGGGTCGCCGTATTCAGGTGGGTTGTGAGTACTATTAAGCATTTCCAAATTTATATCACTTGAGCATGAGCAAACCCCTCGTAATAATCTTGTAGGCGTTGAGATACCCTCGCACGCATATGATAACCACTTCTCTATGGTTGATCCGGCCCCAAAATTTCGACCCATTACAATCCACTTTCTTGAACTTGGTCTTGGATTTAGTGGCGGAAGTACAGACATCATTTCCCCACAACAACTCCAACAACTTCGTCAAGTTCTTCACGATTATAATCATTCTGAAAAGCAGTCAGGAAGGGGAACAATGTCTGGTGGTTCGGTAGTGGACATATCTCGACCAAGTTCAACCATCATGATAAATCTAAAGTCACTGGTACCGAGTGAAAATAGTTGTAGAGTTAATGGTCACAGACGGAGGCCTCAATTATCAAGGGACAAACCTTACCGCCGGGGTAGAAGTTCACATTTGAAGAGGAGGAAAAGTAAAAATATCGGTCAGATTAAAGAAAGTAACATCGACAGGTTTTCGTCATTCGTGATGACTTATGGCAGAACAGAACCACTGCAGACTGACCCTGAGTGATCCAACCGCACATAGATAAATATTTAATTTTTTCAAATAAATTTGAATTCAAGAAACGTAATATTTTTTCACATGTACATATAAGCTATGAAGCTCCAAAAATTTTGTGGGACTATTGCTTATGCAGATTTATTTGATATCAAAAAATGATAATTATATACAGGGAACCTTGTTATGATAACCAGAAGTGATCAACAACTTACAGATAAATATAGTTAATTTATCTCTAGTAAAAAACGTATTTATTACTGTGCACTTATCTCCGTACAGAATAAAACGCCGCTGTCGCCACCAGAAATTAATCTGTCATGCTTGGACACATTCATTGAGTTAACAGGAAACAAAGAAGTATTTAACTGTTTGAAGATAAGTCCGCGTTTAAGGAATTCAATATTAACATCGGGTGTGTACATCAATCCATCTGCTAAAAATTAAAGAAAATATATTAAGCAACGAGTTAATATGCTAGAAATATACATTCTTTGTCATGATTTATATACCTTGCATATTAAAAGAACCATGACCAGGATACCATTGGCAAACTTGGCCAGAAGAAGAACACGAGAAGAAGTGATCCGGATTTATTTGATGGAAATAAAGTTCGCTTAATGAGCCTTCGTTACTTGCCAGATTTGCAATTGGGTCACATCTCGATCCTCCTCGAAGGTCATATAAATCCATGCACCCAGATTGATAACCAGCAATTACTAAATGTTTCTGGGAAGGATGAACAGCTAAACTGATGACTCCGTAAATATTGTTCATCGCAAAGTTTGGATTTAGAATTTGCACAGGTTTATTTTCTGGTTCTCTAAGATCCCATCTTTTTAGCTGACCTCCCCCATTCCCAGTAAGGATTTCTGAACGACTAACAAAGTCTACGCAATAAATGGAGAGTGGATCGGCATGGTCTGGTTAAAAAAAGTTAGTATATTTATTTAGAACAGACTTGGATAAGTCACATAAATAACTGTGCAACAAATACTAACCCAAACTCCTAACATTCTCATTGGTTGTCGCTGTACTTTGATGTATTGATCCATCCTCGCCAACACTAACCAGTGATGAAAAATTGGTCGCTACTGCGCGAGCAGGGCAAGGACATTCAAACGAGCCCGACCTAAAAAAAGTTTACATGTTAAAATTGTACCTCTACAGTAGAGGCTCTACTGCTGACAAGATGATAAAATCACTGTTTAGTCAATTTTATCCCTACCTAAGATTATGAAGATGCTTTGTCGAAGTGTGCTCAATCCTATTAAAAGTATCATCTTCATTCCGTGGACATTTGTACAAAGAAAGAGATCCTTGAGACGTGGTCACCGCAAACACTTCATCAGTCACTGCCTGTGAGTGATTCAAATATATTAGATACAAAATTGATATACAATTTAAAGCAGTGGGCATGTTCTTTTTGTTCTTACCACAACATCAGTCACATCCGCTGGGGATTCAACCGTGCATAAACTATTCACTTGACTATTAAACTTTCCATACTCGTCTTGAACAATTGATAGTTTCCACAGGGTGATATCACTTTTCTAAAAACGACATTAATATTTAGAAATCAAATACCCGAATAATGCTAAAATTAATGACATTAATATTCATTTTAAAATACAGGACTCTCGCATGAGTACAAAGCAAGCATTTACTAATCATACCAATTGTCCGCACGTCGTTGAAATTAAATGCTCCGTGGCGTGAGGATCTGGAATTAGTTGAGTAGCGTTGTCCTGCAACCATCGCACTTTTCCCAAATTGTTCCCAGTTTGTACTGTGACCGTGAATGGTTTGTGGACCTTGATCGCAGGGTTTTCTCGATTATTAAAACTTAGCCCCGAGTTTGTCCGGTGTTCGAAAACATGATCAGCATTGCTGTGATCATAGTCAAACTCGGCTTGAAGCATGGCGCGGCTCATGTTCAGTGCCATAATGTTTATGAACCTGACGATATTTTTGTAAACTTTTTCGGAAATTTGTCCAAAGTTTAGAAAATAAAAAATTCTGAATCAGAATTTCTGATGAACTCGCTTTATGTCACCTTGTGTTTAGCAAAAGAGTGCCCGCTTACCGGTTTCGGGCTGAATCGAGACAACCGGCTTCTGGGAATTTAAAGAAATTCCGACATGTGCTATCTTGCGACACCAAAAAACCACAATATTTTCCTAAAAAACTATCAAATTCTTAATTTCTAATAATTCCTCCACTTCAGGTCACGATTTGAAGTCCAGGACGCCAGAAAAATTTCGAGGTTTGTTTCACACTTTCAACGAAACATAATTTACATAAAAGTTTTGTAACGACAAATGAAACGAGCAATTCCATTAATTTTCAAATCAAATCAAGTAAAGTTAATTGGCACGATGGCGGACGCTTCCATGAAGGATTTAACTCTAAAGTCGTCGACGAGTGGAGATGCGAATGAAGAAAGCTTTGAAGGGATCACGGAGGTGAGGGAGGGGAAAGCGATAATCCGATGCGATAAGAAGCTCAACATCTTTTACAATGCTACACAAGAAGTTAACAGGGATATTAGCATTGTTGGTGTCCACGCCCACATATTGCGAGAAAAAAAGGTGAATATGGGTGTAGAAATTGTACTTGGAATAGCATTTCACGTGAAGACATTGAAAATCATACTGATTGTTTCTTTTAGGATGATGTTACCCTTGTGGAAGCAATGGCAGCGTCAGGGATTCGAAGCATAAGATACGCATTGGAAGTCAAAGGGCTGAAGAAAGTGATTGCTAATGATTTTTCGACCGATTGTATCACGAGTATTAATAAGAATTCTAAATTAAATGGGACAGAAGATATTGTACAACCTTCACTAAATGATGCAAAGTAATTGCTGCTTCGTAACAAATTTAAATTGTCATTGACATCTTTTACTTAATATAACTTGGCAATTTTGTTATTGCAGTGTAATTATGCGGTCTCAAAAAGGATTCATAATAGACTTGGATCCGTATGGTAGTCCAGCTGCATTTATTGATTCGGCAGTTCATGTAAGAATTATTACTAGTAGTTGATGTAAGATTCATGAATTACTGATGCCTTATTACTCACTGCATTTATTATTCAGGGCCTAGAAGATGGAGGATTATTTGTTGTAACAGCGACCGACATGGCAGGACTGGCTGGAGGAAATGCAGGCGAAGCATGCTTTGCTCGGTAATTCCGAACTACATTTAAACCATGTCATAATAAACACTATAAATGTATGACCTTATGTATGCCAGATATGGAGCAATGCCACTAAAAATTAAATCGTGCCATGAAATGGTAGTTCTAAATTCTTACTATTTATCATTACAACAAAGTTAAATCTACATAATTCATTATTTGGTTTTATAGGCCTTGCGCATTTTAATACACACCGTTCAGAGTTCTGCAAACAGATATGGCCGTGTTGCTATTCCATTGTTGTCGCTGAAAATAGATTTTTATGTCAGATTGTTCTTCAAGATTATCAAAAGCCCTGAGAGGGCCAAGGAATCTTGCATGTAAGTCATTTTTATCTCTTCATCATTGATGCAATCCTAAAATGTGTATAATTATATTGATCCAGTAACACTTCCCTCGTTTACTATTGTACCGGATGCAAAGCCTTTAATTTTCAACCACTGGGTGTCAGAAAGAGTCAGAAGATTTACACATTCGCCCGTGGTCCACCCGTCTCAGACAAGTGCTCAAATTGTGGCTCCATTCATCATGTAAGAATTTAATATTATGTTTGTTATTTATGGTTGTACTTAATTGTTGACTGCAACATTAGGTGGGTGGACCTATTTGGACTGGCCCTATGCATGATAAGGATTTTGTTTCTGTGATGGAGAAAACACTAGAGGATAATTATTCCTATTTAAACACTTTTCCGAGAATAGAGGTATTATTCTAATTCTCATAATGTTTGTTTCAATTGCGTTATTTTAACATTCCTACCTTTATATTAGGGAATAATTAATCTTGTCGCTGAAGAAGTAGATGTTCCATTATTTTACGAACTTAGTGAACTCTGTTCAGTTTTAAAAGTTGGTACAATACCTTTGCCGAAGATCCGGTAAGATATCTGCAGTTATTAATTTGATTATTAAAAAGCATTGAAGTTTTTATAACTTTAATACTGATTTTGCAGGTCTGCCATTCTAAATTTAGGATACCAAGTCTCTCTCTCCCACATTGCTCCAAACACAATTAAAACTACATGTCCCAATTCCATTATATGGGACATTATGCGAAAATGGAAATTACAAAATCCTAGTCCTCAGCCATTAAAAGAAGGAGCTGGTTTCAATATAATGCAAAAGGAGTCTGAAACTCCAAATATTTCATTCGATTTACACCCAGATGCCAACCCTGCTTCGAAGGAAAATAACCTGATGAGGTATCAAAATAATCCAACCAGGAATTGGGGACCTGGAGTTCGAAATGCATTCAAAGGACAACAGAAATCGGAAGACAAGCGGATAGCCAACCAGGGAAAGAAAAGACATCAACGAAAAGAGCCTGGTACTTCTAACAAATCTGAACCAGAATCATCACCTAGTCCAGAAAGTAAATGTTTTAAAAAGGACGACAGCACAATCAGTGGCGAAGAAGGTCAGGAAAAACTGTAATTATTTTCCCCATAAAACGGTACTGACGAATATGATTAAATAGTGAAAACTGCGAGGGCATAATTTGTTTTGATTATGACTGAGTTTTGAGTTTAATTTATAAAATTTTGTTACTTAAAATTAAATTAATTAGAATTTATAAAATTAATATTCTATTGGTTAGCCTCGAAAATTCTACTTGGAATGTCAAGTTTTTTTTAACTAACATAACACTAAATATAGGACATTAAAATCGTATATTTTCTGAAAAATTTACAAAGTGATCAAATAGTCCGTTTGCAGTTTTTTAACCGCACACGCAACGAGTTCGTCAACTCCTACCAAAATTAATGCGACAAATGGCCATGAAATTCTGAATTATGAATCAAAGTTATTCACTTTCCATCTTGTCAGCAGTTTTCACTTTCTGGAGATTCATTATTGCTAACGCATACAATTTACACTACGTAAACAGGTCAATTATAATTCAACTCGCATCCGTCATCTTATCGTATCTCTCTGGACGAGTCTTCTACATACGTGACTGCATTTATTCCATCACTCATTCATCCATCGTCAGCATTTCCTTTGGTGATAAGATGACCTAGCTATTTAATTGAACTCAAGTAATTTTAGTCATGCTGGGTACGAAGGAAAGAAAGTTGCAGGTTTTAATTGGTTATCAACTTGTGTGGATTTTGCATAAATTGCATGCCAATTTGGCATCGCAAAAATTGAGAGTCTGGAAACCTGAGATTTATGTACACCACTTGTGAGACCTCCTTACTGTTTTGCTGAATCGCGAGAATTTTCTCCAGTGTTGAGAAATGAGAGCAATAAGATAATATCCAATTTTTGAGTGATAATTAACTAGTTGCAGTGGTGCCTGCCTGTCCAAAATTTTAAATCCAGAATTTGTTGATTAGTGCTTATACTTTGTTACTTAACAATAATACGATAGCATGAAATTTGGCTCATGCAGAGTTAATAGCAGCCATGAAAAATAAGTCGACATCAGCAAAAGACAATATCTCATCATTCTCTCTTAAATATTGTCCATCCAAAACAGTCATCAACATGGAACATTGCATATCATTGTCGGTTAGGTTGGAGTTAGCCATGAAAACACTAAATTGTGCATTTTTACACTGGACGGGGGTTGGTGGTGGTGGTGGGATTGGACGATTGCTTCGGTGGGGTCCATATAAAAAGACATCGACCGGTGTGACCATTCACAGTCAGGTTTCAGGCAGCTCTTCAGAGATTTACTGAAATCCATCAGGTTCCCGTCCCGTCATCCCCTTGAAATTTCCAGTTTACAAAATTTCCAGTGTGTGAGAAATTCCTTCAGTTATTCGCCAACATGAGGGTCGCCGTCGGGCTCTTAGCGCTGGCAGTCTTGGGTAAGAAACTATGTCTAATTATGCATAAAAATTTAAATTTTGAGAAATATTTAGGTTTCTGATTTTAATGCCGTGCCACTTTTTGAAATAATTTTGTTTTCCTCTTTACAGCCGGATTCGTTTCAACCGAATACGCCTGGACTCCGGGTACCGAATATGTCTACTCTGTCCGAGGAAGGATGATGACCGGTGTCTCGGTGATTAACAACCAACACGCTGGGTTCGAAATTCAATACAAACTCTACGTCAAATTGTTGTCGCAAGGAAAATTGGCCATCAAGGTGAGTTTATTTTCAATTATTTGAATCCTGACCGATGTAGCAGATTTTTTAGAGGTTACTTATTTTAAACGACAACTTAATAATATTATTATTTTCATACTTCAGCCCGAAAATGTTGAACTTGTCGAAACCGAAGAGGAGCTTGACCCTCGTGAAGGTGATATCGAGAAGGGAAAGCAGATCCAACTCATCGCTGAGATGAAGAAGGCTCTCGAGTCCCCCATCCTCGTTACCCTGAAGCAAGGAGTACCCTCCAGCATCCAAGTCGAGAAGGATCTTCCAGTTGCTCTCATGAACGTCAAGAGGGCTCAAGTCTCTCAAGTCATCGTTGACACCGTCGGTGCCAAGATCGTCATTGAGGGTAACATCCACCGCCGTACTAACTCTGTTCGCCAAGCCGACAAGAATGACGACAGTGGCTTTTTCTTCGAGACTTTGGAGAAAACCGTCCACGGAGAGTGCGAGACTTACTACACCGTCAGCCAAACTGGTCCCTACCAATCCGTCTTCCAACACGAGGCTCAAGGTGAGTAAGAACAATTTTATTTAATTCATTTCAGTTTTTAACGTATATTTCTATTTTTTACGAAGATCAACCCGCTGGACAACAATCCAGTGAATCTTCCTCTGCCTCCAAGGAACGCCCATCCTTGAGACGCGCTGATTATCAGAAACTCTCACAAAAGTACAACTCTGCTTCTCTTGAATCTTCCAGCGAAGAGCAACAGCGAGAGATGCCATGGCCCAAGGCTTTCAACCAATTCTGCAGGGAACAAGACCAAATCTACGAAATCTACAAGGTCATCAACTTCACCGCCTGCCAGAACAAACCAGTCCTCGCTTTCTTCAGTCCAGTTGAACTCCTCAAGTGCCGACCTGGCGATAACTCGTGCGGATCCATCTGGAACGTAAGTTACCACTTGATAATATAATAATACACTAACTGCAATTACAATAATTTTCTCTTGCAGCGTGCCCTCGTCTCCAGAATTTTGGCCTGCGGAAGCTCTCGTCGGGACTTCAACATCCTTCAAATCAACCAAGAGGAGCAGTTCAACTTTGGACTTCAAGATGAACAACGCATCGTTGCCGTTGGTGTGCAGAACATCACCATTGAGAAAATCAGCCACGGAAGCAGCGTTCACTATTCCCTCAGTCAACCCCAAACTATTGACCTCACCTATGAATTCAGCCGCAAGGAACAACGCCAACAAATCAACGGAAGGACCCCACAGTCTTGGAACTTGCAAAGCCGCACCCCCCACAGCACCCACGGAAAACAATCTTCATCTTCATCTTCCGAGGAACAGGTCAGGTCATCAAGCAACAGATATCCACGTCAAGCCTCCCAAGAGTACAGCCAGGGACACCAATCTTGTAAGTTGAATAATAGTTTACTATCTTACAATAATAATATCGACTTTCAATTAATGACAAATTGTCAACTTTAATTTATAGACCATGGCTCTCAATATAACAAGCTCCCCTTCCCAACTTTGAAGGATGCCCCATTGAGACCACTTCTCATCTCTCCCTTGACCATCCCACAAATGCAGGAACGAGCCGTCGAATTAGTCCTGGAATCCGCTTTGGATATTCACGATGAATCACGATCCATTGCTGAACACGAGACTCTTTCCAAGCTCACGGTCACTGCCAAGGTCCTCCGATTCTTGTCCCAAGACGAAATTCTTAACGTGTACAACAATCTTACCCAAAAGTAAGAAAATATTTTATCTACTAAACTAAGGTTTAATTTGATAGCTTTTAAGAGATTATATTCTACTCTTATATTTTATTCACTAAACAGGCAATCTTCTTCTTCCGACAAACAAGAAGAGCTTCAACAAAAGACCAGGAAGAACTTCATCCTCGATGCCATGTGCCAAGCAGGAACCAACCCAGCTATCACTGCCGTGATGAAGCTGATCAAGCAGCAAAAGGTCACCGGCGAGAAGGCCGCTCAACTTATCTCCACCTTCGCTCTCTACATCAGACACCCAACTCCTGAACTCCTCAAGGAAATCTTCGTAAGTACTTCCATCATTGTAAATTTGACACGAATTTTAGAAAAAATATTTGATAATGATTTTATTTACAGGAGTTCCTCAAGTCTTCTGTTGTCCAACAAGACCAGCAAATGAAGACCACCACCATCCTCGCTTTCTCCGTCCTCTTGAACCAAGCTTGCATCAAATACAACCGATACAACGTTGCTCTTTACGGAGAATTCTGTCAGGTGAAGGACACCACCGAGTACGTTCAACATTTCGAAAAGAAATTGAATGAGACCCTGAACCAATCTGGAAATCACTGGACTCATGTAAGAATTATTTGTATGACTATTAAAAAATAAATAAAATTGATTGCTTTATATTAATATTTTGTGTATATGGTGCAGGTTTACATCACCGCTTTAGGCAACATCGGACATCCACGCATTGTCAAGGTTGTGCAGATGATTTTGGATGATTCCAACGATCCCATCGAGAAATCTAAGGCCATCTTCGCCCTCAAGAACGTCGTCGTCTCTAAGGAGGCTGAACAAACTTCCAGTGATGATAGCATTGAAGTAGTCGACCGAGTTGCCAAGTACGTCTATTATTTATTCTGAATAATCAACCTCTCATTTATTGACACATGCGTTCTTTCCAACAATTAGGGTTGTGATTGATGACGAATATGTCGAGAAGAAGGTCCTCCCCATCCTCGTTTCCGTTGCTTTCGACAAGTCTGAGCACCCAATGGTGCGAATGGCAGCTATCCAAATGCTGATCTACTCTCCCCAAGCTGATGTTGCTATCTGGCAACAACTTGCTATTAGCACCTGGTCTGAAATTTCCCAGGAAGTTCACTCCTTTGTCTACTCGACGATCAAGAATCTGGCTCAACTCCACACCATTCTCCGACCTGCCCACCTCAACATGGTCCGAAACGCCAACGCTGTCCTTTCCCTCACCAAGGACTTTGACGATGGTCTCCTCAAGTCCCGCAACATTTTCAGCTCTGGATACGTTGGTGACCTCAACAGTGGATACTTCCAACAGTTGACTTATTATGGTGCCCGAGACTCCATCATTCCTAGCTCGTTGTACTACCGAAACTACCTTCAATTTGGAACCGGTGCATTCGGAACCAACCCAATCGAGTTCTCACTCCAAGCCCGCACTGTTAGCCAAATCGCCGAGGTTAGTTGTCGTTGACCAATGATTTCCTCATGTCTGTATGAATTTGTGATTATTAATGAGTATGGATTTTGTTATGTCCATTGCAGGTTGTCGCCGATCAACTCGACAACAGCAGCAGCTCTGAGGAGTCTGGCGAGAAGAACCCCGTCATCCAAGAGCTCAAGAGCCTTCTTGGAATTGAGAAACGTGAGATGGATGAAACTGCTCATGGCTCAATGTTCCTCAACATCCGCAATGAAGTTCAACGCATTGTCGAAATCAATGTCAAGGACTTGCAGAAGCAATGGAAATCTCAAGCCATTTATGCTTTGGCTTCCCTCCGACGTGGAGTTGATATCAACTACCAAAAGGTTGCTCAACTCGTCCACCACACCATGGAAATGCCCACCATCTTTGGTGTTCCATTGTTGTACAAACAACGCCTGCCCGTCATGCTGTCCGTCGTTGGTAAGACCAAGCTCCAAGGAGGATCAAGCGATGGACAATTGCAAGCTCAACTCGAAGTCGTGTAAGTTTTTTTTGCTTCACTTTTCCGTTCCTAAATAATAATAGATTTTATGTAATTGAATGGATTGCTTTTACACAGATTGGCTGGTAAGCTGACTCAGAAGGTAGCCGTCAAGGTCCCATTCTTGGGTAAGAAGTACGAATCTGGATACCAACGTCACATTGTTGTCGATGCTCCATTCCGAGCAACCGTCAGAATTGCTTCCAAGAAACCTATAACCGTTGCCGTCACTCCCACCAAGGACATCAACGGCCCTGCCGCTGGAACCATTGAGCTGGTCACCTACCACCAACGCCCATACACCGCAATCATCACTGACGAGCTCTACCCCACCGTCCATCACCGTGGAGGACAGATGAACGTTATCAACTCTGAGGAAAAATCCCCCGTTTACACCAACGAAGAAACTTACGGAAAACAAATCTTGGGACTTGCCTTCCGAGTTAAGGAACAATCCGACTACAGGGAGGAACAAGAAACCCTGACTGGATGGGGCCGATTCATCCGCCGATTCCACTCTCCATCTTGCTTCCTTAACCTTGGTGTTTACGGTCCAAAAACCATCAAGTTTGCCGAACGTCAAATTCTTTTGGACGTTGGGGAATCCAAGACCAAGACTTTCGTCGTTGCCCTTGCAGCCAAGCGTGGAAGCAGCTCCCTCGATGGATCTTTCCACACTGACTCTTCTAGCTCCTCCTCGTCTTCCTCCTCCTCTTCCGAATCTGCTGATAACAGTGACAGCAGCGACAGCACCAGCAGCCAAAGCGGAGATAAGCAGAGCCGTCTTCGATTCATCCGTGGATCATCGTCTTCCTCATCTTCCAGCGAGACCAATGAATCCTCTGACTCCAACGAGAACTCGAAGGAAGTTTACAGCAAGGCTCGCGTCATTGCATTGGCCGTTTTCGGTAAGGTCCGTGCCATTCCTCCAGTTGAACAGACCTCCAGCATTGTGAACAACTTGGATCAACAAATCGAGTCCAAGATTCAATACCTGTTGCAAATCGCTGTTCGTAAGAACAAGATCTTGATCCAAGCCGCGTCCGCTGATGCTGCCAATGAAGTTGCCAAGGCTCTCCCCACCGACTCTGAATCCCTCCAAGTTCTCCGTGACGCTCTTGTCAAGGGGCCCAATGCCAAGGAACAACAGGACGGTTGCATGGAATTATACGCCAAGTACACTGCTCCACAACACGCCAACCAGCAAATCCTCACCGTCTTGCGCAAAACTTTGCTCGAGAAGGACTTGAAGGTTCAAGTTCAAGGACAATACAAATTCGGAGAGACCTGCAAAGACTCCGACCTCAAGTACAAAATCGAATTGGACGGACAATTGGAGCGTAATGCTGAGCAAACTAAATATGCTGGCAAGGAATCTGACGAAGCTCAAGCTTGCGAGGAGGATGAGAAGAAGGGATTCACCGTTTCCGACACTTGCTTGGTGGTTGCCAACTCTCAGGCTGCTGCTTTGAACAAGTGGCGTCTGACCTTCAAGGTGTGCATTTTTTAACGTCTTTATTTTGTCCCATTTTGACTTTTGAATATCTCTTAACCGACATATTTTTATTTTTACATTTTTTAGTGGAACAAGGATATGCCAAATGAGCTCAAGAACGTCACCGAGCAAGTTGAGGACTTTATCAAGTACTTGTACTACCCATACGTCTCCCACAGCTACTACCCAGAACCCCAGGAAACTTCCCCAGACCGCACCATCATTGCCGAATTCGAACACTCCCCAGACACCCTCTTCTGGAACTTGGTTGTCCGAAAACCCACCTCCGTGTTGGCTTTCAATGACGTTCGATCTGGCCCAGTTGTCCAAGCTGTCCTTCCCTTGACCGCAACTCAAACTCTTCCCCAAAACTTGATGGATTACTTTGCCGGAAACGACTCCCAACGTGAGACACGACACGATTTTATATTATACAAAGCTATTTAAAAACTTACGATGAAAACTAACTGAACTAATGACGACCTCGTATTTTATTTATTTCAGCCACTTGCCAGTTTGAGCAACGTTACTTGTCCACCTTTGACGGAGTTACTGCCCGTTACAAACCCGAGGTCGCCAAGGGTTGTTATCACCTTTTGACTGCTGACTGCTCTGGAAAACACACCATGGCCGTGTCTGCCAAGAACTTGGGAACTCAAGACATCAAATTGAAGGTTGTCCTCTCTGGCGCTAAGATCACGATTGGAAAACAACAGTCAGGACAAGGAATCGTCCGCCTCATCAAGGCAACTCAAACCCGTGCCCTTACCGTCCTCGTCAACGTAGGTCTTAATTTTTATATCAACCTTTGGATTATGGATTGGGTCAAATTATAATTTTTGTCTTATCATAGGGACAAGAGGTTCAACTCCCATACACCGTCAGGAAAGAGAACCAGAAACAAAAGAGCAACGACTTTGTTGCCAGAATCAAGGACATGTCGAATGGAGGTGTCCAGATTGAGACCGAGGAACAGGATATTGGTTTCGATGGAGAGCGAATTGTCATCTACGGATCTGAAGTTTACCGTAATGTCACTTGCGGTATGTGCGGTGATTTCGATGGAGAGAAGGTATGCAGTAATATAATATTACGCCTCATTGCCTCCCCTCTCCAATATCAAAGAACTAACTTTTTTGTAATAATAATTTTTTGATAGGTCGCTGATTTCCGCAGCCCCCAAGATTTCCCCCTGAGCTCTGCCACTCTTTTGTACGCCAGTTATGCTTACAACTCCAAGAGCGACAGCGAAACCTGTCACGTTGAGCCAGCCGTCCGTCAGCTTATCAAGCAAGAGGAATCCATTGGACAACAAGGCCACAGCCGTAGCTACCTGTCCCGATCTGCCAGACAAGGTAGTGTCTACGGAAAGAAGTCCAACAAGAACCAGGCTTCGTCATCTTCATCCTCTTCCGAGTCCAGTGAACAGTACTCGAAATCATCCCGGGGCCAACAAAAAAAGTCGCCAAAATCCCCCAAGGTTCACCAACAAATCCGCATGCTCGAATCCAAGAACAAGATCTGCTTCTCTGAGAAGAAGGTCGAAGCTTGCCCATACGGATATCAACCAAAGGGTGGAAAGACCATCTCTGTCCAATTCTCTTGCTACAAGAAGAACAGTTCAGTTGCTAACGAAATCAAGCAACAACTAAAGTCTCGATTCGTCGACCTGTCTCAATCTCAGTACAGGAGCTATGCCGAACGTCAAACCCTTGATGTTCATGAGAAGCCAAACCAATGCGTTCGTTCTTATTAAACAACTACAACTCTTCAGCTTAAAAGAAAATCTACTCTAAACTCGATCGTCATACTGTAAACTGTGATTCACTTTCTTCTCTTTTTTCATTTTTCTGTCCGAAATTAATGTAGTATTTTAGCTTGAATCCCACCTCTCTACAACTTACCCCTCGTAGTACATATCGTAGTGTAATATTCTCTCGCCTTGCTCACTTTCTTCGCAGTTATGTTGATGATACACATTCGAAAATATTTATTTATACCAAATTTAGTTTAATTCGGTTTAATTTATTTTCAAAATTCGACATTATTTGGAACCAATAAATTATGCATTATATTGAAATCAATCAAATCATGATGTTTTTTGTTTAAATATTTGTTCACACATGAAACACAGTTTTTCTCATCTGTTTAGTTTTCTCTGGGCATAACTTGGACAGCCCAAAAAATATTCCTATAAATACTGCACATCCGCCCAAGAGTAGGACGATATTGACTAGAAAGTTGGTAACGGGAAGTTTTCCAAAGTTTCCGAGATCATCCCAATTGTCAATAATTCCTTCACTTGCATTGTGAGAGCTGTCCATCTTACAGAAATTCCCAACAGGGTTGAACATGCTTCCATTTTTCGTTGGTAGTTCGGCATCTCTGAACAATTCATATTGCAATCCTCGAATGTTTAGCCGACTTTCACTCGCTGAGTCGACCCCACTCCAAGAACTGCAAGAATACGAACTGCCAAATGTGGTAGGTGTAGTAGTGTCGACAGTCTCATCAAAATCCTCTGTATCTCTGAAGGCTGCATAAATATTGGGTTTAGATACATTTGTATTTTTTTTTAAAATGGTCTTAAAATGAATTTTTGTTAAAAAAAACTTTTGCATTTGAGACTATTCAGGTAAAGAACAAATCTCAACTTGCCTCAAACTCTCAACTTTTCTTAAAATAAAATTGTGTAAAAAAAACTTTGTGTTTAACAATATTCTCTCAACTTGCCTCAAACTCTCTTCTTTCATGTAATGAAGAAATCGTGAGCTCACCGAAATATCTGTATTTTTTCGCTTTCACTCCAACTTTTCCTCCATCTTGTTTCAGCGTGGCGTCCAAATCCACCAGAACCAACCGGAAGGCATCTCCTCCTTGTGTTATTAGGAAATGAAATCTGAGAACTCCCAAAGCCTCGTGTCCTCCTGTCCGACTTAGACTGTTATTAAATGAGATTTGTAGCACTCTGAGGTTAAAATTACACACGTTTTCAATTTGTACTAAAACAGTGTTTTCTGAGATGAGATCAATTTCTTCGAGCTCTATTGTTGCTGGCTTATCTTTCTTACGCTTATCTTTATTCTTATCATTTATTTTAGTGTCCTTCTTACTCTGAACAATGAGAGAAATTCTTTTCGTAACGAGTGAAACACAACCCGTCCAGGAAATGTATGTATTGTTATCATTTTCTAACGAGTTGTTTTGCTTCGTAATAAGACTAGTTTCTTCCGGGACGGTGGAACAAAGACATTGAATATGCACGCACAAAAATAACAAGAGTTTCACTAGGATTAATTTGTATATTTTTTTCTCCATGATTTTTATACAGTTATAACTTATAGATTTTATGTTGACTATTTATTCTCGAAATTATACATTTCTCATGAAATGGGTACAATAAAATGAGACATTTTTGTTTATATTTATATGATTTTTTTCACTGACTTTGTAACAGGATTAAGTAACTACCTACGCGTGTGTGTGATAATTAAGCTATTCTGGACCCGATAATTGATAGCACTACTAATACGTAATCTCCTCTTTTTATACCTTGACCAGCAGTATCGCAAGTGCTTTAAAAAAACAAGGACAATTCCGGGTTTAACTTTATAGGGCGAACCAACACAGAAGTCAATTTAATGAACAATGCCATGAGTGTGTGTGTAATTAGTGCAGAAACACAATGAAAGTAGAATCATATCATAATCATAATAGTTAGTCAACATTTTATTTATTAGTCAGTTTTAGGAATGCTCATATTGAAAGGCTTGTTGGAAAATATTTTATTACACAAAACAACATTATTAATTCACAATGACCCTGAAAGTTGAGATGATTTTGATTTTTTGATGAATCATAATGCTTTTTACGACGGAATAATCCACCAAGAATTAAAAATAGTACGTAGAACCATTAATGTAATAATTTTTTTATTGTAAGTTATAAATCAGAAATTAAACTGTACAAATAAACAAGAATCAATACATGCGTGTAACTTTAATGTGGGCATGTGATGATAAGTACTGTTTGACCTTATTACACACATACATGAGAGATTTATATACGTATTGATTGATTGACTTTGATATCCGGATATGAATTATCAGCTGATAAGGTGATACTTACTTACCGCATAATGAAATTGAAGTTGCGAAGGACCACTGTTATCATCAGCGTCCTTCACAAATGAAATGCAGCTTTTCTCCACAATCGCTCAACTTATACTTGAAATCGGTCATTTTTCTGAGGGCGATGCAACCATTGGGAAGACAGTCGTCCTTGCAGTCTTCTCCGGAAGTTATGACCGGCTCGACATCTCCACCACCGTCTTCTTCGCTGTCGTCGATGAACTCGTCTGGATTGGTGGATGGGCAGGGAGGTGGTGGGCTCGGGTATTCACAGGGGATTATATCGTCACATTCGATTTGTGGGGGTGGACAATTTACGGTTGGGGGAGGGCAGGCATAACTTGGACTCGGACAGTTTACAATAATTCCAGGACAATTTACTTCTGGAGGACTGCAACTTACTTTTGGTGGCGTGCAATGCGTCCGTGGAGGCGGGCAGTAGACCTGTTTTTAACTTATATTGTAGCAAGATTTATTGAATACGCATCATTTTAGTGGTTTTATAAGGCAATCAGTCTATGAACTTACGTCAGGTTCGGGACAATCGATAACAGGGTCAGGGCAATGTACAACGGCAGGTTTGCAAATTGTTTGTTCAGGTGGACACGTGGTAATCGGTGTGGGGCAAATAATTGGTCCCGGTTGACATATTTCCGGTTCCGGTTCGCATTTGAATAAAGGCTTGCAAAACGTTACTGGGGGAGCACACTTGGTTCCACTGCATGGAGATTGGGTGGTCGTGCAGTCGTGCTTGGTCGTAGAGCAGGGTCGCCTCGTGGTAGTGGTGCATGGCCTGGGTGTCGACACGTGGCACGGTGGGTTGACCGTGACGCAGGGTGGACGCCAAGTTATACATTCTGGAGTAGTGATTTCACATGGGGGACGATTGGTGGTACATTCTCTGGTTCGAACTAGACAGGGCTCCTACAAACAGATTTATGTATGACATTTTAAAGGATATTGCATTTTTTGTGTATTTTTGTCAGAATTTTTACCTGAATAACAGTGCAAACTGGATTTTCTATCGTGCAGTTGTTACAACTGGCCCCACATTCTGGCCTGGTCACAGTGCATGGTTTACAACTTGTAATCTGACAGGGCAACGTGGTTGTGATACAATCGTCCAAGGTGACATTGCATTTTCCTGGGGTGCACCTCGGAGTAAGAAATCCGTTCTTGCAACGGGGAAGATTTCCCTTTCCTTTAGATTCGAGATGGCTCAATTTTTCCAACATTGTTGTAGAGGATGGAAAATTGTTGAAATTTATTGGAAAGCTGGGAGTTGGATGAGTCCACAAGTATTTCACTCCAGTAGATGCTTGATATTTTACTCCGGAAGTCCAAATATTTTTGAACTCTGTAGCCAAGAAATGATTAATTTACTGATTTTAAATGCATTTTTAGCCCGAGTTAGGGCTTATGGAATCGTGATGTTCATCTTCGTCTGCCTGTCCGCTTGCGATACGCTAACGGACGAACCGAACCGAATTTACCAAAATTTAAAAATGTTCTCGCCGGAGAAACCCAACATTTTTATTCACATTAGTTTTTGAAATTTGAAATTAGAAAAATAAATTTCTAGAAATTTTGTACCACATCGATTAAAAGGGTGGCCTACACCGCTTTATTAACGTAGTCGAAAACAGCTAAGATTTTGCATGCTTATGAATTGCTTATGAGAATGGATTGTGATTAGGAAAACTACTTTTTTAGTACCTCATGTGTATGGAAATTTTTGTCGAGAAATCGTTAAATTTACACAATTAAGTAATAGTAGTTGGGTAATATGAACAAAAAATCGGAATAGAATCTGACCCTGCCTCGGGATAGATGAAGTTTGCACTGTATATGCAAATAGCTTATTCATTAAGTGTGGATATTAATTTACCTAAACTGCGGAGATACGGGAGCAATTTCCGATACTCCGTTTCATTTTCGAAAGTCACAAGGTGAAAGTTTTTCCCTATACTTTCACAAACTTTCTCTGCTTCTTCAGCGGTGGCCTGATTATAAATATCGTTTATTAAGACTTCTAACATACATAATTATAAAGCTCATGTAAATTAATTTGTGAGTCTTTTCATACCGGTTTGTTGCTGACAAAGTAATCAAAATCATCACCGAGGAGGAGTGGAGTGAAATCTACATATGCATATGTATTTCAATTGTTAATCGTTTTATATGTGGATTAATTGGTATAATTATTTATGTATTATCTGTACCTCGCAAATCGTTAATTATTGTAACATTTTCTGGAACAATGCAGATTATCAAGTTGATCATGGAAAATAGAATTCCAGCTAAAACTGATTTGTTAATCATTTTGTAGATATTTTATTAAAATCAGCACTGGTACTTAATGGTTTTTATGGAATATCTGAATTCTACTTAATGTCCTCGGACTGGAATCTGGGGTACCTATAAAATCCAGAAAGGTGTCCGATTTCTATTTATTCCAGTTCAGCGAAACCGATAGTACTAATCAATTTCATGGTTTCCAATATGATAAACTCAGTTTCAGTCCAATTATGCAAATTTTGCACCTGCACGAAGGCCTTCCGTCCATATCTTCGTCGACAGAATTTTGCTTACTTTCATTTTACTTTGATCCTTATTTGCTTTATTACTCAACAAATGTTGCGACCAAACGTTTTTAACCCAAACTTCATTGAGATTGACAATTATCACTAAAATTTACATTGATTAAGTTAATATCAATATTTGTTTGACCTAATTATTACCTTTGATATCATTGCTGGATCCTGGCTTTACATGGAATTCCAATATCAGAGAGAGAGAGAACATTGTTTGCCTTGATGAATTTAAGTGAAATGTAAAATTTACATTAAATGAACCAAAGATTATTTATTCTTTACACGAGTTGACTTTAACAAACAAGGTCACATTGTTGACAAATTTGATAATGACTTTTAACCAAGAGAATTTCCCTTGACTTTTTTTCAAGATTATTACATAAATATTAATCATAGTACGCAATCTCGATCAAATTTCCATCAGGGTCTCGAACATAAATGGAATTCATACGACCCCTGGCTCCAGTTCCTAGAGCACAACAAAATATAATAATAAAAATATTAACAAAATTAATAATAATATAGTACTTGGCACGGGGCCTTCCTCCACCGAAATGTTGAGCCTTGCCAAGTGCTCTTGCCATTTTATTAAAGGATTTTCACTGACGAAACATAAATCACCACTTCCTGCCTGTAAACAAATAATGGGATCATTCTTTGGCCAATTTAAATTTTAAGGTTTCACGGTGAGACTTTCACCCGTTTCCGTTTTACCTTTGGAACAAGTGCATGTGGTTTGAATTCTTTCCCAACTTCGTGCAAGTTGATCTTTTGTATCCCAAATTGGAGAGCTGTACGTTCTCCATTCGGGCCAAATTTGATGGTCTCCATTCCCAAAACCTTTTCATAGAATGCAATCGATTCTGCCAAATTTTTCACGGTGAGGACTAAATGGTCGAAGCTTGACACCTGTAAAAAAATTATTTTACTTATACACAGTAAAACAAGGTAAAGATTTGTATGCATGATTTTGTATGATTGCATGATGTTGTGTGTTGTGTACCTTACAGCAAGTATCCATTTTTGCTAAATTATTAATAAGTAAATTTATACTGAGATAAATATTTTGTTTTTTTGATTCCGTATGTTACGTGATACCTCAGATTAAGCTTGATTTCCCACCAATTTCACATTAAATATTTCAATGTTATAAAGATTTTATCGTACATATCTATAAATATGCGACAGAATCCGTTTTATCAGAAATCATATTTGGAGAAAGTTAATAATAAAATATAATCCGACATGGTTTTTCTTGGCATCAGTCGTGCATCGCTTATTTACAGATTCTGTATTTTCTTTCGTCGTCGTTTTTCTTTGTCGGTTCACATAAAAGGAAAAGCATAAAAAAACACTGCCAAGTCAAAGCAAAACTTGTTTGTTACAGCAACGTCGTAGTAAAATGTTGATGTGCCTTTTAGACAAACATTTCATGTTTTATGACAGTAGTTTTTCTTTTCCTGGTGGAAAGTATCATCATTGTTTTGCTTTCATCTTTTCACCCACTTTATGTACTTCAGCTTGAGGGAAACTCTTCTCTGGTTGAATTTATATTAGCCAAGTTCGCAGTAAAACGGTAGAAATGGAACAATAATGAAGACACATAAAATCACAAAAGTCAGGATGCAAAAGATGAAAGCAAGATTGTTCATTAGTTCGAGGAGATAAGGGTATCTTGGTAGGAGAAAGTTAATGGACTCAACTATGACATATTGACGACATGATATCTGTGCTTTCTCCCCCGAAAACTATGAAAACAATGCAATTCCCAACAACCACCACGGCGATATTCATTCGTTTTCTGCCCATCTTAGGAAATGGGGAAAGCAACAGTTTTCTCAAAATTCCTTCGGGAATAGGAAACTGCTGCTATGCTGCCCACACAATTTAAGGTCGTCGTTTCGTTTCCTCGGGGTGGAGGATAGTCAGTTCAGGCAGTTCAGTTGGTCTTGGTTTCACGGGTGGCGTAACATTTCATCAAATCCATTCGCATTCGTATTCGCAGTCATGATGAACAGGTCGAGTTGCGGTTGTGTTGCGGATGGAGGAACGAGTTCATTATATGGCATTTGTTTCATAGGCTTATCAGAGTATATTTATGTACGAAACCGAAAGCGGATGTAAAATTCTCGACTCATGATGGCTCCAGAATAGGCCAAAAAGTAATTGGACATTTGAACCGAACAGGAAATGAAAACCCAGGAGCTGTACACATGTAAAATGATTCGGATGGGTAGATTCGGATGTTTTCTAAGAATTGAAGGTTTATGTATGTAAATTGTACCGAATTTGCGTAAGGTTTATGAAAACGTAATGTAAAATTCGGCATTTATGGGCAATCTGAGAATTTGTAATCTACGCAGGTATCCGGTTTACCATGAAACATTGTTTACCATGAAAAGATAACTTAAAAAGCAAATCAGTACAATATTTGGTTAACAGTACTTATCTCTTTCTTGTTAAACTTTCGGATGATAACCTTTAATACGTAAAAAGTGTTGCGCATATAAATAGATTTTTATTTACAGCTTTTTTTCATTACACAACTCTTGTTATTTATTAGAATCACGTACTTCACAAATGTGTCAAATTGCAAAGCTTATTTTCTCATTAGTTCAACAACCACTTGGACGAAAACTTGATCCAGTTGTTGTTGTCGACGGAATGATCTTTGTCACAAAAAAGCTCTCCTATCCCCTTGGTACATAATACCTTCGTCCCTGGAGATCTCCTCAGGTGAAAGCATCGCACCCTCTCAAAAAAGATTGCTCTCTTAAATAACAGCAAAAAAAACATTCATCCTGTTGAGATTTATAAAACAGGTAGGATGCAACCTAATTGTCCAATTAGTTTAGTAGTCAACTCAAATTCTGGCTGGTTTTAAAGTTTTTTGCTGAACTTGGATCTGCATATTTGCATACGTTAGTAATGAGCAAGTTGACATTTGGCATGTCTAATATTTCTTGGTGCTTCTTCACCACATCGTAAATGAACACGCCGTGGAACTGGTGGAACTTGCCCCTTTATTATCCGAGTTCATGTTGAACCCTGGGAAACATGGGCTCGGAAACAGGATCAACTGGTTGGTAGCTTGGTCGTGGTGGTGGCTTTGCTGGTGGTGGTGTTGGAGCAGAAAAGAAAGTTTCGCTTTCTCCCCAACTCTCATTCCCATTTCTACGCTGAAACGACCAACAGTTTTATTTCCACTTTCTCTCTGCAATAACTTCATCACTGTCGCATCCGACCCAGGCGATCTGAGAGTACGGTCTCATTTGGCCTTTGTTCTTCTCTTGTTCTTTAGTCCACTTGAGAACATTACTTTCACCGGATCACTGGAGTAATACATGTCGTCTGCTTTCTCCTTTGAGAATTACATTTAATTCCTTTCTAAACGAGTACAAAGGATTTTCTGGGATTGCGAGAGGTGAGTTGAGTACTATATCTAATTTCTTTTCAACTACGTACGTTGCAAAATAAAGCTACGGTAGAAATGGGAGTCGCAAGAGAAATAAGGTACAAATAGTTTGGGGAAAATGAGTTGTTATGTAATTTTTAAAATTGTATGTGGGGTGAGATAACCTGAGCATTACTTCGACTGCAAAAGTTTTTGGGTAAATTATTTTTCCAATTTTAAGTTCTTTGACTATCTGTCGATCTCACATTAAATTCTGAATACTTTGAGGAGAAAAGTGATTTTTCCCTTTTGTAATAGAATTTTAACTCACTTATTCAAGTGCTCAACTCATAAAACTTGAATTGCATAATTGATTCCAAGTTTACTAAACTGAGAATCATCGTCAGAATTATATTATGCCAAATTACAGTTGGACCAAAAATAAATGCAATTATTTTTCCAGTCTGTGCAATCCAATAAATCAAACAATAAAATATTCCCACTCGAATCATTTCCGTTTCTGTGAGTCTTGAGCGAAAGCAGGGAATAGATAGACAATTACTGTACACTTTCTCCTCCAAAACTGCCTTCGCAATGTAAAAACTGGCAGAAAGGTATGGAGTAAAAGGAGCTCCAATAGTTTTTCCAAACACATTAAGTCAGGCTACAAAACTCCCGAGTAATTCCCCAGTGATCAATTTGAGACGCTTGTAATCAGAAAGTTTGAACAGGGAGCGTGGGACGTGTTCTTGCATCTATTCAATTTTGATCCACTGTTTCACAGGAAAATGGCAGTTCTCAACTTTCTCCTACTTTCTCTCTTCCTCATGACGGGGATCTGTCTGGAACTTTGTTCTGCCGCTCCGACAGCTCTAACAGCATCTCCTCCGGAAACAGGTGGGCTTATTTTACGAAATTTTCAGGATTTTCCAAGATGTAGAGTAAGTAATTGCATGAAGGATGAATTGAAATGCCCATTTCTACCTGAAAAAATAGGTACTTGTTGGATTTGGTTAAATAATTATGTTTTTATTTGTGCAAGTTACTTTAGTTAAGATTATCATTGATGCTGTGCTTTGGCTGGTGGTGTCATTATTTTCATGGTTTTTTAGTTCTAGCAGTCACCACCACCAACCACGTCGCACTAGTTGTAACTTTAGACTTGGACAGAGCAACACGTATTTTTGGCTGAGCTCTGATTATTTATTTTAAAGTTATTTCAAAGTAGCAATTTTGTTAGTAAATGGTTCAATCTATTTAATAAAGTAGTGATCAGCAAGAGGAGATAATTTGTGATAAGTGCCAAGTTATTTCGGCTCAGTTGCGGCTACTAGGAACTCATTTACTCAAAGTTTTATCTCATCATCATCTCCAAGCAGGCCCTTATTCGGATTATCGGGTTTTTCGGGTAGAAATTCATACGAGATCCAACATTTCTGGCGCCCAACGTGGGGCCCTGTTTGGTGTTATCAAGAAGAAGGAGGAAGGAGTCTCTTAAGGCTGTCGACGACCCAGTGCCGACTTGGCGCAGCCCTTCACTCCATTTGAGGAAACAACCTGTCTTGCCTCTTTGAGGGCCCCGTCCCTGGCATCGGGGATCATCGCAGGTCGAAATTGTTTCAATTTTATTGGTTTTAAACCTCATTTAATTCTTGTCGTCCAATTTTACTGGGCACGTTTCTCTTTTGAGTTCGAGTTCAACCACTAGAGGGCGTGCGATACAAATTCCTTGGATCTGTTGCTACTACCGTGATGGACCAGTTGAGACAGTCCAGAGGCAGGGTTCGGGCATCAATAACGCGGACCATCACAGAAGTCGAGGCCGAGTTATCGAAGAATGCTCCGGATTTGCTCGTCCTTCGTGCAAAATCACAGAAGTTGGAAGAATGGCAGTCCAGAGTGGCGGAGTTGGATCACAACGTCCTCAGGGCCATGCAGGAAGCAACCTGTTCGGACGAAGACTACAACAAGGAGGGTGAAGTCTGTGAAGAATATGAAGACAAGATAAGGCTCGTCCAATTGAAAATCACAGATCTTCTATCGACCCCTCTACAGTTACCGCTCTTGAGACCGATCAGCCCAGATAACAGCTCCCAGTGGTACAATTCAGTTGCATCATCCGGAGGAGAGAGAAGACGCCAATTCAAACTTCCTAAGATCAATTTGCGCAAATTCAATGGTGAATTGAAGGATTGGCTTAGCTGGTGGTCCCAATTTGTGAAAATACATGAAGATGATACCCTTCACACCAGTGACAAGTTTGAATATCTCGTCCAGTGCATGGTGGTGGGATCAAGAGCTCGGGATTTAGTCGACGTGTATCCACACACTGAAGACAACTATCCCAAAGTAATTGCGGCATTACACGAGAGATTTGGAAAGCCGAAACTATTAAAACAGTGGTACGTGAGGGAGCTGTTGAAGATGGTGATTCAAAATGTGAAGCAGAAGGAAGAGTTCATGCTGCCTAAACTCTTTGATAAATTGGAGTCTCACCTCAAAGCATTGGAGTCCCTCGGCGTGTCCTCAGAACAAATGGCAGAATTCCTTTTCCCCATGGTCGAGTCAAGTCTCCCTGAAGACATCTTGAAGGCATGGCAAAGGAGCAATTATTATGGCATGGACGGGTCCAGAGAAATTCCTCCCAAAAGTGAATTGGATTACCTCCTCAAATTCCTGCGACAAGAAGTGGAAGCCGAGGGTCAAAGAGCAATGGCGAGGAATGGATTCGAGTCCAATGAAAACAGTAAGAAGGACGTTTGCGCAAAACCAAAGAACAAGAAACACGAAAGCGATGTCCCAACTCTGGCGGAGTTGCATATCAACGAGTCCAAGAAATCAAAGTCTTGTATCTTTTGTGCAAAACCTCACGAAAGCAAGGAGTGTGGCTTCGCGAGGAATATGACCCATGAAGAGAAACAGAAAAAGGTGATCGAAAATCATGCTTGTTTTCGGTGCTTAAAACCAGGTCACAGTTCCAGAAAATGCAAAGCTTTTGTGAAGTGTATTATCTGCCAGCATGATCTTCAATCAATTATGTGTCCCTCACTGTCCAATGTCAAGAAAGAAAGCAAACCTAAGGAGGCAGAAGATGAGGAGCAAGAAAGAGTGAATGTTGGTACGATTTGTGCAAAAGGAATGCTCTTTGAAACTTTGTCTGTGAGATTGGTCGGGAAAGATGGAAAGCATCACACGGCAAGAGTTTTCCTAGACAGAGGGTCAGCCCGAAGCTTCATCAAAGAGTCAACATCGAAATTATTGGGATACAAGCCCGTCGGAGAAGACATCTTTGGGAAAGAGTTCCTTGAAGGACCGGGATCCGGATCTCGAAAACACAACCTGTACGATGTGACGGTGACCAACTTGAAAGGAAATTTTATGAAATGTGTACAACTAACAGGATTAAAAACTATGTCTTGCAAAATCCCGCGTATCCCGAATGGACCCTGGATTGAAGAAATCAAAAGCAAGAAAATTAATCTGAGTGATTTCAACTACAGCAACAGCGACGAAATCGACATCCTCATTGGTGGCGACAAGATACCAGGCCTACTGACTGGAAAGCAAATTATCCTTCAGTGTGGAATGGTCGCTACCGAGACTCATTTTGGATGGGCGCTGTTGGGGCCGCTGGACCAGAACCAGATCAAACCAATTTTCAATACCGTATTGTGCAGTCATCTCAACGACATCACAAACTATTGGGATTTAGACGTGTTGAGCATACGCGATCCAATAGAGGTCAAAACAGAAGCCGCCGCAGCTGAAGAAGCGAAGAAGCTGTTTGCTCAAAATATTGGAAAGGAACCTGACGGACGCTATGTCGTATCATTACCGTGGGCGGAAGGAAAAGAAGAACTACCAGATAACAAGTGGGTGGCTGAGAAGCGTCTCCAGAACGTAACCAATTCATTGATGTCCAAGGGCAAGTATGAAGAATATGACAAAGTGTTTCGTTCTTGGGAAGAAGAGGGGATTATTGAGGTTTGTGCAAATACGGATGTCTCCAAATGTCACTATCTTCCTCATCGCCCTGTCTTCAAAGAAAGTGCCACCACACCAGTTCGTCCTGTTTTCGACGCGTCGTGTAAAGTCGGTAAACACCCTTCCCTCAATGATTGTTTATACAAGGGACCTAATATGATTGAATTAATCCCCTCTGTGTTGATGAAATTTCGTGAGAAGAGAATAGGAGTGATGTCAGATATACGAAAGGCATTCCAAATGATCTCGATTTGTGCAAAAGATCGAGACTTTCAAAGATTTATGTGGTGGAATGACCGAAAGCAACTTAAAGTGTACCGACACACTCGAGTAGTCTTTGGAGTTAGCAGCAGTCCTTTCCTACTCGCTGCAACCCTTAAATACCATTTGGAAAATGTGGAGGTGGAGATGAAAGGATTTGCGCAAAATCTACTCCAATCTCTGTACGTTGATAATTGTTTGACTTCAGTTGACAATTATGGAGAATACGAGCGCTTCAAATCCCAGGCCACGCGACTCATGAATGAAGCAAAGATGGACCTTCGCCAGTGGGAGTGCTCTACTGTGGAGGTGTCCGGAATCGGCTCGCTCACCAGCAGGGAGTGCGGATTGGACAATGGCAGTACCACTTCAGCAAATGTTCTTGGCCTAAGTTGGGATAAGAAGACAGATACTCTTAGTTGCTCTATTCCAGAGAAACCAGAAAAAATGACGAAGCGGGCGGTACTCTCACAAGTTCATAGGATATTCGACCCTATTGGCTTTACTTGTCCCGCACTTCTTCTACCAAAACTAATTCTGCAGAAAACTTGGGACCTGAAGATTGATTGGGATGAATATTTGCCCGACGATCTGATGAAAATGTTTCAAAAATGGGTAGAAGAAGTACCAAAGTTATTGCTGATCCAGATTCCTCGACACGCGTTTGGAGGAAGAATTTGCACAAATCAGTTGCATTTATTTGTGGATGCAAGTCAGGATGCCTTCGCAGCGGTGGTGTTTGTGCGATCTGAGGATGAAGATGGAATCAAAGTGCAGCTTATCGAGGCGAAGAATCGCGTGACTCCAATCAAGAAGCCAGCACCGACAATTCCAAGACTCGAGCTCTTGTCCTGCCTAATAGGATCAAGAATTTTGAAGCGAGTAATTGAGACTCTCGAGCCCAAAGAATGTAGAATTTTTTGTTGGACGGACTCCTCAACAGCTTTGGCGTGGATCCGTCGACGAGAAAATTGGGGAACCTTTGTCGGGAGAAGGGTGAAAGAGATAGCCAGCAACACGGACGTTGACACCTGGCGACATATTCCTGGTGTCCTCAATCCGGCGGACCTTCCTTCTCGTGGGTGCTCTCCCAAGGAACTTTTGATGTCCAGATGGTGGGAGGGGCCAAAGTGGCTGAAATCAAAATTGGAAGATGGGCCATGTAGCGAACCAGTTTTCGACGAGAAGGAAATTGGGCTGGAGAGGAAGAAGATAACCGTTCCTGTAAGTGTATTCAAAGAAAGGAGTGTCCCAGAACCACACTTTTCAACATTTGCACAAAACTTGAGAGTATATGGATGGATTCGTCGTTTCTTCAACAATTGCCGAGCCAAGAAGAACGAACGGATAAGCGCACCTCATCTCAGTCTTGCAGAACTTCGATCTGCGCAAAATGATTTAGTCAGGCTAATTCAACAGCAGTCAATTCCTGAGAATACGGATACTATCTGCAACATACAATTGCGCAAGGATGAGGATGGAATTTATCGAGTCATGACCAGAATAGTTAATAAGGAGGAAACTGAATCATTTAAGAATCCTGCTTTCCTGCCAAGTTATCATCCCTTGGATATCAAATGGTGATAGATATACATAAAAGATTTTGCCACGCGGGAGTCCAATTCATCATGAGCGAGATTAGAAAGAAGTATTGGGTGCTCCACGCAAGAAGAACAATAAGGTCGATTTTGCGCAAATGTGTAAAATGCAGACGATATGATGCGGTGAAGACAGAAGTTGATGCTGCCGCCTTGCCCGAGAAGAGGACCACGATCGGACAACCGTTCCAAACTACCGGAGTTGACCTCGCTGGCCCGTTAATTTTACGAGACGGAACTAAAGCGTGGATTGTTCTGTACACCTGCGCTGTGTACCGATGTGTGCATTTCGACATTGTCACCTCTCTGAGTACCGACGCTTTTCTTCGATCACTGGAGAGATTCATCTATACCGAAGGAAGACCAAAGAATATCTTCAGCGACAATGGGACCAATTTCGTCGGTGCCGTCAGCCTCATGAAGAAGTTGAAGTTGGAGAAATTGGAAGAGATTTGCGCAAACAAAATAAATTGGACATTTAATCCACCTACAGCAAGTTGGTGGGGTGGATGGTGGGAGCGTTTGGTGCGAACCACCAAGGATCTCCTGAAGCGAACGGTGGGAGCTGCAAAGTTGACCAACGATGAATTACGGACTTATTTGGCTGCAGCGTCCCACACTATCAACGCTCGTCCCCTTAACGCCGTTACCGAGGACCCAGAAGACTTGACCCCCCTCACTCCAGACGCCTTCCGAAGAGGGCTTGCCATGAAGGGGTTCCCAGAAGCAGAGGAAATCAAAGTGACTGGACGCAAACTGCAAGAGAGGTACAAGATGCTACAACATCTCAAACAACAGTTCCAAAACAGATTCCGAGATGAGTATTAATCATTTGCGCAAAAAAGAAGACGTCCCCTGCTCTGAAAGTGAATGATGTCGTCCTGATTGGTCATGATAATGTAAAACGCTTATTCTGGCCAATGGGAAGAATTATTGAATTGATACCCGGAGCGGATGGGAAGATTCGTACTGCGAAAGTGAAGACTTCGAAAGGAATCCTCCTCCGCCCCCTGCAACGACTGTACCCCCTGGAAATAAGAAATGATGATCTTCCTCAACCATCACTTGAAGACCAAGGAGTTATCCGGGAGGTAAAAGCAACCAAGATGAAGAGAATTCAAGAGAAAAACGATCTTATAGAAGAAGAGCTTGCGCAACCCGAGAGAACCAGATTTGGACGCATCTCCAAGAAGCCTCAACGATTTGGGAATGAAAATATTAGCTTTATGTGGTTTAATAATTAGTTCTTTTCATTCATTTAATTCAGAAAAGAGGTGGGAGAAATGTTGGATTTGGTTAAATAATTATGTTTTTATTTGTGCAAGTTACTTTAGTTAAGATTATCATTGATGCTGTGCTTTGGCTGGTGGTGTCATTATTTTCATGGTTTTTTAGTTCTAGCAGTCACCACCACCAACCACGTCGCACTAGTTGTAACTTTAGACTTGGACAGAGCAACACGTATTTTTGGCTGAGCTCTGATTATTTATTTTAAAGTTATTTCAAAGTAGCAATTTTGTTAGTAAATGGTTCAATCTATTTAATAAAGTAGTGATCAGCAAGAGGAGATAATTTGTGATAAGTGTCAAGTTATTTCGGCTCAGTTGCGGCTACTAGGAACTCATTTACTCAAAGTTTTATCTCATCATCATCGCCAAGCAGGCTCTTATTCGGATTATCGGGTTTTTCGGGTAGAAATTCATACGAGATCCAACAGTACTTATGTATGCAAAAATAGGTGCCTATAGAATTAGAGTACCGCATAAACATGATGTAATATGGAGGAAATTACACAATCGAACCGTAATAATTTGCTTAATATGATGTTTTCACCTTATAATTAAGTATTAATGTGTACGTGTAAGCCGATGAGGATGATTACATTAGTACAAAACCCTCCCACAAGTAAATGTCATGTCCATCTCATTTACTGCTTGGATATGGATTAGATGGGCTCATATTGCTCACCCGATTACTAATATTTTGGTTGGGTGGGTCTCCTGTCACAAAATATGATTGAACTTTGCTGCTTTTACCTACACCAGCTTTCTAAAAGATGAATGCGCTCATAATATGCAGAAGGATGAAAGAAAATCCAGGCTTATTGTTTCGCGAATGGGAAACTTGAATTCAATAATCCTGCCTGAATATTGAGCTGCTGGTCCTCGCTTCAAGCGGATTTATTTATCCTATTTAAAAGCCATTCTCTTCTAAATCCCACCAAATTTTCAGGAGCCATGATGTTCCCATTATTTTAATTATATAGGTTGCGTATTCACATTTTGTAAATTATTTATGTATGTATATCCATGAAATTTAGTTATCTCTCGTTTTTTCCCGTCCCTAATTTACTTAATCTTCGTAAAATCCTTGAATATTAAGCGGATCAAAAATTGGCTCAATCTTCTGAACAACAAGTTAATAAATTATTCACGTATCTATATTTATGCATTTGCCGAATTCACCCTTTCAAGACGACACTGGGTAGTACCCAGTGGGTACTGTTCCAATAGACGTCCATCCATAAATGATCTACTTTTATTATTGCTCTCAATTCGCTTTGCAAATATTGATTCACCGTGTACATAACTGCATTGAGGGCACCAAAATTGGAATGGAATAAGGTGTGCTAGGCTTCTAGCAGTGTGTACATTGATAAAATGGACACTCAAATCGGCTGGTATTAATGTTGAGGAAGTCTGCATATGGCATCTAAATTTCTATCTCGTCACCAGAAGTCTGTTTGATCTGACAATTACAAATATATTAATAGGCAAATGCATTCGACGAAACCTTGTTTACTGCAGGCAGGAAATGAGTTCGTTTGAATATTAATTGGTTCTGGCACAGGCAACAGATCCTAATTTTACACTTGAGGGAATAGATAATCAAACTCGTTGAATTGAAGTAAATTTGATCAACAGACTTTGCAGAAACAACTTTCTGTTAGTATGTACATTCGTTACAATTAATATTTGTAGATACGTTTGAGATGACATGAATTGAAATAACGTCAACTTTCTTGATCATTTCGCATTGTTGTTGTTATTTCTCCTCCGCTTGGATGAGAATTTGTGTCGTGAAATTTGGCATCTGTCATTCGCATGACGTGACACGAAATTGCATTAATAATGCCTGAGTTCGGGAAAACATGGTTGTTTACTATATGTACGTAGCACTTGTTCGCTAGTTTGGCCCTTGGGGTAAACTGTTTCTGGACATTTCTTGGACTGCATTCTTCAAATCTTGACTATCCAAGCGAAAAATAAAAGAACGTCATTAGTTAATGATGCCGTTTAACCTGAGACGAGAAGAAGAAAATGTTTTCTTATATTTTTAGGAGATATCATGACATTGGGTGACGTTATGTATCTCTGTCTGTCTGTGCTCGTGTCCTTAGAGAGCAAACAGGTCATGCGAGAAAGGTAATTTGATGTCTCCGGTTTTGTCAGACTACTTACTTGACAAATGTCAGGGCTAAACTGAAGCATATGTATCACGATGCATGTTGAATGAATTTGTACGTTTAGTTTACCTATGGGCAAGCAATATTTCTCTGTCTCTGGGTCGAAATACCGCAGCAAAACGCACGAATTTATCACATCCTTTTGCTTTTACGTGTTCTTAAGCTATATTTATGGACATATAGGTATGTACATACATAAAAATAATAATGGTTCTTAAATGTGCCAATGATGTTATGTATGTACATAATTATTTATTACTGCACTCGTAAGTGAACTGCACATTTCTTCCGCTATATAAAAATTACTTAGAAGACATATGTACTCTTCTTGCATGAGCAAAATATTAACAGTTATCTACGAGTGTTCGGAATCAGGGATGCATAAATGGACCGAGGGCGCATCAATTAGCGCACTTAACGAAGAATGACAAGCTCTCTCAGTTTGCTCTTCTCTGCCTTGATTAAGATTGATTGAGCTGTGCTGGGCTGGGTACTTCTTCTCTGGTGAAAGTTGGACAGCCATTCAAATAGCCTCAAGCCGATGGTGGATGGATATGCCATGATTCTGATTCATGGTTACGAGTTTATTTTAGAACATGCAACTGCTCCTCCTCTCCTAATTTACTGCTTATTTACTGCTCGGTTGGTACACACCTTGAGGGTGAAAGCAGTGTAACAACCTAAACCTAATTAATGCCATAAATGCGATATCTGCGTCAGTGGGGGCTTTAATTTTGTTAAAAATTCATGGTCTATATGGGCATTTTGTATATTCATAATTTAATAATTATTCTACACTTATTTTTAGTAGTACAAATATTTATTCGGTATAAATCAAACTTGACTTTCTCCTATTTCTTAAGTTCAGCTTTTTGTCCTTTTCAGCATCCAAGATTGCAACTGAAACAGAAGTAAATGCCAACCACGATGACGCAACTGATGACAAGTGAGTTTGGAGAAAGTCGCCAATTTTTTATGACATTACGAAAATCCATGCAATTTTAAAAGTGAAAGTACATGTAAACGCTTTTTAGCTTCAATAAATATGAATGTAAAATTCAGCATTTGACTAAAATACATATAATTCTCGACATTTTACATAGGAAACAGCCCACGGCTGCCCACTCTTCAACCGGAGAAAAGTCGATTTCTCTTGGATTCAAGCAACCTGCAGGTTTGTCAAAGGCGAAACGAGACGTAGAGCAGGAAGCTGACTCTGCCAACGGGAAAACTCCTTTGTATCTCTTCAAAAAAGATTTCTATCACCCCAACACCATGAGATTTCTCACTTCTTCTTTCACCAATGGAAATGGGAAAGGTGAGAGGAGGAAAGGGCAAAGATCGTTCGTTCATAGAAAATTGAGCCAAATATTTTGGAAATTTGGGATGAATGATATGGAAGGAATCGTTCGTAATTTGGTTTGATGAAGCAACAAAAAGTAGAATTTAATTTATTTCCCAAACATTTTCAACGCCTACGGACTAACAAATATTGCTTTGAAGTCGGTTATTGCATGCTTTTCAATTACGTGCATAGATCGGGTTTGAAGACCACATATCATATAAAACGTAGGTATAAATGTAGTAAACAATTTTATAAGGCGAGAAAATTAATTAAAAATCTCCCGTGACTGGAACTTTATTACAATCACACACGTTGTCGACACACGCTTTCTCCTGCCTGGGCTACGGACCACCTACACACTTTTCCTGAAAGTCGGTCTTTCAAAGAGTCCTCTTGCTACCTGTCCTTGATTCGTAATTAAATTTTAATTGCGAGCTGTTATTACCGGGTTTGTTTCTACAGCCTATTTTGCAATATGTTCCCAATTTATCTACCTTTGAAACAAATATTGCGTCCTCTTTTCCTGCTAAACATTTGTCAACCCGTTTTTACCGTTGTGTAATTTGTTGTGCAGATTTGTACCCTTTCTACACGAGAAGCCACTCAGGAGGTGTCAAGTACCAAAGGAACCGACGAAGTTTCCAGACGTAAGTTGTCACAAGATTGAGATTATTAGCTTGACATAGCCAAATATGAAATAAATATATGTCAGTGGTACATTTGTTTTGCCACAACCACGGATTTCTCACCAACTTTTTTTGGGCTAAAAGTTTTGTCAAGCAGCATTATTATAAGCTCCATTCCATAATCCACTTATTCTACAATAGAACAGATTTGTATGTACTTTGCTTTACCGAAAAACTCTTGACATGGCTTGACAAAAAAAAATAATGCTCTTGACTTGAGCGATCCAAACTAATTCCAATGCCCTTGAACAAATTTGGACAAAAATCTCTTCGCCGCATGAAAAAATTCCTGCTGGTAATAAATATCATGTCAGAAAGCCTATAGAAAAATTCCGAGAATGAACTGCCAATTATTTCCCACTCGAAAAACCCTTGCAAATCCAAGCATTACTTATTTATCATGGTTTTATCCTCCTGATTTCCCAGAGATCCTTTTGATTTATCCACGCTGCCAATAACTACATCCCACGCATCCCGACATCCAGCTGACGAGCTGGATCTGGAGCTAGATAATCAGAAAGACAAAGAAGCATTTTTCCGACTAATGGCTCTCCTCGCCTCCAAAGAGTCCAATCAACAGCAACCCAAGTACAACTTGTTGAATGAGGACTTTCTTCTCCCCGGAGTGAAAATGGACGAAAATGAGGGTACTTTTCAAGACGAAGAGGCTGAAGATTTGCCTCTTCCTATCGATCTCGGCTATTATGGCAGCGAACCAGGAGATCTTTTCTCCACAAATCATCCCACGGCGTATGAAATGGATGGCTCACCCACCGAGCTGACAAGAATGGGGATACGTTTGAACGAATATCCTGGAACTCATGGGCTCTACATGTCTCCACAGAAGAAGCAACGACAGGATACGGATGGTAATAATGATGATGATAATAATTATTAGTATGCCACTAATTTTTACTTGTTGCTTGCTTGAGAGTGGGAGAGAGAAGCCGCAGGAAGCTTATAACCCGAGAAATTAGTGTATTTAGTGCAGGACTAATGAGAATGTTCAAATTGAATTAGCAGTGGGTAGATTTTGCGCAAATTCGCAATACTGTCTGGCACAAATGCCGGATTGTTATTAGAATTTGTTGTATGTATTAGTACTTGAGCTTTCGCAAGAGGAATTCCATTGTTTATTTCGGTCGCTCGGATCCAACTAATGAGAGGATTGTTTATGAACAGAGACGAGGTATGTAGAAAGCTTGCGAAACTTTAGGTCTTTGCACAAGAATTTGAGTAGATTACATTTCACGTAAGAGTTTCCACAAGTTTACTTGCAGAATGGAAACAATAATATTTCTATTTCCAGAAATTTTTGCGTAATAGGATGAAATATCAGATTATTTAGTTGAGCTAGCTGTTGACGTAATGCTGACGCCAGTGAAAAAATAAAAGATGACGTTTGTCAAAGGACTTTATTTATTTATTTTGCGAATACCTTGAGCTTCGCCTACCTGCCATATAAGCAAGCATAAGGAGGATTATGGACCGTTTCTAATGATAATTCTCATCACTTGAACTTTTTTCATCTCTGAGAAGACTGAAAGCACTTTATATTAAAGTACACATAAGTCAGCTTTACGTATAAGTAGTTGCGTCATTCTGGACAATGCAATTTTCTAAGAGGATAAAATTTTCCTACAGATGAGTGGCTTGAAGATGCCGTTCCTTTGCAAAACCACTTTAAAACTCGACGATCCGACAACACACTTTTCAGATTTAACCCTGTCAAGAGCCACTTTCGGCGTTATCAGCGATCTGGACATTCCAATTATAACAACGCGGCGGACTTTGGAATTGCTGGAGGAAGGTTTGGATCATTCTATCCGACAATCGGGGAACAAATGTTGATTAGAAAACGGAGAAGTTTTAATCCAACTAAAGTTGCGCACTTGACAATGTAAAAACTTTTCTTAGCGAATTTCTTGGATAATTAGCACAAGGGATAGCTAACGATAAAAGTTTTTGATTGTGTGGATGTGATTATTGGAAATTGTTACTTACTTGGTTGTTATTATTATAGATCGTTGACTTGTAAAATATATATGTAGTTGATAGAATTGTATTAAAATATTACATCAAGATGGATTTACATATGTACATACATTAACCATACTAACCATTAATTAAATATATAATACATACGCATTTACATATGTATGTATTGTGCTTGCATTGGAGAAATTAGATCAAACGAGTAGTATGTAGTCTCATATTTACTAGGTTTACGCCGGGTTTAGACTTCACGTTAGCATCACGTTCTCGTCCCAATCCGATTTTTTGATTGGCTAATCAAAAATATCACTAAGACAATTAAAAATTTCGACCAATCAAAAAATCGGATTGGGAGGAGAACGTGATGCTAACGTGAAGTCTAAACCTGGGGTTAGTTACAATAAACAACTAATTGTTATGTGTTAGTGCATGCTAAAAAAATTATTTCGAGGATGAAAGCAGAATTGTGATATGATTATTGGTGGCTGGATATTTATGACTATTTGTTGGGACCTGGATTAAAGTTTCTCACTGGAGCAAAATTTCGCATTAAATTGGACTGGATTATGGATGACAAGGGGGTGGAAATGCATTAGTATATTATTGCACAAGTTTTATCAAAATTATCACTACTATTAAGTACGTACCATGATTTTGATTGGGAAGTTATTTATTGACTGTTTTATTTTAATAAGATCAGGAAAATAAATTGGCGTCTTTTTAATTTATATATTTGTCAGTTTTAAGTACATAAGTGTAAGAAGCACATGATGAGAGATTTTTGATATTTTTTAATTCAAAATCATGATATCGCGTTTCTCTTCTGGGCAAAATACGTCCTGGTTGGTCTTATCACAGACGCACACACCTCCCGTACATGCAGCTCCGGCGACGCATTGGGGTGTTTCTTGACATTTTTGTCCACCAACTCGTTTGCAAGTTCGTTCCCCTAAAATGAATTATTTTTAATTAAGTATACATCATAGAATAGAAAGAATACATTTACATTTGAAGAAAAAATTTTCGTCGGCATAAGAAAGTCTCACTACACAAAAATATTCAGCTATGAAATGCAAATGGTTGCATCTGAAAGTCGCAAAGGTATTTTTCCTTATGGAACATTCGTAAAATACATAGCGCAAGGTTAAACAGTGTTCTCAGCATTTTAGAATAAAACTATTAACGGAGCTCACTTTGAAATTAATAATTTTCTAAATAATTTATGGGGAAAAATGTTCATCGACTCACCCTTCACGGGGTCCCAACTGTTTGACATCACGGTCCCGTCGGGAAGATCATCACAGTTGCAAGCACCCTAAATAATAGCACATTCTTAGGATTAGTTAGATAATTTTGATGAGCAATACCAAAAATTATTTTCACTTACTGTTCGACAAGTTGTTCCCGGTGGGCAAACTTTCTTGGTGTCTTTATCAATGACCTGCCAAGAGCCTCCTGGACCTGTGGGGGCCGCTGATGCTGAGCAATGTCCCCCGACTTCCACATTAATCACTTTACCCGGTGGCTGCTGCGGCTTTGATTGTGCTACCGCGATGACGATAAGCAGAATTGCCACTGCGAGATACTGATGATACGATGCCATGATACGCAAGAGGATGTTATTTTTGGTAAACAGAGATAAATATGTAGGTTTATAACGCAGATAATAAACTGCAGTTCTGCGCGTGAGGATTATCGTTAACTGCGGATCTGTTTAGTTATTACAGCGACTTTTATACACAGAATCGGCTTTGTATTCAATAACCTTCCTTAACTTAGGAATGACGCGTTTGCCAACTCGTAGTATTAATACGAGTGTAAATCCCTGTGTTAGTAAATTAAATACGATGACGAGAGCATGAAAACAACAGGTAGAACTTGACTGTAAAAATGTAAATGAATTCTGGTAACCAATCATCGTGCCAGGCTATAATAAAACAGAAAAATAATGATCTTCCTCTTGCCTCTATTAATGTCATCCGTAGCTGTATAGCAATAGGTTACAGATGTAGGTAATGTATGTAACATGAAACACACATATCTGCAAATTTACACGTGCGCTTTTTTCTGTGTAAATCATGCAGATGAGGGTGACTAAACGAAAAAGCGAACAAATACATAAATAATTCAACTATTTAAGACTTAAGCCGTATTATTTCCAATCATAACAGGTTTCTAGTGTGAGAGTGACATTTGCTCAAAATTTTATTACTTAAAGTTTTTTTTATAAATTGAGAAATTATAGCTGTACTTATGATGTACACTTTAGTATTAAGTGTAAACTTTTGTGCTATTAAGTTGTACCATAGACAAATATTTTTGCAGGCTTTCCTTTTGACATTACTTGGCGAGGATGGTGACATCGTATTTTCGGTCCACACAACCAAACGTTGAATTTAATTTCTTGTCGGGACAAGTGCAGACGCCCTCAAGACATTGAACGCCAGAAAAACACTCTTCCGACGAGGAACATTTTTGTCCAGCTACGCGTTTGCAGGAACGAATGCCATTGTCATCGGATGCCATGGATGTCACAGTTCCATCCTCAAGGTCGTTGCAATTACAGGCACCCTATGACACAAAATTAATCATTAATAAAACCAACTTTTACGATATTTTAAAAACCCATCGTTTTTAGTACCCTTCGACAAGATGATCCTGCTGGGCAAATTTTCTCCACATTTTTCTCCACGACTTGCCAAGAGCCACCTGGTCCAACAGGAGCGGCTCCTAATGCACAATGACCCCCCAATTCGACATTAATTATTTGCTTATCTATAGCTGAGACCTGGTAGATCCAACCCAGAAGACAGAGAATTACAAGTTTTTGAAAAAGATACATGTTTCACTAAAGATATTCAGTATAAGTGCAGTCTGATCAAGTGTAAATATTGATCTGGTCGACAAATAATAGTTAAATTATAATAAGATCCCAATGGGGTCGTTATTCACAGAAGGTGTTCACTTCCACGAATGATGGGGAGAGAGTAAATTAGCTACATAAAACCTAGTATTGTGATTGCTGCTGGAAATTCCTGCCTGGAATCTGACAGTTGCATGCAGTTAATGTGTTATTGTCGAGTTAAACGAGTATTTAATGAGAATTAAATGCTAATTAGGTTTCAATGCCACACGGTTTGTCATTCGTGGACCAAGTAAATATGTGATTTGTTTGTACATTTATCTATGTACCTGACGATTTGGATAGAGGTTTCCACTGCACAATTAATTAGCTATAAAAATACAGATACAGATACTTATAATAATGAAATGACATAAAGCACCATCTTTTTATTTTCACAAGGTGATTTTTTTACATGGTCTATAAATATATTCTTCATACTTTATCATCACGTATTGTGAGCATGTAAAATGCATTAAATTGGTTGAGAATCATGTCTAAAAAATAGAGTTTATGCATCGAAAATATCATACATTGGTATGTTTCTTACCGTAGTGAAAACAAATTTTATTTCCGGTGAAAGTTAAATGTGTATTTTTGATACATGTTTTTTAAATTGTTGTTTGTCTTAAAAGCTCAAGTTCATGAACAAAATAAATGTATTAATGAATTCAACTTCATTCATTAAATGCAGTTATACATTTCTTAATGCTAATGAAATTTCATCATTCTCCACAAAACCAGTTAGCTTCAAGTCAACCAGAGACAGATCAAATTATATGCATATCGATGTACTACATATAAATGGATTAACAGAAATTAAAGGATGGACTTTTAACCATTTGATCCAACAACACACCACTCACTTTGATACATTCTACATACAATCCTTCATTGGGAACGAGATGACGCAATCATAATCATATCACAAAAGCGAAGAAAAAGTGCACTTTTTGGCAATATTACAAAGCCATTTCCAATTTTTGCAAAAAAAAAATCTCAAAATTGCGACTTTCACTAATTGGATATATTATGAGAAATTGTGCAAGTGAGTTGTGAGTAGACTGAATCCAGCGAATTAAAAGTTTACCTGTCATATGGGCCAGAGGTTGGATTTCACAGAGCCAATCTCAAATCCATTTTACGTCTGTTTATTGTCTAACAACAAGTCGCACACAATTTGTTAAAACAAAAACATTTCTAATGTTTATTTAATGAATATTTAATTGTTCCAGAGTTAATTGCGAAGTTATTTAAATCTACAATGTTTACAAAACGTGGTTTACTATGTGAGAACTTTGTACTAGCGGCACATTTTTGCGTAATAATTTAAAGAGATTTATTTTTTGAAATTTAGTTTAGTCCGAATGGAAATATTTTATTTTTTGGACAAACAGTGAATTTTAATTGACGATAAGTTAAATAAAAATAATTAGTCCGCAGTGATAATAATTATTCAAAGTAATTAGGTGAATGTGAGGGTTTTAGTGGAATTTTGAAGGATATATTCGTTATTTTAACAATAAACAAGATGACACGTACCCCAACGATAGAAACACCCCCAAGCTTTGTGGAAACTATCAATTTCCGGGACATAACGCAGCTACAAGTAAAATTTCGGGGATTTCTTATACAATTAATGCTATGAAATCATTAAGTAATTGCCACGAAGTAATTGTGATTTATTTTTTTAGGTGGTTGGAAAAGGCACGTTCGGTATAGTTCATAAAGGAAAATGGCGTGATAAGATTGTGGCAATTAAGAAGATCGAGTCGGAAAAGGAACGCAAAGCTTTTCAAATTGAAATTATCCAATTGTCCAGAGTTTCTCATCCCAACATTGTTAAATTATACGGATCTTGTGATGATCCCGTTTGCCTTGTTATGGAGTATGCAGAAGGTATTTAAATTATGGAACGGAAATATTATATTACATGTTTATAGGACATTATAAAATATTTTTTCGGATTTGTTTAAAGGTGGATCACTGTACAATGTCCTACACGGCTCTCCTCAAATACCTTACACTTTAGCACACGCTATGAGTTGGGTAAGTTGTTTTAAAAAATTACATGGCGAGTAACATTTTTGTACAGATAAAATAGATTCTATATAATAATGTGTTATGTGAAGGTACATCAAACTGCTTCTGGAGTCGCTTATCTTCACGATATGCAGCCGAAACCATTAATCCACAGAGATCTCAAACCCCCAAACCTTCTTCTTATCAATGGAGGGACCGTTTTGAAGATTTGCGACTTTGGTAAATTACGTAGTCTCTATTTTCTTCATTTCCCTGCTATAATTTGCAATATTATTGGAATTTTTAAACAAAAACAGTGAAACTCCTCAAGTTGTTCAGTACGTAACATTTGTTTCCTACATTTTGATTTGTAGGTACAGCCTGTGATAAACAAACGTATATGACGAACAGCAAAGGAAGTGCAGCCTGGATGGCCCCTGAAGTGTTTGAAAGTAAGTCGATAATTTAAGTTGTAACTTGGAAAAGTAATGATTACAATGCCCTTTAATTTTTAGGTAACGTGTATACGGAAAAATGCGACATTTTTTCTTGGGGTGTAATTTTGTGGGAGGTTCTCACAAGGAGGAAACCATTTGACGATATTGGTGGGCCAGCCTTCAGAATAATGTGAGTAGTAATACCTATATTAATGAAAGGCCGATGTTAAGCTGGTGCACGTTGGTGCACAGCGCTTCTACTTATATGTTTAATTATTAATTATCAATCAGGTGGCATGTGCATAAAGGCAACAGGCCGCCTCAGATTGCTGATTGTCCCCCTGCAATCGAACTTCTTATGACGAGGTAAGAAGGACACTTAATTCGATGAAAATCATTTTTACCATTCTCTCAAAGACCATATATTTTATGTCTATATAAAAACAAATATATATTCAACAGATGCTGGGATCCGAACCCAAATACTCGACCTTCGATGCGACGTATTAACGACGTAACTGGTAGAATCTGCGAACTTTTACCAGGCGCAGATATTCCTTTGCAATACCCAACGGCCGCTACAATGTCCAATTTTCAAGGTAGCATTAGTGAATTATTAATAAGTGTGCAGGTATTATGGAATAATTTATAATTTTGTGTGTCTAACAGATAACATTCCAGTGGAAACTGAACAACCAGACTCCTTCGATGAATTTAGTTACAGTATTACTCCTGATGAGGCCTCTGATGATCCACGTAATAATCCAGCAATATTATTAAAATTATTATATACTTGTTCAAGTATATAATAATCTGGTTTTGAATTTTTCTTTAGATTATCTCGCAAACACTGAGAACGGAGTTAGCAGTACTACTAGGTTCTCGAGTTGTAGTAGAAAATCTTTACCGAGTACTCTTCCCTCTGGACCCTTGACCATAGATGTGGATAAGGTATTCAGGGCATCACTTATTTTATAAAGACTCGTTTTATTTTAAGAGTTTATATGTGAAATCGATGTACTGATTTACTTTCAGAATGCCTGGGATTTTCAAGGAGAAAGTGATGATCTAATTACCTTCCAGCAACAACATCAGGAAAAACCTCATGTACCCCTTCGAAGACGATCGGAAATCCCAGCGTCTTCACACAATTCCTTTGTTCTCCGTCCCCCAGAGATTACTCAACCGTCAAAGTTTACTCCTAGTCTGAAACCTGCGACGGATGACATTACAATTGTCAACACTCATATTATTGACAAGCCACGTCCTATCCCACCACCAAAACCCTTGCCTAGTGATCGTCCAACCACGCTGAACTTACAACCTACTCCTTCGAAAATCTCCTTCACTGGTCCTGCTATAACTACCACCACATTACCGGTACCTCAACCAGGTAGGAGTCATACGCCAAGCCCAACTCATATTAGTGGGCAGGGTCATATTACTGTAAATCTTAGTCCTGTATCGTCGCCTACTCGTTGTCCAAATCCTCCTGGCTCTAGAGGAACTGTCACAAGTTCGCTGAATTTTCCAAGTCCGACTTCTAATAATGCTCCTGTCGCCAAAAGCCCTACTACTACCAAGCCTCCTTCATCACAATATCCTGGTACAGTCCCTTTAAAATTTGGCTGGGCAGATCATGTCTTCGGGCCAAAGAAAAAAGTTTCATCTCCCGGCGAATTAAATACTAGTAATAATAATAATACTCAAGAACACTCATCTTCAGCCGCAGCACCTTTCTACCGACCTGATCGACCAATTCCCAAACTTGGGTCTACCGAACATATCAATAATGCTTTGTATAATAATAATGCCCAAGTTCCTCTAGGATTTGAGCGGCTCCTGCTTGATTCCAAACAAGTTTATACTGATGTAAAGCCTGAAAGTAATAATGTACCTGTCGTATCTTTGTCTGCCGTCTCTCGGAAAAAAGATTCATGTCCGAAACCCATCTTTAAACGACATTCCGCTGACATGCACAATTTGATTGGAATGGCAAACGAAAATTATAATTTGGTTCCGAATATGCCGTCTTCTGGACAATTTTGTGGACGTGCAGGTGGAAACAGCACGAATTTAGAAAATGTCAGTGGCTTAGGTGGTAGTGCAGGACCTTCCAGCTTGGGGGCTGAATGTGTCGGTGACAATATGACTGGAACTCGTCCGACAGCTCCGAATCGTAAATTTTTCTGTTTTGCATTTTGTTTGTGTTTCTTGCTTTATTTGTTATAACATTGTTGGGCAATTGGGGTACTATCCGCGTGTGTATTTACAGCATTGTAATAATATATGTAGTAGCTATTTTTGTAGTAATATGTAATGTACTTGCATACATATTATTCTGTGTGAATTTTTCAGAGTGAAGTCAATATATATGTTTGTCTCATAACTGATATAGTATTTATTATTTTTAATAGGTCACAGAAGAACGGCGTCGGACGGGAGTGGAAAAATTGACACGAACACATCTCGTGGATCTGGCTCGTCAGGAACAAGCTTTGGAAATCGAGGTAATAAAATCATGCAAAATAAATAATTCTTATTTCCGACCTATGCTATGCATGCAAAAAATATCATGGGCGATTGGAATCGGGAGTGAAAAGTGTAAATGAACTGCTTATCATAATGTCATAAACAAACGTTCCGAAACTTTTTACTGGATGGTTCTCTCCTCATTCGTAAACAACATCACAACTTGCTCCATCCTTGAGACTTGGCTTGATCTTTATGGGAATCATCATCCTCTCGTTTTTTACCAACTTTTTAAATAGGCTACTGTTGTATAGTTGTTCTGTTAACTACGAATACACGACACGTATCGGCAATTAAGCTATTTTTGTTTCAGGATGACTCATATATATGAATCTGGCTGTAAGTATGTTGGGATCTCCTGCCCAGTTCCTTGTCGACTTGACTTGATTTTTTAACAAATCTTCTTCCTTTAACCTCGCTGTACATGTTTTTAAAACTACCATGGGACAGATGTTAGGCCAAAAAAATGTGTCGGGTGTGCCATATAATGCTTGCATATAGGTTCTTCAAACCAGCAATAATAATTTCACCGCTGTTGTATCTCGATATTTCAATGCGTAATTTCAGTCAGACCAGTTGAAACAAATAAGAGATAAAAATTCGGGTTTATTGAGCACATTGTCCGATCCAACGGACGTCGTAAGCACGCTCTAAGGGATTTGGAAAGAAAACTCTGTAAAGCATTTTACATTTATTTTGAGACAGAAGAAATTGCCGTATGATTTATTTCCTTTCAATATTTGCTCTACTTCCTTTTACTCAAAGGTTTGAAAGAGTGCTTTGACCCAAGTAAAGGTGGCTTCCGGTTATGAAATAAGGCTTTCTGTCAATGATAATTTATTATCTCGTGCAGTATTCCTTTGTATATATTTGACAAACTGGAACGTATTTCTTATAATTATCTAAAAAGTTATTTTTGTGTCATCATTATATACTCAATGTTATATAAATACGACACTAACATTTTTGGTGTCATGTTGTTCCTGTTGGAAAATCGAAATGGAACCAGATGCACATTTTTTCTGTTTGGTTTAGAATTTGTGAACCTATTTGACACAGTGTCCATTATGCACATGCACATATTTTTTTAGCCATAAAAATGTTTCAGACGTCTGGAATAATACTCTGATTAGCGCTGTTTTTACTGCTTTCCTAATTATAGCTTTTGTTCATTGACTTTTTTTTCATTCTTGCAATAAATACGTATTACTCCAAATAAATTAAAGGTTTCTTTTTAGATTAAATCACATCATTAAAGTAAAGTATGCAGGCTCCGATGAGACAAGGATTTACTTCTTTCGTCGAGAAATTAGCGGTTGAAAAGCATTATCGAGATTAAAATTGGAAACAGAAATTATTGCCGTACATTAAGATTTGTAAAAAGATATCGAATGTCTCGCAGGGCGTAGTTTCCAGTTTGGTTATTGCCAAAAAGCTTGATTAATTAGACTATAAAGCATAAACATTGTTTGAGATTCTTTATGATGATGCTCGCTAATAAATTGCGTGCTTTTGCTGCATACATATTCTCCTCCACCACTACCGAGTCAAACACCATTATTTCCAGACAGATAAGCTTGTTGACAAAAAGTGGCATTCGCAGTGTTACAATTAACGTAAATTATGGGTCGCGTATTGTGACTTATTTCTATATCTTTGCGAAATCGAGGGGAAAGAAAGTAAGCTTGTTGATAGAGTATGAAAATAGTGTGTGGTGGTAGTAACAATGCGCTCATATTTCTCATTCTATTTTTAATCCACACATTTAATGGAACCTTGCTTACGTTGTTTACTCGGTAAGTAAATAAATGTTTCGTCGCTGCAACAAAATGGGCAGGATGATGTATAAACTTTTTTTTAACTTAACCGGATTCATCAGGTTGCATGCACACCCGGTTTACTCATTCTCGGCCTCGGGTCATGACTAATACACATGCGACATGAATTTCTAAGGATTGAAGGTTGTAAAAAAAACGAATTTGAAAATATGTATGTAGACATATTTTTTTTAGTAAATATTGTTTTAGCTGAAAGAAGGAAAGAAAAGAAATGTGGGTGTGATAAAAGGTCTATTTTTAATTCGGTTATTTATGCAGAAATGTAATAGACGTTTTGTATATTTGATTGTAACGATTGCCATTTTCGCGATGATATTGCTGGCATACAATTGAAATCATATCATCATCCTCCAGGGACTAATTAAGAGGAAAATACTGTAGGCGTTTTGTACGTTGTAATTTATCGGACAGGTCCAATTTAGAATTTCGCACAACAGCCAAGCACTTTTAGCTGACAGTGACATTGTTCTACGACGTATAGTCGGATTGTAAATTTTCTACTTGAATTTGTCACTTGATTCTCTCTCTTGTCACTTGTACATATAAATTTATTTTTGCAAATCGTATTTATACAATTGGTTTGGAATTTTTCTTAAATCAGAAGTGCAAAACATGATAACAAAGTTTACGTAATAATAACCATCCCCAAAAGAAGTCTTTGTTCTTGTTTTGTAACATGTTATTTTTTTTGTTCGAAAGTCAACGGTTGGATGAGTCAGACCTTTTGAAGAGATAAGTAGTATGCATGTAGTACTTACTTACTTGCTGCATACATCAAACCAGACGCTAAAATGGGGTTATATAACTGCGGAATATTACTGGATGACTTAAAAGCAGAAGACGTAAACTATAAACACTTCATTAGTCGACGCACTCGATTCGAATTCATGATGTACACAAGGAATGCATAGCATTCAGTAATTGAAAGCATTATGTGCAGTTTGTTTTGGTGGCCCCGTATGTCTGCCATGTTCTTTTTATATAACAAAAACAAATTAGACCCACACAGATGCAGAGATTGTGAAGCTATCAGGTGTTGCATAAAGGAAATGGCAAAGTTGAAAGCATTTAACAAATGACAAGTATATTTTCTGAAGGATTTTTCCATTTGAACCGAATGAGTGGTAAAGAGGTTGACACATGGTGAAAACTAAAATGGTCATGTAAGAAAGAAACCGTGAAGAAAGGGCAGGCGCCGCCACTGCAAGTTCGTCTTTTTAGTAGTTGATCGTTAATGTGGATGGCATATGTTGTGTAACATCATATCGCATTTATTGAGCGTATTTTCTTTTTAAATTAATGTAATGAAGACATCATTGAGACGGAAATAGAAAAAGATATTGGTATTTATTAATAATTCAAATCCTCACAAATAGTAAATACGACAGATAGAGCTTGTAACAGCGTTTAAGAAAATGGGATTTTTGTATGATTTATTTCCGTCTTAAAAAAACTGTGATTATCGGAAGTGCTAAAGGACATGCACATGAATTTCTCATGCGATGTGTAACTTCTGTCCGATACGTTCACAATTTTAGTTGCACGTTACAACTTTCATTTCCTGAAAGAAATAGGACTGACAGGTACAGGATCTGGAGTTTTTCCATCAGCTACTTTTTTTTCTTGATCTGGTGCATTGTACGTACAGCATGACTCATCCCTGGTTCGCTCGTATGTAAGTTTATGAAATGACGAATCCAACATTTTCGGAGAATGTATGTATAGTTTAGTTATGCCCAATTTTTTCCCCTGGTTTGTTTGTGAATCTGGCAGTACGAGTTATGTTACGATGCGCAAACCTAATATATGATCCGAATCACTAACTTTTAGTGACATTAGGTTACAAATTTTGGCTTAGGATTTGAGTGAATGCCGATATGCTAGGTTGCATAATTAATTAATGATTGAATTCTATTATGCAAGTGCTTATGTACACATAAATATGTGGATTGGATAGAGACAAAAGACAGGTTTTTTTTTCAAGGAAAACTTTCTCCACATCGCATTATTTTGCACGGTTACAACTTTTGACACGTTAGTTTGGCGACATGATAATTATGTAGAAGAAGCAATTAAGTCGGCTTCTCAAGAAATACTTTTCAATACTTCCATAGTTCTCTGTGTAGTACAATTTTTGCACTCAATGTTCTAACTTTGACATCGCAAGGTACGATGGGTTACAAATGCAGTAGAATTAGGATAAGAGTGCCAAGAAGAACGGTTGCCAAAACAAGAGTCATCATATCACAGTCATCCGTTCAGAGTTTGGCGAGTGGCGTTGTGTTGGATGAAGAAAAGGTATTACATTTGCTGGATGGATGGATGAGGAGAGTAGCACACACGTTTAGCTTAGGTTACGTTTTTCTTCTTCTTCTCGTCACATTCCGTCCAAATGGCATATTTGAATTCGTTCCTGTATGTTGTAACCAATTGAACCACACCATCATCATGCGCCAACTCATCTTCAATCCTCAGTCGCTGAATGTGGCTGGTCTCCATCGCTCACGAAAGCGTCTCTCTTGATCAATTTTTACAACTTTCAGAGAGCTTGGCATTGAATCATTTGGCATTTTGATTTCCGACCGTCGTTTTTTTAACCCCATCATCATGATTATGGTGGTTGGTCGTTGGGGCTGCAGTAAACCATGATTTCGTTTTAAATGATTTGCTATTAGAAAAGTCTCAAGTTTTGAGTCGTCGGGAAGTGTTCTTTTTTTATTTCCTCGGGAAGAGAGAAAATTATTACTTTGTTGTCAAAATGATCTGTGCCTTTTCGTCTTGTCATCACAAGACCACCAGTGATAGTGATAGTGAGCAGTCCATCTTGGGCTTGTCTGTTACAGAGTCAGAGTCAGAATCTGAGGTGGGAGAAGGGTCCAAAAGTGAAAGTGATAGTAAATCAACCCCCTCACGGAATAAGTCGTCCCGTAGTAGTGGAGGGCAGAGAAAGAAGGTCGATGGCAAGGAAAAAGAAAGTGCCAAAAGTATGAGCAATCCTAAAGACTTGATGCAGCTTTTAGAAGCTAGGCAGCAAACCTTATGTGTTCAAAGTGAAAAGAGAAGTTTGATCTGTAGGGCGTTACAATGTCAGTGGTTACTGATTCAAAAGCATCTTGGTATGTGGAGAAAGTGGAGAAAGTTTTCTTGCATCATGCACTGTGAAAGAGATGAAGAGAGTAAGATGATGATTTTTATTGTGTATTTTATTTTCCCCACAGAAAGCAAAGGAGGTGGAGATTCCTTGTATGACAATGCATATTTGATGCTTGAGCCAGAATTCCAGCCAATTTCTCCTGCAACTGATATCTCAGAATCAATGAGAATATTTGAAGAGCATAAAAAGGTATCTGTTATTTTATAACTTGTAAATTTTCACAAGACAAGTCGCAATTAACAAATTGTTCGTTTCTTCTCATTTAGCTTGCCAAAGATTATCTTCAAACCCGTACCGAAATAGAATGTCTATTACAAGCAAAGAAAGATTTGGAACAACAGTTACGAGAGCAAGAAAAATATGGTCCTTTCGGAGGCCAACGGGATTCGCAAAGAATTCTTAAGGAGTGGAGAGAACTGAAAAGTGAAAATGTAAGAGTACCGATTATTTACAAAGATCCCTAACAGATTCTTCATATTGTTCTTTAATTCTTACAGGAAAGCTTGGTACAATATCATCGTAACTTGAAAAAGCAACTAGAAATTATCAAATCTCGGAAACAACCTGGTCATTCGACGGCTGGAACCCAAGAATTTGAACCAGAACCTGGATGGGTAATGGTGTCTAGAAAAGATGATAACAAGGACGCTCCTCCTCCTCCTCCCGGACCTGCTGAATAAAGAAAATTTATCACTTAACTTACGGATATATGTACGTGTACCTAAACTAAAAGAGTATGACGTGTGACGATATATATGCGGTGCTAATGACTTACGGCTATGATACAATTTGTGCATTTGACAAAGCATTTGTGAAAGAATGGATCGGGTATTTGCAAGAATTTATATGATTTTTGAATGCCTTTAATATGCCATTAAAACGGCAAGTATAAATTAGGCTTTATTAAGCGTAATTCAAGTACAATCGTTGTAGATTTTGATTGTTGTGACGCAGAATTGTCTTGAAAAGATAGGAATGAAAAGTATTTATTATATGAAATATATAACTACATATAGCCTTATATTTATTAATTAGTTTTTAAAATTATTGACTTTGCCGAGTATCGCAATACACGGAGGAATGTTGATGTTATACATATTTTTCGGATTGTAACAAGCGAAATAAATAATAATGCAGCGTTTTATATAAAAGTACAGAATCACTGGTTAATCCATTTTGCTCTCCATTCACCAGTATCCAAAGGGGCTTGCGAAAAAATGAAACCTGAAAATATATAATCACAGTATTTTATAATTCATCCTAACAAAATAATTTTGAATCTGAAAACCTTGATTTTTTGCAATTCGTTCAAAGTTCTCCCATTCTTTTGAAATCGTATCATCCATTGGATTAAGAGACTAAGTACACATAACATTTATATAATTTAAATACAAGATGTATATTTCACGTGCATTTTGAAATATATTATTCTTACAAATACATCAGATTTCAATATGGAAGACAAAGATTTTTGTACTGTAGACAGCTTCTGCGGATTAGATTTTGCAGTAATTGCCACTCCCAGAAATATTGCACGACAAAACGCCTCCAAAATGTCGCGAGGCTGAATGTTCTCATGTAAAACTATATTAATTTCTGATCCCTTGGGAATCACAAGGAATGACTTTGACGTAGAAATTAGACGCTCCAGTACCACTCCACGTTTTCTATCACCATTCTCATTGGCTCCAGATAAAGCAATGTCCAACGGCACGCCCATTTTTATTTGCAGACCACAAACGTCTGAATCTACGAGAGTCAAAAAATTAATTTATTGCCTATTGTTTCAAAAGAAAGTAAAAATAAAGTACCTAAAAGTCCACGACTACCCAATATGACACTCTCTCTTTGATTAATCACTTTGACAGAGGACACATTCCCAGAATTTATATATTCCTGGACACACATCAATAGCCTGGGACGATTCAGCGTTTCAATTTCGAGACATGTAACAGCTCTATAATTGGCGTATAGGTGAATGCATGTGAAAATTATATATAGTAGCCAGACAGCCCTACAAATTAGGAAATTAACACAATTATCATTTGAATCCGACACACACAAAATGAGATAACATTACATAATTTTTCCACTGACAATCGGTAGCAAAATCAGACTTGTAATCAATGCAACTAAATTTACAAGGGTTTCTTGACTTCCGTCTTTTGCAGAAACGTCCCCCATATTGTTAAATCTCGCTTGATGTTGCGTGACTGCTGCTCGTGTCGCTATAAAATTATGAATATTTAATGAAGCACTAATATTTAGTAATAACAATTTTCTAATAAGTAATCGTACCAGATCCTGCTACACCAACCTATATCACATTTTAGGATATATTTAAGCAATTGCATTGCTGTACAATTGTTTAAAAATACAACTTTAAACAGAATTGGACTTACCAACGCCCTCGCCACACTGGAAGAACATAGCACAAAAACCACCACACTGGTTGGAAATAATGGGGCAATTAAATCGATAAATGTCGCAATGTCGTTCAACCCGTCAGCAAACAGTCTCCATTTTTTGCAATCATGGTCCAATGAAGTTCTGAAAAACGTGATCAAGTATTAAAATATTATCAAAATGTTTGTAATTTTAAATGACTAACCCTTTTGCCCATGCAAACACAATCTGACCAATGTGTCCGCTCCCACTTTTCAATAACCAGGTTAGCGCAGCTCCCAAAGACGTCGCAGTCGCATTTCCAACGCCAACTGATTTCAACACGGCCTCGGTTGCAAGTGCTCCCGTTATTGAACTGGAAAACGCCTAAACAAGTAGAGATCAAGGAATTAGTACGAATAGCGATTTAAACTCTAACAAATTGTAAGAAATATTTTTTTTACCTGCAGAGTGTCCCAAATTTGGTAAGTCACATAATCCGCCGACACGGAATTTGGATACCCGAAAGGGAGAAAGACTTGACGCAGGGCGACCCTTATCGACTGGACCCATGATGACGAGGGCGACAGGGAATTATTTTTCTCGTCCAATTCCTCAACAACTTTAAAATCTCCTGCACCATCTAAAATATATTTTCGCGTGGAGGCAAATGCGCCACGATTTTCTGAAAATATAGTCGTGATCTTTGTGCCATGTTTTTTCTCGGTAGTGGGGACAGAAGATTCACCTTTGGAAATCATAATATCCTCGATTTTAAGATAAACCAAAATTGGCAAATTAGTTCTACTTCTAACTAAAAACAACTTTTGCAGAGATTTTCACACAATATTGGCAAATCTGATTGTTTTTGTTACACATCATCCATTTACCGGGTATGCATTGAAACATTTGTGTTTCAGTTTTGAGACGATGATGTTTGATGTAGAAATTCATAATGAAATGCATCTATGAAATTGAAATCCACAAAAAATGCTTTATTTTAGATTGTCAGCACAGTGTAAAAACATTATTAAATAAATTCTCATAAACCGTTTAGAAAAATGGTTATTAATAATTATTAAACAACAATAAGAGCAACAAAATTATAAGCCTATGAATAACTAATCTGGCCATTATTTCAGAAAAATACTTATCACTATTTAGTTAATATTTATTACTACTTTTTGCAGTAATTGGATTTATAGCATTTCCTTTTTGCAAAATATCAAACTTTTTGCATTATTAATGTCGATAAAATTGTGAAGCGTCTTACAGCTCATGGATAAAAGGTAAATTAATATCACTTGAAACTTCTGCTTTCCCGTTGACCCAAATTGTGTTCACCTGCAAGAGAATAATTGAACATGAAGTTAAAGTTAGAACCTGAAGCTGATAAGCATTATTACAAACTTACAGTTGACCCCAATAAATGACAGGAATATTCACTGTTGACCAAAGTTTTGCAACAATCGTAATGAATTCGAGCTTCCCCATTATGATTTTGAACGGTAAAACAGTCTGCAAATTGGGAGACGAATTGTTCCACAAATTCGAAATAATGCAGAGTCACATGAATCTTTGTGGAAAATTGGTCACTGAGATTTTTCATGTACCAGAGATCAACGAGCTTGTCAGAATCTGTGCAAAAAATTCATAATCAGCTTTAATTAAACTCTGAAAACAATGTATCAGTTTTGCGAAAGAAAGTATCGAAATTTATAATTACCACATAATCGAAGTTTAAATTGCACTTTTGGATTACAAAAAGCATGAGCAAGTTTTTTAAGCCGTCTAGAAAATACGACTTTTGCTGCAGAATTTTTAGAATTATTGCTAACGCATTCCAGAGGAAATCCACCCTTTTCATAAGGGAATGTAGGGTAACACCCATTGAGCATTATATCGTGAGGAATAATTGTTCCCGTATGCCTGGAGGAGATGGATGTCAATTCCGGTGTATATTTTGCAATGTCAAATTGGATTCTGAAAATACGCATAATGCACAAAGTTGTTATGCAATACATACATAACTTAGGACACAAAAGTTACAAATAGCAACTCACATTTGTGATATCAGTCCAGAAGATAAAGCTGTAGCTTTAATTCTAACATACTCTCCGAAATTATCAACCGTTTCTTCTGAAAGATCCACCATTTGTGAAATATGTTTTCGTAATACGACAATTTTTCCGAGGTCTTTGAGTTGCTGGATAAATCCAATTGGAAATTGAACATGGGATTCATTGCGATTTTTTTCAGAGTTAATGACATAGTTAAGATATCCATAGACTAGTTCGGTCATATACACTTTCCACGATGCAGAGTTATACAACGTTTCGAGAAATCCACCGGTGAGAAATGTACCCAAAACTTCTATAATATGCAAAATAATGCATGGATTGTGAGGACTAATTAATAATCACGAGCTTAATTTTTAGACGTATTTACCTGGAGTACACTTGGTCATGAAAAAACGTAGCGAAAGGTGCTTAAAAGATGAGATTCCATTGAGATCAAAATTGTTAAAAACGATATCCGGAATGTCTTGAACTTTGTTAATTTGCAGATTGCAATTTGTATTGGATAAACAAAAATTTCCAGAAGAAGATGTTGACGAAGTATCACTGTCCTCATCAAATGTGCAGAATAACGTGGATGCCGTTGATGGGAACGATAATTTCTCGACGTCCATTTCGATTAATGCACTTGCCATGATATCAAATTAAATCAAGACAACTAATTAATTGGAACAAAATTATTGTATAGAAAATAAGTAAGTTATCAGTAATAATTGTGATAAGTCGTAATTATTGCTGCGTCACTATTAAATGTGGACTGAAAAGGGGGAGTACTTAACGGGTTAACATGCTCGTGTGCATGATACTTATGGAATGATAGTAAGATTTAATGCTTGTTGTGCTAATGCCTGTTAGAAGAGAAAAGGGTTGTATTTTTGTCAAGAAGAAACCAAAATAGAGAATATTCATGGTATTCATTCACCTAATATTAACTGTCAACCCAGGTATGGACTATTTTCATAATTGAGATATACAAAAGGCCCGTGCTAGACGTTCCGTGTAGCCGTCTCACCATTCAATTCCCGTGATTTCTAATCCTCATTGTTCTTCTTCAAAAGAAACTACTGCACGTGTACCGTCTGCCAAGCAAATAGAAGAATGGAGAATGTTGTTACAATTTCATATTAGTGAGAATTCTATAATTCTCGCTCATACATATGTAATATGTACTAATACTGTTATGTCGATAGATATTTATGTACGCAAGCTATGCTAACCGAGAAATTATTGACAAAAATCGCAAACTTTACGCATGCCGGAATACTGTAATACCCAACTAAAAATGTAAAGATTGACCTTTAATGCGTTATAAAATAAGTTCTCCTGAAATATTTTCATATCGTCAGAATGGCACAATTAAAATGAAGGTTATACGGAAGATCGTCTCCCAGTTTCCAGCCAGGTATTATAATGTATAAAATATTCCAAGATTCCACATTTTGGTACACGATTGATAAGCAGCCTGCACATTTACTGACTCATAAAACCGTCAAGAATGTCGACCTAATCACATTTCCTGTTATTATTATGTACTCGAATGCATTAATTAACGAGATTATTTCAGTGTCGTTCATCCATTAGTTGACAGAACTCTGACGTAAGTAGACTTTTTTTCTCATCCACAGATAGTGACGCCACGGGATCAATTCTGTAATGACTGACTGACTTTTTAACTATTCGGTCCCATCAAACAAACAGTTTCACTTTGATGAATATCATCTCAAGTAGTATTGCTCAAAAACATGCTGAATTAGATAATTGATGTTCCATGCTCGTTTTGGATCCGTCAATTGATGATTGCAAAATATCCCTGTCCAGCAGTGACATTCACGTAGGCAGTTATACGATAATTAGTAGTGGTGTGACGATGACATGACTAAATGCCGGATTGAATGAATATCATGATGGTCTTTGGTAGTGTCGGGTAATCATGTACTCATGGGACATCGTAAAGGACACGACAAATCACGTTGGAAAAAAGATTCCACTACTTATATACTGGTTACAAACAATTAAAAACTATGTGAAAAAATGTAGTCCGTGCAATCAGCCATTATTTTACATCGGCATCGTTATTATTGATTTCTCTGTTATATATATGAACGTATTTATTACTATAAATACACCGTTTGTAATTAATCACCCGTATGAATTTCAAGTGGAAAAACATAACTGGTTTATGCAAACACATAACATTGGGAAAAGTGGTTATTCGCCACAACCGTTTTGCTCCGACAACATATTTGCATTTGCGACCCTTTCACCTCGATTATACTTTATCGTATTTTTAGTTCAACTTCAAGGTCAAGTAGTTTTGACAAGTTTATTATTATTATAAAATTAGTTTGTATCAGTTAAATCCTTCATTTGCAAAAAAATACTTTGAAAAGAAAGAAAGCAAGACTGCGATAATGAGACCAGCCACTTTCTTCGCCATTTTTTGTGTGAGTCTTGTCGCCACGTTGGCGATACCGGTCTCAAATCAAAATGGAATTGCGAATAGTCCAGGTAATATTGCAGAAAATATGTATACAACACATTCCAATTGCTGTTTGTAATTTACCAGAACGTTTGAATTAACAGCTTCCATTGCATTATCGGATAAAGAAAATGGGGTGAAACCCCTTCAGCTAATTCAAGTTACCACCATCATGCAAGATCCCTTGTCGAATAAGATCCAAGAAAGGTTGGGAATGACTGCAGGTCAATTTTTGACCGTTATCGACAATACCATGTTGCAGGTGCAGGAATTGATAAACGTGGGAATGATGCAACTTCATCAGGTCCACAGCCGAGTTGACCTCAACACGCAGCGACGGATTCAAGAAATTGTGCAAAAAGCTCTTGAAGATTCGCTCAAATTCATGCAACCAGTTTTACGTGATTTGAGTATCGTTTTGCCGAACATTACTGGTCGGATTACTATCATGAACGTTGCTGATTGTAAGATAAGCACATTTTTAAAATTTTTTGAAGTTGTAACTGAACGAAATTTTGAATTTACAGTAATCAATGCACTTCTTAACATAACATTTGAAGATTTCTTACAATCCATCAGGACCGTGCTTAGTGACTCGTCGGCAATTTTAACCGCCACGATTAATGAATTGAACTCCATTGCCCTAACTCAGACTCAGGCTGTGGCTGATGAGCTAAGATCGATATCCAACGCTTATCTGGTTCGATCCAGAGATCTTATTCGACCAGTGTACACCAACCTGGAGGAAGTTTTGGGTCCAGCTTCTACTCCAAGCATGATGGCATTTGTCGTAAGCATACATACTTTAAATTACTTATCATTTCTTTTTAAGCACGGTTAAAACGTGAAGTTAACGATTCAATTAAAGATGTCTGGATCCCTGGGGTTTGACGTGGTGACTACCGCACAGCACTTGGACATGGCTTTAGTAGATGTGGAAAGTATTTTGACAGACTTTGTGACGCAAATTAACCTTAGCTTGGGAATGGCCAATCCTAACATCAGAAACAAGGTTAATTTAATCCTCAAAAGAGCAATTCGGGATGTTGAAGCCATAATTGATCCAATTCTGAAAGTAAGCATGTCTCAAATTGCCTCATCTGCGTATCAACATATTTACTTCAATCAGTCAACACTACAACTTTCAGATATGACACATATCTTTCTAAAATGTTGAATTTGTACAGGTGTTTTTGCATTTCATGCCACTTTCATCCGAAACGAAAAAGGACCAAAGTTTGTACAGGGACCTTGTAAGTGAAAGCACATTTTTCATTTGAACGTTAGTCGGTCACCGCAGACTGACTCGATCAGTGTATTGAATAGGATGGTTATTTTTTAGTCTTCCTCCCTTCTCGGTGTAAGCCTCGAAGGTAATAAATGGCAAAATTTAATATAATCAACATCCAATTGAAGACACATTTTCCCGTTGTTATTTAGATTTCCTCTTTTATATCGACTTTGCCATACCAAAGGTCAGAGAAATATACACCGCTGCAGTCTCTGAAATCCGCACCGAATATGCCGAAACTAACCCTCTACTCGTCTTACACATAAATCTACTCATGGACATCACAATGGGGAAAGTGGAACGGTCTGTGCAACCCTTTGTGGCAACGATATCGCCGATTCTCGGTGAGAAGCGGTGGGTCACTGTTGAAGAATTTGTAGAAATTACAAACCAACGCAGTAACACTCGACAAAATGTGTTTTGCAATTTCTCAATGCGAACTGGTTACAATATGCAACTTATTATTCATCTTGTAAGTCAGCATAATCATTCATTCACTGAATTTAAATACTTATATAGCACATTAATCAAGAAGTTCAAATAATTAGATTTCGAAAATCCTCGGGTTCGACGTTGTAATAGCGGCTCAAGAAATGTCGACCGCTTTGAATGAATTGGATTACGTTTACAAACAAGCTGCCAAACAGATCAACGGTTTGATATCTGACCTTCACCCGTTCATTGGTGCTGAAGTGAATCGAATCCTTAATGTTTCACTGACTACGACGCACAATACTATGCAGCCTGCAATTGATGTTGGTTATCAAAGACTATTTTGCATATTGCGCATTTGCGTATTTGGTAATTTAATTGTTTTTGCAACAGGTGTTTGCACCCTTCGTTCCAGCCCCAGGTCGACCTGACAAAGATGTTGTTCGAGAAATAGTGAGTTTCAAAATATCACTCAAATCTTACTATTTCACAAGTAACACTTTCTGCTTATCTGGACAGATTGCCATTCTTGAAGGATTAAAATACGACAAGTTCAGAAACTACGCTCAGTCAGCCCCAGAAAAGATGGCGGTCATCGCCAAGTCGACCATGTCAAACGTTCATCAAATCATCGAAGCTGGCCGAATGACGAAGAATGGCAGGCCCGAACAAGCCCCATCACCTTCCGACCCTTTGGTCATGGTTGATAAAATCATGAACCGAACTGCATCAGCTACTCAGCAGATTGCAAGGCCATTCTACGAAATAATTGCTCCCATTTTCGAGCCTTAAAAAGTGTTCGAGAAAGCAAAATTTACATTTGTATTGGATTTATCGGACGACATGGACGACAAAATTTACATATATATGATTTCAACAAATTTGCATTTCATTCATATTATTGTACAAAAAAATCACCTTGTAAATATATTTAGTTCGACATCGCAATAAACGCATTCCACACAGTTCAATTGCATGCAAGTTATCAAACAAATCGCATTTACATGAAATAATTACATATTCGAGAAAAAACGATCACACTACTTTGGCATGTCAACTTTGGTAAATGCGCAGGAAGTTATCAATCATGAGTTGAGATTACCTGATTCATAATTTTGTTTAGCATCAGTCTCCTATGTCCATGACTTTCAAAAGTGAATACATTGTACGTAATAAGTCGGAAACTTCAATTATCGTTGACATACGCAAACCATGTTTTGTAAAATAATGTGATAAGAAAATACTGCAAACGTAGTTTCGGGGAATATGTGGAGACTCGTTATCACCACATTTGCAGAATAAGTGGTCATCGTGCATGCATCATCGTCGTACTTTTGGTCGTCATGCGGCAATGAACGTTTGATCTTAATTATAAGTCGGCATTACAATTTACATGCATACACAAGGTATCAACTGATATCGGTCACGATTGCAAGACGACAATTAATAGGTTGTACTTGAAATTGATAAGCACTCGATTGTATGTATAGACGAAAAATAATAACAAATACCAATGGGTTCGATTCATACTAAAGTTTCCCATTGCCTGATTTGACGTCGAGTTAGATTCAGGTGTTTCATTCAAGTGTCCAAATACCTCATTTTTTTAGAGTCATCAGCAGACTTGGTGGAAATATCCAATTGATAGTTGACAATTTGTGTCAGTTTTCGTTTGGAAATTGAAGTGTGAACAAACCAGTTGAAACAATTTTATACTCAAATATGCAGCGTAACACGTTTTTTGCCGTATTTTGCGCACTTAGCGTGGGGATGAATGCATTTGTCGCAGGTGTCCCTCCTCGGCCGAGGCCACGATTATCCTGGGCAGAAATTAAGCAGCTTGGTAATTGGATTTTCTAATTTTTAGCCGCAACGTTTTTAAAATTTCTAATATTTATCTTCACAGCGCCCAAGAATGCCAATCAACAGGCTATTTTTGAGGTGGAGCCTTTCCAAATCACGAATGAGGAAATTGCCCCTCGAGATTACTTTGCAGACTTGATTTGGTATCTTTTGGGCTTAACTGTCGGAGCGTTTTTGGAGTTCATCAATTATAGCTTGATGCAAACTAAGAATACCATAAACGCCGGAAAGACTCGCATAGAAGACGCCATGGACGACGTGGATGCAGGCGTCAAGGCCGAGTTGGCAAATATTGTTGATAACGCGTTGAAACAAGCGGTCGATCTTATTGGCGAACTCATTTACAAATTGGGTCGTGTCCTCCCCAGCCTGACATCCACGCCAATGGCTCATGCCCCAACAAGAGTGGACCCTAATGACAGTACGGAATTAGTACTTTGACCCCATCAAGGGCAAATAATTCCTTTAGTTCATCATCTTAAAGTTACCTCTATTTTCTTTCTTAGTTATCTTGGCAATCTTGGGAATGACATTGGAAGAATTTTTGAGAGAATTAACTGATCTGATTGAACGAAGTGACACCCTTCTCATCAATACGATCAATTCTCTGAACGACATTGCTGGTCGAGTAAATCCCACCGTTGCTGCAATGTTGAGGACCACAGTGACAGATATGACTCGGGCCAGGGATTTTATTCGACCCGTATTAAATAACTTGTGGGAGGTCTTGCCCGACGCCATCACCGCACAGAAGGTATTAAACATTGTTAGTGAAATGTAAAATTTCATGATCAATTTTATGGTGATTTTTTTTTTTCATAGAACTGATGAGATGCCATTTGACAAAGCTTGCACCATGCGATTTAGCCTGAATTTATTCGTATTATTTTCTTGAAATAAAACTTATCAGCATCCATTGAACTGGATTAAATTCGTCATTTACTCATGCCCTCTAATGTTTAAGAAATATATGTAATTAATTAATGCGGGTTTAATATTTTATCATAAAATCATAAAATATCTAAAATCGAAGTAAATGTGTATGCAAAAATATTTATCTGCACGAATTTTATCTGTATATCTGTAATTTTCATTTTATTCGCACAAGTTTTTCACTCTCCTTCCACAATTCTTTTGCCAAAGAATCCGTCAATATAAATGATACCGACGTCAACACTCTTCCAAATCTATACATTTGGCCAGAAGTGTGAGAAATTCCTTTGGCCAATGCACAATACAAGATTCCATCCGCCCCCTGAATTAAATACCACAAAACCCATTAAAATCCCATATGACGGACTTTTTTATATTTAAAAAATGTGTAGAACATTACATCTTCCACGGATAATCCAACGAGTGATAGAACACCTTGAACTAAACGATTTTGCAGTCCGTCATCGCTGTAATAAGCTTGCGAAAGGTAAGTGTTGACCAGTCCAGGGCAGAGAGTAAAAGTTGTCACGTTGGAACCTGCCAGGCGTTCACCAAGCTCTTTGGTAAATAACGCATTAGCAAATTTAGAGTTGCTATACGGTGCCAAATTTCCGATCCCCATCCCTCTGTGATCCATGCTCAAGTCATTGATTGAAAAATTTGCTAAAACGAGGGCAGAGCTTGAGACGTTAACTATTCTGAAATACATATTATGTAAACTGTGTTTAAGACATTGTGTGGATTTATTTGGGTTGATTCTGCTGACCTGCCAGCTTTCGACTTCTTGATGTTATCAAGAAGTAGATTTGTGAACATAAAATGACCCAAATAGTTCGTTGCAAAATGTAATTCGTTCCCTTCGGGGGTCAATTGTCGAGTTGGGGAGTGAATAGCAATACCGGCATTGTTTATGAGGATGTCGATTATCCTATATTTTGAAGAAATTTGACTAGCGCATTTCCTAACAGAGTGCATGTCAGATAGATCCATCTCGACCAATTCCTAAGAAGGAAATTATGCATGCTAAATTGTACCAATTTGACTGGGAATATTAAACTAAGCTTGTTATACAATCTTGTGGGAACCACTTATTTTGCGAATCTCGTTTCGAGCTTCTATTCCCTTCGTTAAGTTTCTGCATGCTGGAATAAAACAAGTTGGCCATGGTAAAAATGATAAGTGCATAGAAATAAGTAATTGCACATTTAGTGCAATATATATTTTGAATGCTTACTCATAACTACGACAGCACCTCGTTTTGACATCTCCAAAGCTGTGCATTTCCCAAGTCTTGTTACACCCATCATAAGCAAATAAGATAAAAAGATGTTACTTGTATGACTTGTAATATGCCACAAAAATGCCTAATTTTATCTATTACCCAGAATTAGCACCAGTTATGACGACCACTTTGTCTCGAACATCTTCTTCCGTTCGTGCGGGTGGGCCCCGAATTTTTCTAACGATCTGTTGTAACCCAACTTGGCAAAAGAGTACAAGAAATTGGAAAATTGACACGTGGAGATTAAACATTTCTGAAGATTACTGGGCGAAATGCGCTGCAATAACGAACTCGGTATGTAAAACTAACTAACTACTTGTGCAAGTCTCGGTCACAAACTGGCGAGCAATTCTCAGTCATTCATTCAGTTTCTTTTGGGTAGTTCTCAACATTATTATGGAAAAAAATCTTTCATTGTTTTTCTTATCACGCACATCACACATTCCATTAATTTGAATATAGGATTATTATATTATTATGGATATTATATTATCCTATGGACTTTTTATTGTTGCTCAAACCCATAAATTTTACAATGCACCAACCAATGGCATCAAGTATTTTCACAGTTTATCAATATTTATGGTATGCTCACAGTAGAATTTATAACTAAATCATTGAATGTGAAATTATTTCCCATACTATTCTGCATTTCAAATTGGGTAAGTAACTACTCCCAATCAAAGTCTGAGATGTCATCAATATCGCCTTGATTTCCTGCAGAGTCCGTTGTACGATCATTCTTTTTCCGATTTACGGGTGGATTTGTGGCCTTTGGTTTGCGAAGGACGGGTCGAACGCCAATGGACACATTTGAACTGTTAGCATTGGACAACAATGAAGGGCTACTCATATTCGGCATTGAATCTGGTGTCAGGCTAGTTGGTGTTGCTGAATTTGCATCTCCTGAGGCTGGCATTGTATAGCGTGGAGCTGGGGTGGGAATTCCATCGGATTGACTCCTCATTACAGAATCTCCGTCCCCCTCTAAAGGCATTACTGGACTTGCGGTGAAAAGTTGTTCCAACGAAGGCAACTCCTTAATTTCACCAGGTAACGGGGTACATGGATTCTTCTGCAAAATTATGTCGTTTCAAATGTTATTACACAAATGTTGTTTGACATGAATTTATTTCCATACCTCATTTTCGTACAAGACGACATGGTAAATCCACTCGGCACGTTCAGTCGAAATAGCCCCCGACTCCATGATTGTGTCCACCGGTATGCTGAGGGCCTTTCCTTGAGCAATGACGTCTATGGGTTCGTCTCTGAAGTGGTTCACTGGACCTTTCCATGAATGAACAACTATCTGCAGAGGAGGAGATTAGCGAAATAAGTCACATTTGTTTGCTAGAATTTTTACTTATGAAATATTATACCCCGTCATTGTTGGGTTCGTATTCAATCAAGGCTGAATAATTGCTGCATTCATTCGGTGCCCCAAATAAGCATACCCATGGATTGATGGAGAATTGGTGAGCATTAAGGCGAAGGAGAAATACTTGGTCGAAGGCCTTGATGTAGTACTGAGGCCAGAAGCAGGTATCAACTGAAAATAGTTTCATGAGCATCAAAAATATATTGAGAATTGCAGAATTTTTTCAAACCAACGAGACCGAGAGTACGTTGCATAAAGTTGAGATTTATTCGGTAGGCAACGTAAGCTTCATTTCCAACTGTATTAGAAAGGGGCATAATTTAATTTAATTACGATCAAACATTAAAACCCACAATACAATTTTACAGGGTTGATTACATACCTGTCCCGCTTAGATTGTGATCTTTGAATAAGTGAGTCTCGTACTCTGAATAGTTGACCATTTTATCCGCACACTCACGGCAGTTCACCGGTCTAAGAAATATGCAATTGTTGACAGGATTGTTTTTTTTAATGCAAGTTATACAAGTATTCTTGTTTATACCGGAACTCGCAGACGGCCAAATGATCGCCGAGGTCGGCTCCTTTCATTGAGACGTCGCATCCACTTTCTGTATACCGACAACGGAGGGTGCATTTGTCCACGATACCTTCCGCAACAAAACTTCGAGTGTTGCAGTACCTAGATTTATGCATAAGCAACATAATGGTCATTTTAATTTTTGATGTTGTGATGGTTTGATGACCGATTTGAGCAGGTCACCACTTACCTTTCCCGACATAGCGGACAAACGTAAGTCCTCGCTTGACATGAGCTGCAAACAATGTGGCCTTTGGTGCATAAGTAAATTGGTGGGAGAGGAATTTCGAGGCAGATCGGGCATTCAATCAATTTCCTGACACTATCCTCATCAGCAAGATCGCCCAGAAGCCTGATACAGAAATACCGTTGGTTAAAAATGTACATGGATTTTAGGATGAGTAAATATGAAATTATACCCTGGACCAAATTCGGATGGTTCGTGAGACATTTGATCTAACAAGATGTGGCCAAAATGACAAGTAGTGACAACAAATATGAAATGATGAAGTGTCAAACAATCCTTCGATACAGGTGACGAAAATGACACCTGACAAACTGGAATTTAGTATCATGGTAACGCTTGGGTACTAATTTACGGACCGCAAATTACTGGCACCAAGGTTTGCCCAGCGGAGGTGTTGTCGGAGGTCAAGAAGTCCGAAAGTGGATGGATCTAGTTTTTAATCTGTTGATCGCACGCTAGTATGATCGGATTATTTTATTTAGTATGCGGAAATATTTTTATATAGCGGAAAGTATCAAATACATTGATATCATAAACAAATAAACAAATCGTTAATCTTGATATCATAACGTAGATTTAGAGAACCAGCATTTAATTTATACGTCAAACTAACTACAACTATCAAAATTTGTATAAAATCTCTAGATGTTACTTACTATAAAACTAAAATCAATTATATAGTCATTTCATGTAAATGAGATGTTGGTGGCCTTTCGTGTCCTCGTTTACTACCTCTGCCATACATTGAAAATGCTTCTTCTTTTTTAATTTTTCTCAAATTAGGGTCAGTCTCGCTGTCGAAAAGTTGGGCACGGTACATAAGAGCAGATGTGTCCAATTCTGTTTGACATAAGGTCTGAAAATAATAATAATAAACATCCAATAATGCATTTCATAGTAATTATAGTGTTCTTAATTAGAACGCACTGTAGCTTCTTTGGTTTTCTCAAAAACTAGCAGCCTCCTAGATGCAACTGAGTTGAATATTTGTTCAGTATTGAATAATAATTGTAGGCAAGGATTTTTTGGTAATTTATCTTCTTCGTAGTCCGGCCTGTTGTAAAATTAAAATGTTAGCAAATTTTATCACGATGAAACTTTAGATTTCTCAAATAAATAAATTACCTAGAAATTGGAATCCAGTAAACTGTGGGTTAATTAATTATCAAAATTAACAGAATGTAAGACAATATAGTACAAACTAGACTAACCTAGTCTTCCTCCAATCTCCAACTGATGTACTGCAAAATCCATCAAGTCACGGAATATTTCTGTCAGGGAATAATCTTGTTTGGCAGGAATATGTTTTTCTAAATGTTCCTCTTTAATTTTAAAATCTGGTTTTTGAGGTCTTGATGGTCCGATTCTAAATGTTGGTTCCCTTATTCCATAAGGTGCTGTTGGAACCGATAATACAATAAAGTTCACATGCACATATTGAAAACACATCATACTTTAATCTAAAAAAAATGTAACGTACGATCCGTTATAATTGCATCGACGCGGAAATCAGTCCTCCACATTTGCCGCGACGCATCACTTATTATGACATCCAAGTACCTGTTTTCGAATCCATACTGTATCATGTTGGCACGAATGTTTTCTCCTTCATCACGGGCCACCTTAATTTGAAACAATTAATTACAGATACTTAATTAATTTAATTGAAACTGGAACATGAATGAATCAAGTTTAAGGATGCGCTTACCTTGAATGCCTTGGTCGGTTTGGTCTTTCCATGCAACATTAGATAATCAATATCACTTCCTAAAACTTGACCTCCTATTGCTGCTGCTGCTACCAGAATTGAACCTGTTCCCACAAATGGGTCCAAAATAATATCATATTCTTTGATAGCAGCCAAATTGACCATTAGTAAGCTCAGCAACGGATCCATTGATGTGTTCCCAATGAATTTACGAGTTTTCAAACTAGTTTTAGAAGCTAATTTTCTTTGTCCGTTCATAATCTATTAAGAACATATCAATCAATTTTAATAAACTAACTTGACAACATTGACCTTTAAAATCATTGAATAGCTACCCATCTGCCAAAGTACCAATGATATGGCTCTTCTGGAATCCGATTCGCATCCAAACCATAATACATTATTAAATGTAGACTGCATTCAGGATTCTTCAAATCTACCTTTCCTTCCATCGGTAGATAATCCAAAGTCTAATAAATTAAAGAATTGATTATCACATATTATTCGAAATATTTGATACGCAATTTTCAGCTCACGTCTATAAATTGAATCTTTTCCGCATGTTGCATAGTTTTGCCATAAGTCTCCACTCTTATCTGGAAGGTATTGTTGACATAGGGTGCCATCCTAGGTAGATTTTTCTTCACTGTGTTATCCATCTCCTCCCTGGATTTGCCATCCCCCAACAACTCGTAGCAACTATGGATAAGAACGCTCCGACTCATCAGTTTTTTGGGCCCATCATCATCTGGAAAGTCCATGAGCATAAAAGGCTGGAAAACAATTGCATAATTAATTCGCTACAACTAACTAGATAAGTATGATACTATGCACACTGATCCTAAGTAAAGTATGAGGAAAATTTCTTTTAAAACTCACCCCACCGTTCACTATTCTACTATTTAGCGATTTGTTGTCTAATTTAAACACTTTAAATAATGCTTCCATCTCCTGCAATTTAGAAAATTTACATATATTAAATATTAATTACTAAATATTTCAAAATTGTATCAAACCTGAATTCTGAAGCCGGAATGTTCATTGCTAAACCAGAAGAGAAAAGTACGAGAAGCGGATGACATCGCGGATGATAAGGCTCGGATGGATAATCGCATAGATAGTTAGTTTCGATTAAAATAAATTACTATGTGCCGTATTTTAACTCAAAAAAGGTAGAAATTCACTTTTAATTCATAATTTAAAAACAGGAAACGGCTTTTCCACACAGAAATCCACATGTAAATATGCATTCGGCGGTATTCGTGTGGAGCAGTTTGGGAAACTTTCACTTGCAAATATTCCCTTGCGGATATAAGATTTATGAAAAAGTTGTATGAAAATAAATACATGTTTCATAATGATACTTTACTTTCTTTATTTTGATAGTACAAATATATTTTCGAAATATCACACCATATGAGACTACGAAACGCACTCAAGGAATAATAAGAATAGTAAATCACTAAAATGAGATTCATAAACTAAACTAGAGGAAAATCCACGTTACATTTTCATCAAATTGAAAGGTTCGTCTCAATAATTTCTATAATATATTTTGAATTATTATTATCTAATAATTACAATTACCTATATTTAATTATAGTTGAAATTGACTTGTTGGTTAACTGCATTATTTATTTCTTAAGGGTGCAATCTTATGTAAGTAATATCTATGTAGCAAGTGGTAATTCGGTAATAATGCCATCATCAGAGGATAAAAGCAGAAATGGTGAATACATACATTTATTATGTAGGAAAATGGGATGACTTCCGATGAACGGGGTAAATATTTTTGAAATTGTATAATTACTTACTATATATATATACATATATATTTACTATTTCTAACAAGTAATAAAACTCTCGGTAATTACATTAAATTCAGGACTATTCGCATTTTAAAGCATGGTAAATTCAAACTGATTGTGATTTAATTGATAATCATAACCTTAAATAAATACTAATTTTAATTCAATAACTCATTTCGAAATTGCAAAGATTTACTAACTATTTATAGATATATAAGTAGTTGGTAATTTAGACAGATATTTTTGTACACAAATAAATACAACTTTTTAAAATAATATTTAACATAGAAGAATTATAAATAATACTACTAATCTAATTCATTCATAACTAAATTAACTCAAGCATGTAAAATGTGTCTTTTACAAGACAACCTTAATTTATATAAATTCTGATTTTGAAATGAAATTATGACGCCGATCCACCAGTAGAGTCCCCTTCAGAACCGGAAATACACTCATCTAAAAAATATGTACAAGACAAAATTTTACAAAATATTAAACACAAGATTACATTATTTTATCCATCCACCCAATAAAATCTCAAATGTCTCATTTTGCCTCTGCATTTTTACCCTTCATTTTGTACAGTGAAAATTTCACTGTGAAATACATTCGTAAAGTCAGCGAATAACCTCAGGATCGATCATTCTAGAAAGGAAAAAAAGCCTGCATTCCTCGGAAATTGTGATTTAGGGAGAAAGAGAGGAAAGTTAAAGAATAGAAGAAACTTCCAATCCAATAACTTCATTTCAGTTTCTATAGTCCGTGTGTGTCCCGAACAATCAATAACTTTCAAGTGAAACTCGGATTTCTTTACTTGTTCCCAAAAACTCCCCCTTTTCCCCCGTATCCCATTCCTTCATCGCCGAAAGAGAGAAAAGTGATGGGATTGGGAGTAGACACCCGACTTTTATTAATCCATCCCATTTCTCTTTTGAGCTTTTTTCGAATCGAAACCCAAACCATTCTTCCACTTAAATGAGGTATGAAGAAAAAGGAGGAGGAGAAGGAAGCATGCCAGACAGAATTGAATGGATGTAAGCAAGATGGAAAATGGGGAAAGTTTCCGAATATAAGCACAAAGATTACAGCGCAACCTTTTAACTTGGAAAAGTTTATCTATCATTGGATGAAATTGCCTTTAGCATAGATGGATATTTTTTATACAAACAACTTTTAATGGCATATTAAATATAATGGGGCATTACAGAACATAAAAAATGTATGTGTATACCTGAGACTGGGGTTGCAGACATCGATTCGAGAGATGATGAAGTTCCATTCAATACGTTATTGTTCCCATTTGTTATGATCTGTAAGAACAATTTTGTTAAATTGTCCTTGTTTTTATGCACGATTAAGTCGAGCCTATTTAACTTGGGGGAAAGGAATGTTTTCTTCTTGTTCAATGTATATTATAAGAAGAGGAGCTTCTAATTAACAAGCACATAATTATCCGCTATAGACAATTATTAGTGACAGTGGAGGCAATTTAGACGTGAATTATTAGAATTAGCATCTCTTCATTAACCAAGTAAAACATGCATCATGGGATCAAGAGCTTAAACTTTTTGTTTATAAATTACTAAACTGGATGAGACGAATATAGATAAATTATGCATCGTAAGTACATACCTGATTATTATTATTTTTAGCTTTTTCGATTCTTTTCGGACAATCGGCAATCAAATGTTCGACGCTCTTGCAGTTGTGACACCTCTTTGGCATTGGTCCCAGTCCACATTTCGCAGCAACATGGTGCGACAGATCACCACAATTGAAGCAGCTAGAAGTTAAAGAAACATGCAATGGATGAGATCCACGCCTCGAGTCAACAACCGAAACGGTGAATGTGAAGAAATTCCATAAATTTTATCACCACAATTAACTCAGACTCAACACGGAGAAGAGAATTCCAGTCTTGTTTAGCATTAAATTAAGATTAAATAAAAAAGAGAGCAGCTAACTATTTAACTGTCTCTGCACTGTTACCACTTTTACTGTTACATATTTACTAACTGGAAGGAAGGAAGGACAGTTACATACATATCTAAAAGGCAGACTGCAAATCGGTCTTGTCTGCGCTTTAAGAAAGGCGTGAGATGAATGAGTTTATAGTTTCGTCCTCTTTTTAGAAACTAGACCGAAATTTATATGCATGAGCAAACGAGTGCAATATTTCACATTTTTCGCTTAGTTTTTATTTAACGAGCGAGTTCAAAGTATTTGGGTTGAAAAAGTGCATACCGAATTTTCTTAATTTTTTTCTTGGACATGGGACGACGGTTAGATCCGACGCATTCATTTCCGTCAGGACCCGTCACAACGGTAGCTTCCAAACCTTTGTCTGACTCTGTAAATCAATAAACATTTTTATAATTCAAGCATTGATTTCTTGAAACTATTTCCGAACATGGGGTCAAGTAAACAACTTTGATTTACTAAATAATTTCGGGTTTCGTGATTAATCGATTATGAAAGAAATGTTACCTTTAAATTCGAATTCCACTTCCTCCTCGTCCCCTAAACTTCGGAATCCACTCATTTGTATCACGCTCTGAAAAAAAATCAAATCATACATATCAGCAAAATCCCTAACCATGTAAGCTTTATATGACGATTTAGTTTGAAAATTTTGAATAGATTTTGGTGTGAGCAATAATGGAAGTAAGGCAGGCAGGCATTCTGCCGTAATGGCCAAGGCATGAATGAATGATCCGAGAGAGATCAGCACCCTCAAGGGCTTTGTCATTTGTGGTGCAGTGATGTGGATTTATTACTTTTGCTCCACAATAACAATATAACAGCCGGGTGTTAGTCGTCGTCCGAGTGAATGGACAGTCTCGTAAAATGCGAATGTCTTGTCGTTCTTGGTGTACATTTTATACGAAAATGTCACTATGTAAAATTGGTAAAGGAATAGAGGGAAAGTAAACAATCGATAATCAACGCATTTCATTTCAGTGCACATTTTCCGAGAAAAAAGTAAATTTTTTGTAACATTTTCTTCATAAACTCATATGCTTCGTTAAGTCGTCAGAATAATATTGTGCGTTCTTATGCACCCAACCAGTTAAAAATGATTGCAGGGTGAAAGCAAAGGTTAATGGATGCGCAGTTTCGTTTATTTTATGTGTTTTAAAAGCAAATGAGTCGTGAGATGAAAACTCTGCAAGATTTAATGAGGCAGGAGGGCTAAATTCACAGGAAAAGTGGCTCCAGTCTCAATTGTAACACAATCCTGTAGGCATACAGAATACCACACTTTTTGTCTTAAAATGCGTCCAAATTATTTAAAATGAAACGTTTGTGGAACAGCATTTATTTATAAATTCCTTCAAATATGTATGCATCGAGTAATGCACTTGGTTGCCATTATTTGAGACGGAAAAGTCAAAAAGTTAATTAGCACTTAGCATAAGAAACCTCAAGAACCGAACCCCGAAGGCAATAATCTCTTTCTTGAAAGCTCATGTAAATTATTGTGGTGCGAGTTGGATGGACCGTTCGTGGTGTGGCGAGGATGAATCCCATTTGGCTTTGGTTCTGGTTTTCTTTCTTAAATCTCGGAAATCCCGTAAAATGCTGATTTATGTGACCTGTTTAACCAAATCTTTGCTTCATGAAATGTGTAAAAGAAATGCCAACAAGGAAGAAAGGAACGCTAAGTAAATCCTACCAACCAGCAAACCAACCATGCAACTTATTGAATGTGTTCCAGACCCAAACTTTGCAAGGCACGAGCTCATCTGTCAATTGTCTCTTTGTAGATTGTTATATTTTGAAAGGCATTTATGGAATGAGTGCAACAACCAGAGGGACAAGATTTTGGGTCCCTCAAAAACCAGCATGTACTTCATGTTCTGTCAAATATGTTGTGCTTGTAAAAGTTTAAATTATTCAAAACTGTTGATAACACAAATGTACATCAAATATGAATTGTTAGCATGGGCAGGTTAGCTAGGAAGAACAAGATGCAGCATTGTTTTTGCTGGTAATGATTCTAAATAAGATGCTAAAAATTACTTCCCAAAAAAGTTTGGTTGATATTAAAATTAAGTTTACAAGTTGATATTCAATCCTAAGCAATGTGTCATCACGCGCATTTATGTACATATATAGAATGCACACCATTTCGATATAATTGAAGGAGGCGACGAAAAACAGGACAATTGCTGGGATGACTGCTGGAGATGAATTTTTTCATGCTGTGTTTTTTTTTGCATTTCAATATGCTCCAGCAAACAACAATGAGTTCGGAGGTGGTAGTGACAACGAGACTAACGAGAGAGTCGCTGAAATAACAATGACAGATGACGTCGGGCCATGTCATGTTGCAACTGTCAAATGCACTTCACATAGGTGCATGCATACAAACAGTCTCAACTCTAAATCTTTTATACGTTGATCAACAAAAATGTAAAGTTTTTGTGTGTTAAACTTGAATTTTTAAGATTTTTAAAGTGCTGAGTTATTTGGTGGCATGTCCTGACTTTAAGAAAAATACAATATTCAAAATATACAATATATTGCAAATAGAGCATAAATATTTTAAACGAATTTGATAATAAATAAATACTTGTTTTTACTTACTTGATGAACAAACACTTCCTGAGTTCCGTCTTCCGGTGTAATAAATCCCCAACCTTTGGCCACATTGAACCATTTGCATTTTCCCTTCTTTTTGATTAGGATTCCATTTTCTGAAATTGTAATTATATAATTATAAGCCAGGAATAATTTTCAAATATTCATATAAATGCATCCATTTTCTTCTATTTATAAATAATTACAACATTATTATTGATACACCAACGAAGAATATAATATCATTAAAAAAACACGACGAAATAAACTAGTTTTGCGCATGCATCCTTTCATTTAATTATTTCGTCATCACCAACTTTACTTGCTCAAGTAGATATTTGTAGAGATGAAGAAAATGGCAGTTTGAAAGGAAAATTGCAATAAAGTTGGCGTCTCTCCTCTTCCATCTCGAAAAGTTGGATTGGATTGGACTTTCTCGGATTGTGAAGAGAGTGGTGAATCTCCCCCAAAAAAAGAATCGATACAATATCAACTTGGAGAGTTGAAGTATGATTCATTCGTGCTTTGAATGGATTGGTAGAATTATTAAAGCAGGGGAGGAGTTCTCAAAAATTCGGACCGACCCCGGGTTTTATCCCGCACTCTCCCTCTTATTTCCACTATACAGATAGATACCCGTGTTTGTGATGTGGATGTGACTCCCTACTCAAAAAACCGAATCGGGTGAAATGGTGAAGTAAAGTAAAAACTCTACAATCCTGCCCTCCTCAAATGTAGAATAGAAATCCCCGAAAACTTTCATACGCACGCATCAACCAACATCGAGGACAGGGATGGAACTGAAATCGATTTTCTTATCAGGATTTTTCTCAAAAAAGAAAGTCCTCTACTTTCATCCTTCAATAAACCAAGTAAACTCAACTGTACATACATACACACAAGCAGCTAGAGCAATACTCCAAAGTCTAATCCAAACTAACGACTTGTCCATGTCCTCCTCCTGCTGGCTTCCATCCGTCCTTTCATTTCATCTTCTATATCTTAAACAGCCTTCCGCCCCACCGAGCCCAACAACTCCAATCTAAAAAGTAGAAATAGAAAGTCTCTCTTCCAACAAATTCTTCAAGGACTGCTCAGGAGTTGTGTTATAATTCGTAAAATTAGTAAAATTCAGAGATACACTCAAAATTTTGGGTGACAATTTTTAAGACAATTTGCAACATTTAAAATTCTCGAGATGTTTTAAATGATAAAAAGTATGTGGGTGCATTTCACATAATTTCAGGTAGGGCTCTTCACAATGTTTGCAAACCCCATGATGGTGGACGCCAGTAAAAGTTTCCATCCACTCATAACACAAGCAGCATGATTTAATAATACGATAACAAAAGATCGAAGGAGGAAAAAGCCTGTCTCTCACTGAAATTCCCCTTGGTTCGAATATTTCTCTGGATTCGAATGGTTGTCGTGGTCTGACTGCTTTTGCGGATGAACTCGATCTGGGAGTCCTCCTCCTCCTCATTTGATTTGATATTTCACCCGACGGATCGGCTGTGGTGGTGGAGCATGGTTCATGGCCATGTCAAATTCGGTTTTATTATTTCGTTACATAAGAACTAACCAGCTAGAGATTCGAAATGACTGACTCGCTTTAATATTGTCTAACTCTTCGGTCCACTCGCAATTTCAGGGGAAACTTGTAAAGTTAAGAAAATGATGATTTCCGTCGTGGTCGTCTATCTCTCCTAATTTATCCAGCAGTTCTGGTTACCCGTCACAAACAGATATACCCATCCCAATGATGGCCGCCCATTCTTTACTCTCGTCTCGTCTGTCTGATGGAAATTAATCCGATCCGAACTATGTAACTTTCTCAGCAGTTCTATCCGAAATCTAAAAGGCAGCCATTATCATTCTCTTTATTGCACGTCAAAACAGACATGGATTTTTTTGCGGAATAAATGATAAGCTGATGATGCAAAGCACTTTGCATATCATAGCAGAATATAGAAATCACTTTTATAGTATGTATGTAGGTAATCTGATTGGATGAATTAGAGCTTAATTATTGATACAAATATTTTTTAATCCACAATATTTTCCGTGACTTATTTTTATGATTTATTAATCTTGTGATTTTAAGCAAGTATGCATTTGCAAAATTTTCGATTTTTTAATAATTTCATTGCATTAACCGGATAATAAAATGTATTTAGTTCCAAAGGACTTGTTTGTATATAAATCTGTAAGAATCTGTAAGAATCAAATTACGAATTACACACAAACTTTTTTAAGTCAACAATGATTTTTTTATGATCTCGCCAACCAATTGAATTCATCGACTGCACTCGAACTAATTGAATGAAAGGATTAAATCCTTTTAGCAATTGAGATAAGTCATTTGTTACGAAAACAACACTAACACCCGGATAAAATGATCATTTACAACCCGTTTTTTATCAGCCGAAGAGAAAGGGTTCATCGAATTAAGCATTGTTGCTTGCACTTCAACAAGTACGAAAAGAAGGGTTGGATAATTTTGCTTTGTGGTATAAAAAATGAAAATGCCCAAATCCTTTGAGTCCTACACAAATAAGATAAACACGATAGTGGTAAATTATTGGGTGGTTGGTTAACCATTACCCATTCATTTTACACGTTGTTCCAAGTGAAATGTAACCAAAACAGAAGTTATCAACCCTAAAAATAAACATAAAAAAGCAACCCATAGACAAACAAATGCGTAAAAAAATGGTTTATTTACTCCAAAGCACGCGACTCCTGTCTTCACCTCTAAAAAGAAGTTTGATGAATCGTATTTTGATTGTTGATTATTAACCGAATTGCCAACTCATTTTCAACAATGCGAGTAGTAAAAAAGCAGAATGGGCAACAAATACATACACATTTTCCTGGGAGGAGGACCGTGAAACGGAATAATAACCCGACAGCGAATGAATACATTATACGGGTCGGAGTATCAGTTAACCGAGCTAATAACAGGGGAACAAATGACTAAAAAACCAAGCCGATCCATCTGATATTTCATTTCATGGATACGATACGGGTAATGAAGATGTAGTATATTGGACCAACTAACAGGGAAAATAGAACCCTTCAAAAAACGGGAAAAAATGCATGATATTGTCGCTTTGGTTTAGTTGGATGGAGGTTCTTTTTTTGTGAATAATGGCAAAATCCACGTAGCAAGTTTCAACAATGAGGTTATTATTGACAGTGAACAGGGGAGACAACTTCCTCCTTCCTGTTTTCAATGAATGTTTTTTATAAGTGGATCGGTACCACTGAAAAGTAAAGTAAAATTTGAAAAGTGTCCTTGTCCATCGGTTGTCCTTTATAATCCTCGAGTTTCTTTTTTATATTTTGTAACTTTGCCGATTCTCTGGAGAGATAAACAAGGGGCTCATTCTAGTCGGAAATTGAATTGCGTTTTTTTGTGACAATTAACCCAATTGCTGCACCTTTCTAAGGATAAGTGGTGGTGACGTTGAATGGGACGGGTAAAAAAACGGGAGCTTAAGTACCAATGGAGGATGAATATAAAAAGGTGGTGCGCATATAGAAATCTCACAATTTTTTATCCCTCGTGACAAAAAATGAAGCTTGACAATTTTTAATTGTGTTTGGGGCGTGCGTAATAAAATTATGGGGATTATTTGATGGATACTGAATGCATATTAAGACAAACTAGAATAAGAAAATGCAATTTTACAGAGTTACAATTTTTAGAGTTGTAGTATTTTAAGACCATTTGTCAGCATTATTAAAAAAAATAATAATCGGAGTATTTTAAGACCATTTGTCAGCATTATTAAAAAAAATAATAATCGGACGTATGCATATGTAGATTTATCCCAGTAGTCTCCCTTCGATTGGATTCCTATGAAAAAGGTTTGCCTCTTAATAAACGCACAATTTGAAATTACCAAAAAGTATTTTATAATGAAATGATATTGTTCAATTATCTCGATTGGAAAGTGTTAATTAGAGGAACGGGGGGCGTTATTGAAAAACATACTTCATTCCTGCCTGTCACCACACTTCAAGCATTGGCCTTTTCCTCCCCCTTCTGTTCAAGTAAATTTCCACTTTCCAAATTGAGGCATTCCAAATTTACCGAGTCATCCTCCTCCCATATTCTCACCTTCGTGTGTGTAACATCATGTTACTCCTTATCATTGTACAATACAAGAATTATGGTACTATTATTTATGATGAAGCATACTTTACTTTAATAAAATATCTCGGCTGGAGTTGGGTGAAAATTACTGGGGCACAAAAGGTGGGGGTGAGTTTGTAAAATATCAAAATATAGAAATTTAATATTAATGATGTTTTCATGACTTGGCAATAAGTTCCCAGTATTTGAGAGGAATAGCACACTTTTAGAAATCTTTTCTTATGTCATCTGAAAACTGTCTCTATTTAATAACCCTGTATTTTTCATTAAACTGATTACACAAAAAAAAGAAGTTTCATTTATTACCGTTAGTAAAATGGCTCGAACCACCTGACGAAGGTGAGCATGTGCCCGGTTCGTCAGATAAAGATCCGGTTTCCGTCATTTTTCGGCTTTTTTTGGCAAAATCAATCAGCGTTTTTCTCACTTCTTTCACACTCCTTTCACCATTTTTAACTTCTTCCGCAAAAAAATTGTACAACTGGATAATTGATTTGACAAAGTTTGATAATTGTATTTAATTAAAGATCAAGTTCTTTACAAGAAAAGTGAAAATATTCCACTTTTTTTCCTTTAAGAAACGGTATACAAGCAACTCTTTCACTGTGTCCTGAGTTTAATGGCTTGGCTTTGACTATGATTTTTTGACGAGCAGAGTTGAGTGTGGTGAGACTTTTATTTTTATTGTGTCCTCTTCAACTGGGAGCGATGTGACTTGAACTCGTAGTGATCGAAAAGGGACTAAAATCCACGAAAAGTGGACTCACGGATCGTTGTTGGAGTTTTTCTTTACTCTTTTGTGCGGGGAGAATATATTGGAGGCTGGACTTTTAGAGTTCTCTCCAAGTTTTTCCACTTCGAATGTTGGAAACTGACTCAAAAGTTATGTTTCGTTCGTCGTTTTGTGGATATGCGTGGTTCTGTAGAGCAAGGATTGATTTTGTACATAGATTGAGATTTGCTCAGAACTCGGAACTCACAAAAAAACTTTGTTATCAAGGCGAGGCGTCATATTAGAGATGAGTTCTCTCATCATGTTCAAATTGATGGTGCTGCTGCGTATAATGTATTTTTTGCAGTTTTCGCAATTTCAAGTAATAAAGCAAGCTATTTGGAAAATTTATAATTCAGTAACGCAGTGAAATGAAGGATATTTATGATTACAGATTGTAATAGTTACTAAACAGAGTTGTAATAATAAGTGCGTTTAAAGACTCCTTTATTTCTAATTCAATTTAGGTATCTTTTAACTGTACCCAAGATATGCAGACATTCGTCTCATAAACTTTACATATATTCACGTGTAAACCCATCATAAAACTATTTATTGTAAAGCAACTTATCGTTTGAGATCTACGAATTTGCCTATTTGTATGCAGGCTCTTATTCCACATCCCATCATGCACACATTATTCTGATTCCGATAATGTTCATGCAAGAAGAAAGGTTTCCTTATTCCCTCTGAAAACACGGACAGACGGATTTCCATTATTTCCTCCACAAAATATATTATAACCCTTGGCCGATGCTTCTGCCCAGTCTGGCGATGTGATGACCAAGGTACATACATTTACGACCTATAATATCTTTCCTCTGCCAGTTGAGAGAGGATATAAAGAGTGAAAAACATCAGGCTTTTACAGAACGTGTAGTTATATTGCATTTCCAGTATAAATCTCATATTATTCATTCCCTTTTCTCAGCGACGGTCGGAGAGACTGTGTCCTGGGGTTTGTTGTTTTTCGGAGAATTTTCATTTCAACATCCATCCACATAATACATAATAACGGATAAAGGTTGACAACAGGGCGAGATTCGGAATGCGCAACTCGAGAGAAAGGATTTTGTCCAGAAATTTGTTGGTCGAGGAGTTAAACCCAAATAATATTTTTGCTTTATTGCATTAGAAGAAGACGAGAGGAAGAACTTTGAGACTAAACCTTTCCAGTAGGATTACATACTTTGTTGTCAACTGCATGGTAAATACATTACGCTACATATACTCACTCGTCTTCCCGTTATGAGATATTGATTTCGTCCACGTCAACGGCAAAGCATTTGGGACAAGAATCATGCATCATTATTTTAGCCGATTCCAAAACACGTGACGATAAGATACATTGCATAATCAACCATGCGCTGATATTTGTAACCCTTTGCTTTTGTGGGATTGGTGAAAATGCTAATTAAATATAATGCAATTTACTTATTGAAAATATGAGTAAGTGATACGTCGTAGTCAAATTCATATCCATTATATTTTGATTATAACAATTATGGAAACTTTCACTTTATTTATTTTTGAAAAATACTGGAGATAGCTACAACTTTTCGAAACATGTCATCAAGCTACTAGTTAAAAATCGGGTCCCCACTGAAATAGTACACATGTGAGTAATCGACTAAAGATATGCTAGGGTTGGGTTTTTACTGGAGGATGGAACAAACGTGAAGCAGTCTAAAAAAAGTAAATCGTGTGTAATGATAAGAGTGAAAAGCATAAAAAAGTGGGACGAACCTTTTCAACCCTTTCACTCCATGGGCAGGGTCGGATTATGTGGAATGATGTTACTGTTTATTTGGGGTCCGCTTTTTATAGTCTTTCCGGAAATGGGTAAAAAAGTCATCCATTTACTTAATAAATTCAAGTTTTTCCTTCTTGATAATACGAGTGACATTTTCTTTTTCACCGTAAACACGACAATTTTGCTATCAAATCTGCATCTAATAAACCACATCTGCATCTGCTGCTTGCTCTCTTTGTTGAAAAACAAATGGATTTCATTTTCATCCCCGGCCAGCAACAGCCGCACCCGGGCTTCCTTTTCTTCCTTCTCGTCCAGATCAGAAACAGCAGACGGTTAGTTTTGTTATAATTTTTGTAAATAAATAATGAAACGGAATATGCATAACCCAAATCATGCATTTCAATTCCATGCATAAGAAGGACCAAGCAGGGTCGGTCAGTAGTGCGTGCTGTTCCAGTTCCATCATTATTTGGTGGAATATTGTAACTTGGTTGGACAGGGAAGGGAGAAAAAGGTCCCTTTTTGAAAAACCGACTAAAACCTGAGCTTCCCAGTTTAGGGACGAGGAGACCTTGCTAGGAGATGAGATGAGATGAAAATGCGTTAAAAATATGGGGAAATATGTAGTGAATATGGCACGTGTATGAGGGAGTACCCTGCGATGTTGTTGATGATGCCCTTTGTGTGAGGAAAGTAATCAGTCTTTTCAAATAATGTTCCCTTCATTTCCTTCATTCAGGTTGAGTTTTGAACGAAATGTAAATAAAGAATGAATAAAATGTGGAGGATGTGAGTGAAGTGCTCCTGACTTAAGTCGTCGTCCTCTTGTTTGTTAACACCGCAGCAAACTGAGACTTTTTTTTACAAACCGGCCGATTTTTAATGCGTATTTTACGAATACATTAATGGAATTATTTGTTTGATAAGAAGTATACGGTATTTTTTATTATTGAATGGAAAATACTGTGTTAATATATGTATTTGAATATTTAAAGTGTATAATAAATGGTATTCTTGTCGTGTATACATAGAACTCTGTTTTTACAGTTTGGATTTTACATTTAAATAAGGGAAGTAATTTAATGTCTCTCCAAAACAATGGGAATTACCCTCCGAATATTTAAGAAGTGACCTAAATGGAAAGCAACCTCTTAATCCTCTAAATTTTCCCTCCCGTTAAATGGAAGTAGCCTCTCATTTTGCATATCATAAATCTGTGAAAATTTCTTATCAGTGATGGGTCTTATTACCAGTGTCCGGTTGATTATGTTCTTAAAAACCCTAAATCTTTATGAAAAATTTGTATTAGATTTATCAGACGACATGGTTGTTGTAATACAGATATATTTATTCCGAGCTTTCGATACTCACTTGTATCATCTTCAGGGACAATTTTAGAAAGCGAAAAACATGATTTATTTCACCAAAAACCAGGATTCTTCAATCACTAACGGCTACGGCCGGTGTTTCTGGGTTCGGCCGTAACTCAACAAACTTATTTTTTTAATTATTTTTAATTGTTGGGTAGCAGCGGCTACCCAGCCTTATGTAACTGCTTGTCCGTTCCTCTGTTTGTCTGTTTACTCGCAGAAATTAAATATGTAACACAACTTTGGGTAACTATGACTCGGGCTACACACACTCAATTCTAGAAATTAGCCAGCAATTACAAAATAGTTAAAAATTCTTTCGTTGACCCAGCTACGGCCTCACCCCTAGAGTAAATTGTTTTAAGTCATCCTGACCAAAAACATCTTATCACATAATATTTTTGTAATTCAAAAAACGATATCGTTGTCAGGGGCGCTTGATTAGGGGTAACAATAGTGAAACCCAGATAGGATTCAGGTTCATGTGGTCTTGAATCAAGACTCTTGATTCAGGACGTCAGACGTTTTTCTAATGTACAGACTTTCAAGAAGACTTTCAGACTTTATGTAAAATGTTTAATTGCTTAGATCCCCAAAAGATGTATTTATGAAAAACATTTTTTTAATTCGTTTTAAATTACATAAAAATTAGTTTGTTTGACTGCAAGATTGTCAAAAATAGCTTTAATATTTCACACTGACAAATAACAAGCTTTCCACAGGCTTTGGTTTGATATTGCTTTGGTTTGATATTACTTTGATTTGTAAATATATCCGTTTCTACGTCTTACATTTATAAACTACCGATTTTTTTACCAGGCTGTATTAAGACATTTCGGCATTTAAAAATTTTAAACTCAGGGTAAATTAAGATAAGATAAATTAAGACATTTTTACCTGACGATTTAAGATAATCTCAGGGCCCATTAAATTTTACCCTTACATTAATGATCGGAATTATTTATGTATTGCGAATTTCTGAGATTATCGTATATTTTTAAAGATGAATTTCGTCAAGCAATTATAAAAGAATTTTTCGATGTTGTTCTGAACCCAAAACCTGTACCAAGCGGAAGGGTGAAGAACCTGTTAAGTCCACAACAGCCTTGAGTACCATGTAGTTTTTAAAATGCATGCTTTTATGGAAGCCTTAACTTTAATTGCATATAAATGATACGCTTTTTACATATATAAAATGCTGAAATTATGGCTTGTAGATATGTACATTATTTTAAGAGGTAGTTTGCCACCAAAATCCTAATTCAAAAATAACTTTAAGAGGCAGGTATCCATGAAGGGTACTTCTGAAATATTTGGAGGGTACTTCTCATTTAATTGGAGAGGCTTTAAATGCATGCCTTAAATAAGTACATACAATGAGGAGTATAATTATTACTCAAAATCTACTGGGTTATCAAATGATTAAATTTTTGTATACTTATCTAACACGGATCGTATTTAACCAAACATTTAATCTCTTTGGCTTGATAAACTATCGAAATTTTTTCTAATTAGTAAAGGCCAGAGGGCAAATCGGTAAGTCGATGATTATCCATTGCATGCGGCATCATGATTGGAGGAAGCGAAAACATTTTCATATTTTCCTTCTCCTTATTGTTATTATGGTTGAAATCGTTGTGTGGATGATGGCTTGGTCCAGGTAATCCTGGAAGAGGTTGACCCTGTTGGTGGTGGTGGTGGTGATTCATGAAGCTTGCGGGTTGCTGATGATTCAAAGCCTTGTCCTTATCCGGCGATGATTTCTTTGTATAACGGGCAAAAATATTTAATGGAGAACTGCTACTGCTTCCGGCCCGTCCTGATTCTCCATTCCCACTTTTGCTGCTGCTATTCTTTGTGAATCGATTTTGTCTGTAGTCAGCGCAAAGTTCGCCACCACCCCCAATATTATTTTTGTGCCCGTTTTGCGCAAGCAAATTTTTTGCGGCAAGTTTGGCAGTTTTACTTCCAGATTTAGGACTTGGAGTTGTGGGGGAGGATTGGTCCTTAGACTTTTTACCGGGTGGGAGTTGTGGGTGTGGGTATCTCCACCTCAGAGTAAAATTTTCATCCCTGCCTTTCCCACCCTCCAGACTTTCCATGCTTTTCCATTTATCCGCAGGTACGGCGGAACCTCTGCCCTCGTGTCGACTTCCCTGTTGATAATTGTTACTCTTCTTATTATGCTCTTTACTGGCTATAACTTCGATGGAGGCTAAACTGAGGGACTCGGAGCGACGAAGACCTGGAGAAATTCCTCCCCCTCCAGAACTTCGATTATGATGTTTGGATCCGCCACTACTGTGTTTCTTGATATCATGTGGGAGGTCCAAGTTTGGTGAAAATCTGGGAGAAATATTGTATTTGCTAGCGCTACTGGCACTTCCATTTGTAGATTTTTCATAAACTTCGGCATATCCACTTGAAACATTATTTTTGCTGGAGGAACGAGAATCCCCGGAATTATCGGGACTGGAAGAGTAGAGTTTGGCTGATTTGAAATTTGCGAATTTACTCGCCATGTGGTTAGCTTTGTGAAAATTTGGGAGCGAATAATCCGGTCTGGGTTCGTTAATAGGACTGATGCTTTTGGACATTGCGATTGGTAAATTTTGTAATTTCTGGTGCTTATCCCTGAAATGTTTGGGTGGCGAAGATTTTTCCATGTTTTCTAATTGTTGCACGACTCGTAGCACGTTTGGTTTCTTGGAATCGTTATGATGACCGTGACCTCCTTTCTCAAGCATTTCTACAATGTCGGAATCATCATCGTCGCTGGCGGAGGAACCAGGCCATGGTCTCGGCAAGACGGGCGTCGAGCTTGATAATTTCTTCTTTGGTGGAGACTTTACCAAATGAACTGGCACAATTTCCTGTTCTTTCTTTGTCCCTGCGGATTTTTGCTGCACACGCATCTCCGAGTTGACAATGTTGTTCAACTCTTGTAAAACCTGGTGGATCTGTTCTGCCTCTTCTTCAGAGTCGACGGGGGTCGTAATAACTGCATCTTCTGTCCGTTTTGCTCGAATTCCTCTTTTACGAGAATCGTCCGACTTTTGTGGAGCGTCCATTCTCTGTTCAAGTAGAATGCAAACAATAAATAAATGATAGCATATAATGGATGATATAACTGTAGGAAACTAAGAAGAAGGTCTCATTGTTCGAGGAAACAATGCAATGCATTATCCTCTACGCAACCTACTAATTGAAGGCCTACGTACGTATTCGTTTACTTTAGATTTTACTAAAAAGCTAGATCACATCAAAACTTAGAGGCGTTTGTCTTTCGGTCATTAAACTGTTTTTTAGCACGCAACTGACGCAACACTGAACTGATTTTAAACTGCTTTTAAGTACAGACAAAGGATTTGGCTAGTATTGACGAAGGACACTACACCCTGGTAATCGTCATCATTATATGATAACTTATCAATGTGCTGGGTGAGTCGAGGAGCAATTTAGATCAACAAATAAGTGGGACGAATAATGTGTGACAATTAAGAATAATACGCTATTTGTGCCAAAAACGTACTTAGAAGAATTCATAATTATAATAATCATTATCTCGGCATGCATCCTCTTCGTCATTCTTTTACCTTAAGTTTGTCCTTCAACGTGGCAAGTTCTTGCTGAAGAGTTGCGACACTATTCCGAAGTTGTGAATTTTGTCGAGTCAACGTGTCCTGAAATTAGCAATTCATTCATTTATTTATGTTGAGCGTGGGCAATTCATCTTGAACAGAAATAATTAATCTAATAGATTTTTATGAAATTTACCACATCAATTATAACACGATCCCACTCATCCAATTCGACGTGAACATCTCGTGACTCTCGAGCTCCTCCCAGTTCCGCACCCTGTGAATGAATATAAAAATGTGATAATTGTTATTAATTTACTAATTCTAGGTCACTTTTATTTAATGTCAGCACGATTAATTAAATATGTCCTCACTCACCTTCCGAAGAACTCCTGAATTGAAGCCGGCTTCTTCAAGTTCACATTGGATGTGAACCTTGTGCTTTGGGCTTGGTGCCGATGAAATGAACGCTGTCAAAAATTTGATCCCTTTCGCTTGAAATAAACCCGGTGGGGCGGAAGATATCGCACCAACAAGAAATTTGCACCGAATTGGTTCCCCCATTCGAAGTCTGGAATAATGTCATTATTTTAAATTTGGTTCGAAAAAAATTACAGATTTTGTTTCTTGATTTCATTATTTTTAGGTACCTCAGCGTTGATAGCGCTTCGCATACTTTGTAATGTCCTTCTGCTCCACCTTCTGAGCAGACACAGGTCAAAACCTAATTTTTCATTAAAAAAGCAACAATTTCTTTTACATGCATCATAAGAACGATTTGATAAAGAAAATCGAATCATCATTTTAAATATCCACTTTTCTAAAAAAGAGAAAAGAAATTATGTATAGTACCTCCAACGCGATAATCCTTGTCGCAGTGACGGTGGACACCATTGTGGCAGCCAAGGGATAAAGTCCACCAGGATACAACGCCAGTTTCGACACGGCTTCAATATTCCTGTCAGAAAGTAATAAATAACCCGTTTTATTATGAAAAATACTAAGGCATTGGTTCAGATTAAATGGTCTGCAGGTATTATATATCGCGTAAAAATTGTGCACAGAGATTTGCACAGCTTGCTTACAATTTGCTTACATAGAGATTTTACACACCGACAATTTCACGGTAGAGTGGTCATGTTCAAAAATAAATAAAATGAAATAATTCTATTCTATTAATCCCTTTGCGAATAATATGGGCCACTTGCCAAGGACAAAGGGAGTGAATTGGGCACTTTGGTGGGTGCTTTCGTTCGACTGCTATTGTTGTGATTCGAAAAACATCTTCAGTTCAGACCAAGTTTATTTGGTCGAAAATGTATAGCTGAGTTAAATCAAGGTTAAAAAGTTCCAAATGTCTGCCTTTATCTAATTGAAGAATCTTTTCTAATCTGATAATTTCAAATTAGGGTTGCAAATTATTTAAACCATATGGGTATTCTTGTAATAAATTAAGATTCAGGTATTCGTTTATAGTGGTTTATTAGATATTTTTCAGGTCAATCTCTTAATAATCCTCTCAGATAATCCTCCCATCTCTAATCCCTCACAAACAATGCAGAAATAATGGCAAAAATTATAAATTTTGTCGCGTTTACTAACCTCAAAGCCAGGGATACACATTGAAGACATTTCTGCTCATCACTGAAAACAAAGAAAAAATTGGTAACTGTAAATTCGTACAAATTTCGTAATTATGAATCTGATGTTATCCACGTTACATCTCCTCATTTGAGTTCATTTCCATAATAAGTTTTTTGATCTATATCTTACAAACCTGAACATTTTCCGCTGTTCTCGTAATCCTGACACATCCTCGAGGGCTGATTGAATCGTTTTCAGTGCTTCGAGGAGACAAGCGACGCCTTCGAACTGCCCGGAGACGAATTCTTGGACAAACGAAGGGTATGCTGAAAAAAACGTAAAAAACGGTGTCATGCGGGTTGGAGGGACAAACTCATTTTGCAAATATTTACGTATTTACCATGTCGCAAGTCTGCCTCCAACTTGAATAAAAGTTCACTTCCATTCAGAAACTTTTTCATCCCCATTTCTGGTTGGCGTTGTGACGACATTTCCGCCAGACCTGCTCCCGCCAGGGCGCCATTTGTAGAATGCTCGATAAGCACGGATCCACTGGAAGGTTGCTGATGTCGAAAGCCATGATTATTACTGCTGTGATGGTGGTGCGAAAATAATTGTTTTAGAGCTGCCGTATAATCCTCCGCGTTGTATAATGGTGGTCTCAGGGTCGGAGTTTTATGCTGCTTCCCCTAAAAAAATGTGTGTTTTTATCATAAAATGCAGTACTGCATCATCCCAAATGACAACTCAACTTCAAGAAGATAATTATTCAACAAGATGCGTGCATCGTCACAATAATATGATTTTTTAATGCATAAACTAATATCATTCATTCACACACATAACGGAACATTTTCAAGAAGAATAAATTAAAAGGACCTTTAATATCTAATGCTTGTTGTTGCTTTAAGCCCACCCACACCTCGATCTTGTTTCGCACTTATGCAAACACGCATGCAATACAATCTCGTCATAATATTCTGTGAATATCTTCTTGTTCTGTGTCAAAATTGTCTCGTTAGGTAAAGATTTATAGAGTAAAACCATGCACTTCCAAGTTCTTATTTCCATTCGAAATAACAATAATGATGGTAATAAAGCCTCGCGTGCCTTCAGCGCGTTTTGCTCAAAACGAGATGAAATTTCAGACGAGTTCATTATAATTTATTTACATTTGCTCGCTCACGACAAAGTAATATAGATTTGATAAACGGAAATTAGAGTAAGGATTTTAAATCCCCTTTTTACAAAGTTCTTATGTGCGTATGCTCTACGGAATGAATTACTGCGAAGAAAGTTGGACGACCATAATTTGTCTGACATCTTCATCTCATGACTGACTGGTGAAGTACGCATCAACTTTGTAGATATTGCTTTTTGTTGTAAACTATAATCTTAAAAATTCGCCTACTTCCTTCCTTTTTGCACTATAATGTTTTTTTTTCGCATTTGATAATGCTGATGGTAACTGTACACCTTCTAACAACGTTGCAGAAATCGTAAAAAAAAGATCGTGAGGATTGTTATAAAGGATTTTGAGATGCCGTGTGCTAAATCTTATCCGACAAAACAAACCCACCACAAACTTACTTATTTGCCAGTCAGCTTTGTATTATTAAACGTGAAACGAACCGAATGAAAGTTTTTTTTCAGCTAAATTATTTTGAGCTTGTGGTCAGCAGAAAGTATTAAATTCGCTAAAATTCCTGCATTTTATTCAAGCATCACTTTCTGATTTTAGCAAAGATTTTGTAATCATCCAAATTATTTTGTGTCTGCTCTACAATTTTGTGAGTATCACTTATTCATGGGACAGTCAGTGGTCAGAAATCTAATTTCCTTTTTGTCATTGTAAGCGTTGACAAATTGCGTTTTTTCCGGAAGTTTTTTTTCTCAGATTTGTTACGCGAAAAAATAATTATCACAGACAGACAAATAACTTTTCTGGTATAACTTTCTGATTATTTTAAGTACTTAGAATGTCTAATGTTATTATGTTTTATGCATTTGCAGAATCATTCATACTTTACGAACACGTTAAGTTTATTAGTTTACTTACATCGAATCCATCGTCTTCTCTCTCAGGTGGCATTTTAACGGCTTGCTGTCAATTTGTCAGCTAGGTTTGCAATTATAATCGATTCTGCCAATAATCACGTCAATTTCCAATCAGTTTTGAGTCGAATTCACATCACTTTTATGCTCAAAAAATGCACACGCTTGTTCTTTTTCACTTTTTTCACAAGAAATGCAAATATTTTAGAGAATCACATAAAGAAACTTCCTTTTTCTTCACGAGATGTACAGCTATGCATCCCAAAACTTAAAGTACTGGTGGGCACGCTATAACAATCAGCAAAAAGTTTGTTGGATCATTCACGCCATTACGTACCTACGTAGAAGAAGTAGTAGTAAACTGTTGATTAGCGATAACTGTTTCATTTACTAAGCATGAAACAAAACCACTTGTTCGAGTCACGATAAAAACGAGAGTAAATTCAGATTCGAGACAAAATCCACCCTCTTTCTGTATCTGTCAGAGAAGGAGAAGGAGATTGCATGGAATGGAATTATAGTAACGGGTCTCTTCTTCTTCTTGACTGATGCAAAAAACAAATGTAGAGACAACACAAGGTAAATTATTCGATCCAATCACGCATGAAAATTGTGTAATGCGAAAATCGTCATGAGTTTGAACAGGACTTTGCTTATGCGTATGAACAAAGGCAAATTGCACGCTTCACTATGCACATCAATAACCATTACAAGTTGTTAGTCCACACTGCTGCTACTTTTTCGTATGAAGTGTTGCTTCTGGTGGTTGGTGATTCTAATTCTTGCAAATCTTGATTCCTTCCTCGGAGGATCTGCTAGTTGTGGATGAGCCCCATAAATCTCAATTCCGGTTTTGCTTCATTTTCCTTTCTCGTTAAATTCAGATTTTTCATTCACTCACTGATGTCTGGTCCTGATATGAATTCCGATTGTTTAAGAAATCAGTTTTTATTACGTTTCAGACAAAATTATCAATGGGTCACAACGGGATTGTGGAAATTTTAGTATGTCGGCGTGTTCGACTTCCTCGGGACGGGTTAATCTGCAAAAATGGAGAGAATTTTTGTTTTAGCTGGATTAATTTAAATGCCAAAATTTTGAGTGGCAGGCCCAATATTGCTTATCATTATTTAACCGTTCAAAGTGATGCATTGCTCTCATGTCGAATTGTGACATAAACAAGGATGTAAAATCTACCAACTAACCAACCACCCTGGATTTTAATAGATTATGACGATCATTTCCTCCATTAGAGGGTCTTATACACAAACCAGAAAACCGGTCAAGTTTCTCACATGTATCACCACACCAATCCTGAAGAGATTATTCGTCTAATATCTTGAATATCCCATCCCGTTAACGAAATTAGTCAATCGTATCTTATCCTGAATGTAGAATTGAAGCATCTGTTGAGCATGCATGTCTTACCATGATTTGTTGTCACATTATTGTTAAAAATCTAGTTTCACCGGTGCCAGAATGTCAAAATACGACCACTATTTAGTCAAAAAGAAGAAGGTTCTTTCCGTTCCTCAATATTTATTACCTTTCAGCCTTTTCTTAACAAAATCCGACGTTTAAAGCGTTAACTTTCCAGTCTGACAATCTTCCCACGCTACATTCCTCAACCATATTCCCATTTATCAAGCATACATAACGCGGATATTATACACAATAAGCGTCATATTTGTTATTCCTTCTTGATGGGTAAAAGTGGTTTATCAATCTACTGTAATCCACAGATCGGGTAAGCAATCGTGGAAAGGTCAGTCCGACTTTTTTTCGCTACCGCACGGAATTCGTTACCTTTACGGTGGGAACTTTATTGCTCTGCAAGTTCATTAAACTGGTTTTGTCTTACGGCATACACGCGAATTTTTGAAACTCTTGGCTAACCTTCCTTCCGTAACAGCAGCAGTAAAGCAGGTAACTACAGCCGATAAATAGTTTTTCGCCACCCCACCGCTGAGCTGACCGCTTTATATTGTTTTAAGAAGGAGGGAGAAACCTTATCGTCCGACCGATGTCATGGGAAAGGTGGGATGCATGAACAATTCAATTTTCCATGCGTTAATGAACTATAACATGTAACGAGCCAGGCTGATGGTCGTATATCATGCAGCTCGCGATGAAGAAAATGATTATTGTAGGTGGATCCATTAAGACGGAAGGAAGTTGTAATGTAGCTACCTGTCCTGCACTCAACAGCATTTCTGCCACTGCTCCTCAAATCAAAAGCAAAGTAGCAAAGACAATTTTATAGACGGACGGACGCCGCTGAGTTTTAATAAGCCCGAGAAGGAAGCAATTATTCTTTTGGTGAGACACTCCTGCTGAATTTGGACAAGTGCAATAACCCTCCCACTAAAAAACTGTGTGTAGAATTGAATTGCAGAAAATATTGTAATTGATTCCAGCCTTATTTAAAATAAGGTAGTTAGTATTTTCGTTTCGTCTAAAAAAGTAATCTCAAACTTATGAACAAATGCAAACTTGCACAGAGAATAAATTATTCCTTGTTGTATTGGAATCAAAAGTGCGACTAATGCATAACTATTTCAGTGGGTGGATTCGTTCTAATTGCGATGAAGAGATTTAGATTTGCCTGTCGGCACTTCAAAAACAGAACGTGCAGATTATTGCATTCTAAAATTAATCACTTATTTAATTAGCAAGACAATACTTTTAAATTTCTCATTAAACAAGTTATTACCAATGAAGGATGGTCTAATAACACAAGATCCTTAGTCAAATACTTTCTATTTCAATAAAATTGAATCTCTGGTAACGATCCTCCCACAAATGAGTGCGCGAGCTTAATTGCTAATAAATAAGTAGTATATTAATTTGAACAAGCTATAAACTCTGTCATCGTGCATGAGATTTATTGATCTTTCTCACCACCACGACGAGTTACAAAACTCTTTGCACAAGACTTTTCTACCACGTAAAAAATGAAAATGAAATGCAAACTGGTGTCAATAATATCTATGTGCGTCAGCAGAGTAAGCACTCCAGATTTCGTAACGTTCATCAAATCAACGCTAACCTCGACCGCTTTTGAGTCCCACAATTAAAAACGATACGTCAACAATGCACACGGTATGAGCACAGTAATTAAAGAAAAGTGTCATATTTCCATTAACAGATTACTGACTTGAGTACATATTTTCGCAAATGGAAGGAATACACAATGTTATCGAAACCTTGCTGCTGGGCAATAGGTAAAAATGATGATGGCAATTGCTTCACATCTACGTAGCTTGTAATACTTGACGTGGATTTAATACAAAGTCCACGCTGAAATCTTGGCGATAAGTACAATTAACGAGATTAGGGAGCAGACACCCTTTGTTTCGCGTGTGAGAATAAGTTGCTTTGATGGGAAAGGTGAACGAACATCCTGTTTGATGCTATTCTTATTTACTGACTGTGAGTCTTACTGAATTTTCGCAAGTACTTATTTCTTAACAAGTCGTGTCGGTACCAACTACCAAGTACAACAAACACTTGACTTGGCCAATGTATGCATTGGTAAAGTTGGGTGAGTATATACATAAAGTCCATTGTCTTTCTTAATAGTGATGCTTGCGTTAATGACTCATTTACAATTAAGTAAGATAACAATTCCATGGGTTGGTAATACACACAAATACCAGCGTGTGTGCAATTGCTGATAAAGCTCTTGCGTAAAATCTGCCAAGATTAAGGGTGTTTCATGATTTGGTGGTAAATCGAATCTCTATTCCTTAATTTGTACTACACAAATTACGATACGGTGCATTAATTCAGATTAATGTACAATCTGCAGCAGCAAGAAAAACAATGTCAACTGCTGTGGCACAAAATAGTCCCACGGACTAGATTTTCTAAATTTGCCGAGTTTGCAATCATTTCTGCTATGTCATTAACCACATACGCACAGGATGCGCACATTCTCAGTGACAAAATCACGTCGTAATTTATATATCAGTCAATGAACCAGAACATTTCTGCAATTTGAGACAAATAGTTTTTGAAAGTTTTCTCAAACATACTTTCTCGTTGTGAATGCGGTACGTTTATCGCTTTTATCAGTCTTTCATCTACGCATCCGTCATTTACTTTAATTCAATACGATTCGAAATATTGTACAAAATTGGGCTTGAAATGATAAAAAGTGACAGAATCTCGTGTAAAATCTGTTGGAATAAAGTAGCAGGTAATTATCTACGATGGGAGCCGTGTTGCTTGGATAAGATCATGATGCTTAATGATAAATGACCAACAAACTTGTACAGCTACCAACTTTTTGATTTCTTATTTAGAAAATCCAACCAACTTTATTACAGCAGTGGAAGAAACAATAACCACGCCAATACCAGTTTCAACGCCAGCAATGTCAGATATCCGACACCACAAGCATGATAAATGATGTACAAGCCAGGAATAAAGTGTCAGTGGCAAAATCATTAATTTTTTTTCTAAAGGGAATACATAGCAATGCCGAGTGACAAACTTTAGTATTCATGAAGTACTAGTATCTGACATCAATCTACACACAACTGTCAACAGAAATGGCATTAACCATTTCCTAAATCAGGAGGCAGACAGACACACATTTCTGTCACATCATGTAATGTACTACGTAGTCACAAAAAGGTGAGCAAAAATTTCGCACATTCGTGCAAACTAAAAAATATGTTACTGTTACTGTTACAATACTTCACAACAAACGAGCATCATCTAAATCGCGATCTAAATCTTTTGAATGGCGTTTGTAAGTACCTATGTGTGGACACATTAGTGTAAAATTTGGACGTGTGAGATATTTCTGGCAAGGATTTTAAGGTGCATTGTTACACCAGTAATAAGATCACAATATATATAATATGACACCCATTTTTAGAGTATCGTGGCATACATTCGTGCCAGCAACAATTGAATTAAATTACTGGCTTGGCTGTCGAGTTTAACCAACCATTTCTCCCGTCGCCGTCACCTTGCTGTTGTCCCAAGGAGTTTAGCGTCTAAACTAAACCAACGCGAATCTTGTTCCCAGGCGCAGAATGAATTGGGAGTGCACAGATAAGGAACATTATGGTGGGAGAAAAAGGAATAAAACCACGAGCTGACATTAAACTTATGACTTTTACAAAGCTAGTTTGACACGTTGATGATGGATTCATAATACAAATACGACAATGACAATGAAGAGGCGACAAATATGGAATCGACACAAGCCTAACCACTCCTTCGTTCATATTCATTAACTAAATTTTTTTAGCACATGCCGAATTTAACCTTTGTTTAAAATTAACACAATCGGACGGAATAATCAAGAACTGATGAATCACCTGCACCTCGTTTGAGTTCAATAGTTTAATATCAAACTTGGGCAGGTTTGTTTAATCCTCCTCCACGGTCTTAGCCAAATTGAGCCATCGAACAGGCAGGCCAGACAATCGACAATGGGTTGTAAATTACTAATGCTACGTACGAAAATCTGCCTGCACAAATGAATTATTGCAAGGTTGACTAAGGTTGGGGTGAGCTGTTTACATTGTAAATAAAAATAAAGTGATATCAGTGAGCGGATATCTGTTAGCCTTCTTATTTATCAGTTTGGAAGGAGGTTCGATAGGGCTCTAAATGATTTGTTTTACCAATTTTTGTTGGATGACAGGTACTGACGGCTCGATAACGAGAGAGACCTTCTCGCCCTCAGTCAGTGAACAATAATTCATGAATTTAACCACCAACCACCACCCACACGAAGTGCAAAAACCTGCACACAAACAAAACTCTGATGTAAGAGAGAATGTGCTAAAAGTGTCCCACCTGCAATTAGTAACTGTCATAAAGTGCATTAGAGAGGGGTAGGAGGGCTTCCTACTCCATTTCGGCAGCTCAACAAGGCCATTTTACATAGAATATTATTGTCTGCGATAATCTCCTGGCGTGCCATATTCCTCTGGGAAGGAATTACACCCCAATTTGATTCGCACAATGTGAGAAGCTTAACAATTTTAATATACAAATCTTACCAACGTGCCAAACAACAGTAGTGAGTGTGACTCTGATTACAAGATTTTTTTTACCTGTGTAACTTGACTCGAAGCAGAAATTAACAAAGGTAACAAATAGCCATTGGCAAGCAATAACATGGAATTTACAACACTACTACAAAATTTACTACAATGACATTAGTGAACTGAATCACTACTACAAAAGGCAGCAAAAGGCAGTCATAAAACAGGTGAACAAATCAGATTCTCGCCGGTAACACAACTTTTGACAGTGGGATCCTGTTTTTCGCATATCGTTCACATGTAATAAATTTCAGATTTTTTTTTTCAAAATACTACGCATAATAATAATATTATCCCGATAAGCATACGACGACGACCAGTTCAGTAAACCAAAACAAAAATATGAGGTCGCCACAGTCTTAAATCTTCCGAAATTGTAAATTGAGACCACGGGAGACCGCAGCTCATTATATATTAACAATAAGACTGTGTCGTATCTTATTTTACAGCAAATTTCACCTCTGATTTCTCGCGTATAGCCACACGATCACTATTTTATGCTAATTTTTGCCTAAAATGATTTAAACACCCATTTACGACATGGGCACTAAATTAAAATGGAAAAATTGATCCGCCATGTAAAATTAAGGCATATAAATTCATTCTCTTTTTAATTACATGAATTTACGTATGTGGTTGGGTTTTGCTTTCTAAAGAAATTTTATATTTTCTCCACTGCCAGAATTTACCTTCTTCAAATATTAATTTTTTGCATCCATCCACACGCTTGAAAAGGTTTCAGAGTGATTTTTACATATTTCTCTGATGGCAGAACGAAACAGCTTCAAAGTAACAAATAGGAGGTAAAAGAGATATCTGAAGCAAGAGCGAGGCGCCTTTTTTTACGGAGATGACAACGACGATGACGACGACGACGATTAAAATCAAACCTTTTGTCTTACGTCTCCTCAAAAAAAATATAATTAAGACCAAGCTCGCGAAGGTGTCCAACCCAGAGCTCATTTGAAGTTGAAAATCTCATCTTGCAAAAGCTTCACCCTGATTTGTTTCTATCATGATGATGACAGAAAAATCTCACCAATCTCATTTACCATTCTCTCCATCTTTTTGGGATTAGGCATAGTTTCTAAACCAAATTGAGATGATGGTGTGTAGCATAATTTCCTCCCTTCTTCTTAATTTCTAAGAACCCATTGGCTTTCATCCCCACATAACTGAGGAGCAACAATGGATTGAATTTTGTGCGAATTCATTATGGAATTACCTACATTATTGTCCTCCTCAGAGTAGAGCTTTAATCACACTAAAAATTCCATGCTTGGCTTGTCCCAGTGTGTTGCTTGGTATTCTTGTGGATAAGAAAGAATTCAGCCGTGCAGAATCTATGATTTGACAAGTAAAAGGGATTAGTATTTGAATCTTGGAGATAATAATGATGACGGCGACGATAATAAAGATGCCGATGAGGAGGAGGACTAGGTAATGATGTGGGTTTGAGAATTATAATGTTTCAAAATGATAAACGATCACTGAGTCCGTCCCATTAGCACTACTGAGCTCATTATGCGCTATGAAATAGTAGGATATGTCCTTCCTCCATCTGAGGAGATGACCATTTACAGATTTATATTTATCTAAAAGACTTTGATACCGTTGTCTGCACACAGAATCGCTATACATCCATTTAATTGTATATAGTTTGGCATTTATTGTGTATTTATGTGTAGTACGTTTTTTTGGGCATGTAGTTATCTCGTGTGACCAATACAATTATAATAATTTGTATTTAGTCTTGTAATCTTGTTCACGTACGAGTTATTTATTTATTTCACGGTTTCGCTCGATTTTGCATACACGCAGGTTTGTAAATATGTACCAAATTGGACCTATCACCAAAATTGTGCGAGTGTAAGTGAAAATCTCCGCCGGGCATTTGCTTATTTGTATGAAACGCATATGAGAATCAAACCACCGTGAACAATTTGCATTGACAGATTCGCCTACAAATTTCAAATGTGTGAACTTTCTCATTTCATATTATCAACAAATTACTAGACATTTGTATTATAATTAAATAATGGTAAAGTTGAGTGGATAATTACAATGCGCTGTCAAGCTAAATAAGTATATGCATGTATGATTCACCGTGTTTATTAATTATACTCGAGCAGATTATAGAGGTTGCTTCTCAATGAAGAATAAATCATGTAAGAATTTTGTACAGTTTAGGTATTCTACGCAGGATTCAGGGATGACCAGGATCGAAATAAGGTATCTAGTAAGCCAACAATTTTGGCAATAAATTTGCAAAATTTGGGTGAGGAAGTCTACACAATGGAGGCTCAGATGTACAGAATATATGAACAGATAAATCTTGAAATATACAATTGGCACAAAACACTTTGTAAAATATTACAATTCAACGGCAAGTGCGAATTGTGTATCTTGAATGATAATGGGTCCTAATTAGTGCCACAGGTATAGAAAAGTTGTTAAAATTCCGACAGCAGCAGCAAAAGAAACATAATTCTTAGAATATGGGCGTATCTTGCTCCTTGTAAAATAAACAGTACAGTAATAAAATATACATACAATTGACAACTCCAAGTTTAGTTTTATCAGGATTTGCATATTCAACACTTCCGGAAAATACTCAAATTGTTGCCATTTCATTATCTTTTCTAAAAATCTGTCAGATTTAATTAAAAACATGGCCATTGATAAGGCATGGAACTCGTATTATGAATGACCCACTTGCAGTAATCCAATCCACCCATGCCAAAAAAGATTCATCTCATCATAAAACTGAATTTAAGCACCTCGCTAAACTAAACAACAATGTGAAAATCAAGTAATTCACTCAACTATGAAATCTTGCAACGCTTACATATTATGCAGCTGCGACTGAACTAACCCCAAATTGAAATTCAGCAACAATGCATGTTTACAATGCAGACATTAAGCGCAACTCATACCTAATCCCACCAAGAATTGACGTTTATTCATGTTTTTTTCCATTCGGTGCTTGCACTTGCACAGCATTATTATTCACAACAAATAAAAACGCCAACATACTGCAAATACATAAATTTCGTACGTATTTTACAACTAACAACTAATACTGGGTCATCAACAGTTGGTTGTTGCATTTAAAATGTAAATTATATCTCTATCTTTGTTCCACAGAGAACAACAACTTGCACATTTTACGGTTAAGTTCCCTTTGTTCTTACAGCAGGTTTAATTGAACAGACCCAATTTGGATTTATTTATAATGTAATAACGTGTATGTATAAGTATTTATTTATAATGAAGCATGATTCTGGGCGTGTGCGAGAAGTTGTATGACTCGCACTTATCGTTTGTTCGTCGTCGGCGTCAGTTGTGGTTTGAAATTTTTATTTACGTCGGCTGATTAAATTGCAACATGTTTGAAGGAGGAAGGGAGAAAAATGAATAAGTACGCGTCACTAAACTCTCGTAATTAAAAATGCATCTAGATCTATAACACAAGAACGCTTACAATAAAGAGTTCAACAAATAAGTTCAAGCAAAATGCAGTGGCATGACGGACGGGAGTACATTGTGAGGAACAGTATGGTGTAAGGCTTATTTGGGGTATTAAACTTAATTTCAAGGAACTAATTAATCGTTACGACTTCCTTAACCTATTTTAACTCGATTGAGTGTTCATTACATTTGTTTTGCATTTGTAAAATCCAACTCAGCCATGAATTCCAATTTTTCTCTAGTTCAGACTAATACAGGGTTTGGCACGTACGTCGATACGAATTTGACCTTGAATAACCCGGAACGGTTTGTCGTATTGGGTCAAAATTTTGAACAGACGAGCATGGTATCCTCAGATAGTTGTGTGCAAAATTCCAACTCTCTACTTTCAAAAATGCCTCCCCCACAGCCCTTAGAAGTTAAGACAGCAATTTCAACTTTTTCCAACAAAAATCTTACCCGTGTTTACAAAAAAAATTATTTAAATTTTCTGTTGAGGAATGAGAGTGAGTTTTTAGCGACATTTGACCAAGGACTATTTTCTCTACAAGTTACTAATTGGGTTCGAAGAGCTTACTACACGACAAATGCCGAAAACAAATTCAAGAAATTTGGTGCTTTTCAGTGAGGAGAACTTTTTTGAACAGTTTATGGTTGTTGGTGCAATGTCGGGTCGTGGTGTCCTCCCACTTATCAAAGTCCCCCGAAAAATAAAGGAACCTGCAAAGTATTATGTGGACCGTGTATTTAAACCGCTTTTAGTACAAAGTTTTCCTAAATTGTGCGGTAAAATAATAAATATGGTGATTTTTCATGATCACGCAACGTCTTCCCAGACGGCAAAGTTCACCCAAGATAATGCAAACCACCTTGAAGCTAGATTGGGGATAAAAATCATTTCGAATAGTGAAATACCTGTATAGTCCGCCGATGTAAGTCAAACAGCCTTATTTGGGTTCGGATACTTGAAAATAAAATTTTTCTGTGGAGATAAAATTTTTTAGACCGAGTTTGAAAAGAATAAAAATGAGTGTTTAAAGTTCTGGGGGCTGTGGAGGAGGCATTTTTGAAAGTAGAGAGTTGAAATTTTGCACACAACTATCTGAGGATACCAAGCTCGTCTGTCCAAAATTTTGACACGCTGCGACAAACCGTTCCGGGGTTATTCAAGGTCAAATTCGTATCCACGTAAGTGCCAAACCCTTCTGTAATTAGCAACATCCGCCCGTGGTCTGAATACATTGTTGATACTGATAAGAAGTAGAATATAATACGAATAAATTTAGGGCATCGCTTTGAGATGTGAGCAGTAAATGGACTAAGCTGAGATTTTTTTGATAAGATAAAGTGATTTATAATGAAATAGACAATTTCCAATTTATTCTATTTCAATTTGAAATGGGGATGAGTGTTTGTGTGTGATGATTCAAATTTAATGAAGCGTATGCATAAGTGTGTAATCCTGTTTGATACGATGTGTGTACATGGACATGTGTACATATGTACATAAAATAACGTATTAAAATGTATGCCACTGGTGCAGTTCAAGTGATACCAAAAAAATCAAAACCATAGTAAAATTAATTGTCAGTTGAACATGTGTATGTACAAAAGGCCTTCAACTATAAATTAATTTTAATTACTACTCTAAAAGACAAAAAATACGGACAAAAGGTGCAAATTAAAAACCCTTGATCAGTTTTATTTAATCATTCCATTCCAATAATTTATGCACACGAGCAGCGCTAATAAACTATGCATTGTGAAGTTTGGTAGTGATTTGTTATGTTATACAACAGATAATAATATGAAATTCACAGACAAGACCAGTGGGCAGTCTAGATTTCAATTCTATACAACAGAAATTTTTTGCACATTTTTATGAATCTGAGATGAAATGAATCCTACCAAATATTTTACACAATTTTGTACAAACTTGCATCCTGCACATTCTGCCACTACTTTTCTGCATCTAATGCATAATCTCGATTTTATGCGAAATGAAATAATACCTCCTTCTGGGAACGTGCGATTTGTTACAAAAGCGCAACGCAAATTATTTATGTACAAGCAGAACTTGGGCATTACTCATCCCAACAAAGAAACAGCGTAATTTTTGACGTTATTAAGCAGCACACCGCTTGCACAAGTCAAATTACTCTAGGCACGATTTGTACTTATCGTTATAATAACGTAATAAGGCAACATAATGTAATAGTAATAATAATAATAATGATTGAACCCCAGAAGACGCCGGACTTGGTCGTTTTGCTCAAGAAAACGCTACATGACTATTAATAGACAAAGAAAGAAGGCTTAATGTTATTGATGAACTGTCAATTTCAAACCCTCCAAGCTTTTACTGCTTACAGTACATCGTGCATACAAAGAATTTTGTAATCCGCAATCCGCATGCATATGAAAACGTGCGCTTAATACAACATAAACTTGATTCGACAGACAGGCAGCTGTTGGGTCAATAATGCTGCGTGAATTTCAATTTATTATAATATTTCCTAAACGAGATGATGACGATGAGACTACGAATTTAAAATTGATCTGATACAATGCAAGCGATCAGATAAGATGGATTTAGCTTTTTTGAAACGATGAAGGGATGGACAGAGATGGATGGACGATAGCGAGCGAAATATGTAGCTCTTATACACTCATGCATGCATATTACTTATGTATGAGCATTGACGGACATACATATTATGAACTCTCGTGTAATTCGCAACAATCACGTAACAATGAGTCAAATTGCTTCCCATTGTATTATTTGTGTAATACGAATCCATGCAACATGAGGCTTTGTTAAGAGACGGACTGATATGCGTAGAGGAATTGGTACTTATTCATCCACGGAGTAAAATCAGCCCAATATTTGGAACGACCTGTATCAAAGTGCCAGTAGTGATTTGAATTACGTCAAATAATGTGTACCTACTACACGAATTTTAATGGTGTATTTGCATGTATCACAATCTTTTTATAAAGTATTTGCCAACCAGGCGGCTTAGCTACATTTTACTTCGCGAATCTAAAACACTTTGCGCTTTGCACAAATTTATATTCAACCTAAACTTGAAACTGCACTTATTCAACTTTATGTTATCTCATCGGTAAACTTTGTCTTGGTAAAATGCATTTAGCTGTATCATCTTCTTTGATTAGAGAATAATAATGTGGATGGAATCAATTGGTTGGTGAATGAATTAAGTAACTCGATTTCAATTGCTCTCTCTGATCTCTCCCCGTCTCAACAATGCGGTTGACGTTCTTCTTTAACAATGGAAACACACCACACCACCAAAGCCAAGATGAAGTCTATAATTCCAAGTGATCCATTAAACGAGCCATCTTTAACCCATCCACTCACCCATCAATTACAGTTTCAATTCTTTTCAGTACCATTTAGTGGGATTTGATCACACTGATCAAAGCAGTCAGTAGAGCATGCTATTATTTTATTTGCGGTATATTATCCACAACGCAGGAGAAGATGAGCGATGAGATAACAATGTTTACTAGAACCAAGGCGTATTTAAATTTTGTGGAGGAGCTCCTGCTACATATTCTTGGGTGCACATTTTAACATTTAAGTCAAACGACGAGCCAAACAAAATGTTCCAACAAGTTAAGAAGTTACACTATTTTTGTTACTTGGAAGAATTACCTGCAGAAAAAAAGATAGAACACGTAGTCAATGACCGAGTCATCATCCAACCGTGATTCCCTTTTCTTAAAATCTGAAAATCTCCACAATTTACTTTACATCGACCAGCCAGGCTTGAGGCTTGACTCGTCTCGAGTTAAAAATTGCAAACGTATCCAACAGTATATTTTCTTTGCAGTTAGCTCAAGTCAGAACTTGGGATTTGAATCACTATTATGTAACAATATTCAGGAAATATGCAAATAAGAAGCACGCGAGGAGATAGATATACATGCATATGTGGCTAACAGGAGGTAGTTAATTGCACAAAAGTAGCAGACTTTTCAGGCAGGAGGGATGACAAATTGTATTGCTTGTAATGTAATCTGCTCGTCTTGTTTAGCATGAAATGATGGACATCACGTCGTCCTCTGCTGTGAATAATGTGCTCACAAAGTCTGCCAAATTACCGCAAAAAAAGATTCAGTGGTCGAATGAGGAACATAACATCATAAGTAGTTAGTTTTTACTGGTTGTCTATAATTCTAAACCTTATCTTGCCTGCTACCATTAATGGTCACGGAGAGTGAGACTCTCAATACAGTGACATAAGCCGGCACGAGATGTTTATGCCCTCTTGGGAGGAGAACAACCCTTTCCGTTTTCAATTTAAATTAATGATTTCCATGTTTTGTAACAACTCTTCAACTTAAACTATCACGATATGAAAGAAAGTCTCGCAATTTCGTGCAATGAGTTAAAATGGGCTAAAGCACGACACGAGGATATCATTAGCCAAGCCACAGAAAGAAGGCATTTGCGGAAAAACGCCACACCTTTTGGCGATGCTCGCCATGTCGAAAACGTCGAAAAGTGTGAATGTGACGTGACCAACGACGACGTCTTCAGTTTTTCGTTATTATTGAAAGCTGTTGAAACTGAATGTGTAAAGGAATCGTGAGGATACGTAAACTGGCTGAAGTGGACAATAAGAGAGATTTTTAGACACTGGAATCTCACGGCGTGATTTAAAATATTTGTATTACAAATAGCAGCACTTTTCTTGACATTTCTCTTCACAAGATCCGACAGAATTATTGTGGTCAACCGTCAAAAGTGCTTAGCTTACACAAGTTTTATTAAAATAATTTGAGTTTTCAGGCCAAAAATATTAAAGGAATATTTTTTTTGTGTAAATTCTGCATTAAGTAACTGCATTGAACTTTTGAAGAGTCTTAACGTCAAAAGCTTTCCGCTCATCAAACCCAAAAAAACCCAATACATAATTGTTCTTGATGATCTTGACTGTAGATCTTAATTGTATAAATAGCAAATAACAGTATCACCTTGTACATTATTCTCCTGAGGATCATAATGACTCTTAAACTGATTGTTTGCAATGCAATTCACTAATTCACAATGATATCTGGCAAGAATTCTTGCCACATTTGATTCAATTATAAAGTGAAAATATTTGGAAGGAAATGTTTTAAAAAGTTTAAGATTAAAGGATGAAATGGATCTCTTTTATTTTATTAAAGTCTGGTTTTGACATTACTGCACAAAAGTGTGGTGTCTGTGTTGAATGAAATTGAATGGTGAAAAAGATATCAATAGGCACAGAGAAATTGACGACTTTGAGTGTCATAACGTGATAATGCTCAATTTTATATCTAAACAATTGTCAGAATTGGACGGTTTAAAGTAACAATTCACCTACGCGTTTCAAATGCGAAGGATTTTATGTAATATCAAAATTTCTCTTGTGGAGATTGCTAAATAATAATTTTACTGATTGCAAACATGATGAAAGGATAAAATAAATAAAAATCTAATAACTGTCTTCCCGACGATTTCAAGAAAAGTGAGATATTCCCTTGAAACGTGTATGTTTATGATGCTACAATGTCTTCCAAATGCCCTGCTTTATTGATGCATGTTAATTTTGCAAATTACATTAACAATTCAACCATACGATACATTACACACCATGATTCATGAAATCACCAAAGAAGATCAGCAGAATACTTTCGCACCAGGTGTAGAAAGAAATTATTTCCTGTTTCGTTAAATTACACGTTTTTTGATATTAGGTTTAGACATGGAGCAAGTATAGAAAAAGGGACAGATTGTATCTGAAAGAAAGAAATACGCTCAAACAAAGCTGTCTGAATTCTGAAAGTCAAAACCTTCGGGAAACCTTTTGAGTATTTGAAAGAAACTTAAATGCGTTGTACCTTGAAAGTTATCAAAAGTCAGAATGCTACAATTTTTGCTATGTCACGTCCTTCCATGTCTTTTTACAGAGAAATATACAAATGTGCGAAACAGGTTGAATTAAGCCTTTACACCTGGTTCTATGTACTTACTTATATGAAATAAAAGCAGTTTTATATTACGTTATAATGTACATTTTCCGCCATTAAATATAAGTATTAAAGGCGATTAAAGTTGCCCTAAATTAACTTGGATATTTGTCAAAGTTTTCATAATAGCACGTTAGGATTATTCCATAATTGACAAGATTATACCTCGTGTCAAGTCTAACTCGATATATTTGCATCGAGTCGCATGATGATGACAATAAATCGCCGACTATTCAAGTTTGATATTTTAATCAGGTGTGTACGCGAATCCCTATAATTTAAATTTTCATGAGCAAGCATGTTGACTTTAATGTCGATTTTTTAAGTTTCAACTTGTTCCTTTTCTTACAATAATAACATAATGCATACTTAATCCCCCCATAAAAAGCTGTAGGCCATGCAAAACCAAACATCTTCTTCTTCACTGATTGCCATCATAAAGTCCAACATAAGCGTTTACATGGCCTGGTTTCTTTTCAAATTCTGAGACATTCTCAGGAAACGGCGAACCCAATCCTTATTATAACGACATGATCAATTCTGATTGATAAGAAGACCACAGGAAATTCAGGGCTAACCAAAATATGATTGATGAAGAAATGTAAACAAAAATCTTACCCAAAAAACGGTCCAAACCGGGCACAATAAATTTCTGAATTTATGTAAGAAACCACACCACTTTTTAAATTGTAAAAATAAATATCTTGTTACAGTTCCAATGTTATGAAATTCTGAAAATTCTACATTTCTTTTCCAAAAACTATGTACGTAAGTAAAACTTGGGAACAAAACGGTCTGCAGAAGCGTTCCTCACAAGAAGGAAAAGCAGACTGCATGCTTTATTGTCTCAAACTTCATCTCATCCTACCTCGCTCACTTCACTCCTCAGGCAAATGTCTGTTACAGGTAAGCAGGCTTAATAAAAAGAGTTCGCAACATGAGAATTCACACAGGTAAAAGAATCCAATCCACCACCACCTCCCACAATCTACCACCACGAACAAGTGTGCATGCATTTCCTACCCTGGGATTTTCATTAGACGTCCATATTCACGTTACCTGCTTTTTGTAACTATCATCAAAACTAACTATCCCAACAAAATCCAATCCAAGCTGCTTCTAAAACGTGTAACAACAATGCATGGAGATTGTAAAGAATAGAAGTTGTGGGAGGAAATGAGGAAGCTTGGTTCGGGTGAACATCGCCAAAAAAGCATCAACACATACACATCATTATGCGCACCTGTTCTATCATCGCATTATTACTTACACGTTTTATTTGAAGGGAGAGAGATGCAATAATGTGACGGCGCGTCAGGTCATCCAAATATGTATGCGATCTGATAAAATTAAAAAAAGACTGGTGAAAAAAACTAACCGAATCTATCTAAACCAGCGGAAAAACAGGCACAATTAAATTAATGCGTAATAAAACAGGCTAAAAAATATACTTACAATAATACAAACAGATTATTCTGAAAACAAAACACTATTAACAATGGGTACTAAATATAAACTATTTTTTGGACAAACAAATACAGACTGACATACAAACTCAAATCCTCATACGCATTTTACTATCGACTTGGAAGCATCACATATTTAGTTAAAATTTTTTAATTGAAACAGTAATTTTCTAAAAGAACAGTAGGAATCACGTTTGACGAATTGTAATAAATATTTGGAATATTTATATTGCATACAATTATTTTGTAAAATTTCAAAATTTTATGAAAAATTTGGAAGTATTACATTTCCCAACTCATTGAGCAGCCCGGCCTGGGAGCCAAAACCACTGTTTCTCACGTGAACTCGCCACTTTTTCTCTCTATCTACCTACTCCTAGCGTCAGTTTTTGTGCCGGGCAAAATACTACTGCTGAGCTGGAAGCACAATTAAATTTAATTGTAAACACAAACAATTCTTAATTTTTTTTAAACAAGTTTTTCGCTTCATAAAAAATAATTTCCTCGTATTGTAATTGCCAATTGTAAATGTGTTTTCCCCTAGAAACTGGCAAGGACTTTGAATGTTGAATTCTATCAAATACCGATTACAGAATAATAGTTTGTAATACGTTGACAAATTCCAATTTGTGACAAAATGTCAGCATATACACAAGGACCTGGCCTCGTTAATCACAAAGTTAAGGTTGCCGTGAGGCTGAGACCGTTCATTGAGAGGGAAAAGCAAGAAGGAGGTAAGGTCTCATCTAGAATTTTTGGTTAAATAATTAGAATATTTAAGTATGACTTAAATATTGATGTATTTGACTTATATTTTGCTATTATTGTATTTTAAGCTAAAAACAACTGGGTGGTAGAGCCAACTGAAATAATCCATGTGGACCCCGAGACCCAACTTCCAAAGCCGCATAATAACAAACAGTTTGTCTTTGATAACGTGTTTGGACCTGAAGTGACAACGAGAACGGTTTATGATGATATTGTTGCGCCCATTGTGAACGAGGCTTTTAACGGTTTCAACGGTACTGTGCTATGTTATGGTCAAACTTCGTCTGGTAAGTTGTCAAAAATGAAGCAGGTAAAAATATTGTTGGCTGGCTGGTTAATTATTTACTAATTTATGGTAATACAGGGAAAACTCACACTCTATATGGCACCGAAGCAGATCCAGGAATTATATCATTTTTGGCTGATGACATTCAAAAACGAATTGAGAATGTACCAGGAGGAAAAGTTGTGATTAGGTGACACATTCAGTATTTTAATATTAATGAATTATCATGATTATGGATTTTAGTTGTTTAAATTTAATTTATTACAATTCAATTTTCTTTTCAGACTTAATCTTATTGAAATTTACAACGAGAACGTCAAAGATCTCCTATGTTCAGAAAATCCTATCGAGCTTGTCGAAAGAGATGGAACTGTCGTCCCACTCAAAGCTGAACATATTGACATCTTCAGTGGTAGCGATATCATCCAGGCGGCGAAACGACTACAAAGAGAACGAAGACTTGGCGAAACCCGGATGAATTCTCAGAGTTCGCGATCTCATACGATCCTCAGAATGACCATAAACACTTTTGATGAAGATGAATTCAATGCTATGGATAATGCCAATCAAAGCGCAACGAGTCAGGATGAATTTGAAACGACCACACTTCCTGGCAAAAGGATCATTTCAGCAGTTCTCAATTTTGTGGACCTTGCTGGGTCCGAGAAGGCGTCGCAAACCGGGGCTTCTGGGGATAGACTTCGGGAGGCTGGCCATATCAATACGTCATTGTCTGCCTTATCGAAAGTTGTCAGCCAGTTAAGCAAGCAGTATGAAAGTGGTAGCAAGAAAGAGAGCAGTTCTATCGCATCATCAATGTGCAATAGCATCGAACCTCGGGCACCAAGGTCGAGATTTCCTGCTGGAATGTTTGTCAGCTACCGCGACAGTAAACTGACCAGACTTCTTCAGAGCTCTCTGGCTGGAGATGCTTTAATTGCCATTATCACCAATGCTACGCCAGCTTCTTCAGAAGAGACTCTTTCTACATTACGGTGAGTTGTTATGTTATCAACAGGTTATCGTAATTTAATTTAGGTCACTATAGTCTTAATGTATATTTCGTTTATTTGTATAGATTCGCCTTGAGTGCAAAAGAGATTCAAACTAAACCCAAGAGAAATCTCATTACTAACAAATTGGACAAATTGCAGTATGAAAATACAATTAAGGAACTTCAAGCCGAATTATTTGTAAGTGTGTATTTAACGCGTGGCATTAATTGCTGTTGCTTACGACTAATTGATATCTGATTTTAGGGTAAAAATGAAGAGCTCAGGTTATTAAGAATGGCCTTGTCAAAGAAGAATGCTACTAAAAATGAGGAATTTGAACAACCCCCAGAGGTATTCTTTTCTGTAAATTAGGAAGAGGATTTGCACAATGCTTTAACAAATCAATTTTGTAATTTGCCTCCTTGCAGCGTCGAAATACATTCCATTTTCGTACCGGGACAGGAAAAGATTGGAAAAGTTTATCAATGATTGAAGAAAATGAAATTCAACAACGGCACTCCAATGCTCCCATCACTGCTGACGATGCGCTTAGAGAATTTCGTGAACTATCCATGATTTCGTCAGTCTCTGAAGTACCTCCTCCTCCTGCCGAAACCGAGGAACAGACCAACGAACAGACCAACGTAATAATTGAAGACGAGTAAGCTGTTCGAATTTTCTATTCATGCATAGTATCCCTTTATATTGCTTGGCACTGATTTCTAAAATATCCTTATTAGTGTCATCCCGTCTAAAAGACGCAAATTGGATACTGATGATACTTCCACCCCAATTTCTACATTAAGACTTCAACGATCTCTGATGAATATAGCTCACAGTGCAGATATAAAAGACTGGAGTGAAGAAAAAGAATTTCTAGTAGCGGAAATGGAACTTATTAAAACCGAAAACCAACAGCTACGAAATGAGCTTGACGTTTTTAAGAAATCAATCCCTACCGAAAACAAGAATGAGGATATTAGTCTTCCTACCAATAAAGTGGATCCAGAGACTGCAAGTAGCAGCGAAGAAAACGATTCTCTGCAACTCAAAATTTCGGAATTACAAAACGAAGTTAAAACAATGGGGGATCGCCTTAATGAGAAGGAAGCAGAACTGAAGTTACGAGAAGAAGACGTATCCTGTCTACGGAAACAGCATAGTGAAATTATTTTAGAAAAATCTGCCGGTGAAAGTGAAATCCTTTCTCTTCATAGCTGTAAATTAAACCTGGAGAAGCAATTGCATCAATTGCAATCGGATTATGAAATTAAATCCAGGGAATACGAAAATCTTAAAGGACAGAATGAAACAGACGAATTCCAACAGCTAAAGGTTCAAATCGACAGTAAGAATCAGCTTATTTCCGAATTGCAACAAGACAATGAGGCTTTTAGAAATAAGCTTACAAAGAAAGAAGAGGAAGAAGAGCAGCTTAGAAAGGATATGGATACCGTAAATTGTCAATCGAGCAAACGTATATCTGCTTTAAGAAATGAAATTACCGACCATGAACAATCAATGGCCTCTCTTCGCAGCACCAAAGAAAACCTTGAACAACAACTTTTGCAAGCACAAACCCAATTAGAACAACAGTCCAGGGAAATGGAAACATTAAAGTTAAAGTCTGAGGTCACATCTGTCAACAATAATAGTGAAGAAGAAATCAATTTTCTCAAAATTTCAAATTCCACATTAAAAGATGAAGTTAATCGAATTACAAATCAACTTTGTGAGAAGGAAGCTGAACTAAACGCCCAGAGTGAAAATATTTCCTCTCTTCAACATTCTCTCCAAGAAATTGATTCTCTGCAATCTAAAATTTCAGAACTGCAAAATGAAGTAATGACAATGACGGATCAGCTTTGCGAGAAGGAAGCAGAATTAAAGTTACGAGAGGAAGATGTATCAACCCTTCGGAAACAGCATAGTGAAATTGTTTTAGAAAAATCTGCCGGTGAGAGTGAATTTGAGTCTCTACAAAATTTCAAAGTAGATCTGGAGCTGCAATTGCATCAAATGAAATTGGATTATGAAATTCAATCCAGTGAATACGAAAATCTCAAGGTGAAGGAACAGAATCACTTAGACGAATACCAACAGCTATTGACTCAAATCGACAGTAAAACTGAACTTATTTCTGAATTGCAACAAGATAATGAAACTTTTAGAAACAAACTTACTGAGAAAGAAGAGGAGGAAGAGCAGCTTAGAAAGGATATGGATACTGCTAATTGCCAAATGAGAGAAGGTCTGACTGCTTTAAGAAGCGAAATTACTGACCATGAAAAATCAATTGTTTCTCTTCGCGACACGAGAGACAGACTTGAACGTCAACTTGTGGAAGCACAAACCCAAGTTGAAGCCAAAACCCAGGAGATTGAAACATTAAAATCAGACTTACAGCTAGTGTTATCTGAGGCCACATCAGGTGACAATAACAGTGAAGAAATCGAATCTTTAAAAATTTCTAATTCTGAATTACGTGATGACATTGATCGAATTACGAAGCAACTTTATGAGAAGGAAACCGCGCTGAGATTACAAGAAGAGGACTTATCAAGCCTCCGGAAACAACATAGTGAAATTGTTTTACAAAAATCTGCCGATGAAAGTGAAATTGAGTCTTTACAATTCTGCAAAGTAAATCTAGAGAAGCAGTTGTACCAAGTGCAATCGGATTATGAAACTCAATCCAGTGAATACGAAACCCTCAAGGTGAAAGAACAGAGTCAATTAAATGAATATCAACAGCTATTAACTCAAATCGACTCCAAGAACCAACTCATTTCCGAATTGCAACAAGATAATGAGACTTTTAAAACTAAACTTATTGACGAAGAACAACTCAAAAAGGATATAGATACCGCAAGTTGCCAAATGAGGGAAGATTTGACTGCTTTAAGAAATGAAATTACTGACAATGAACAATCAATCACTTCTCTTCAAAACAGTAACGAAAAACTTGAACAGCAACTGGCAGAATCGCAAACCCAATTTGAAAGTCAATCACAGGAAATTGAGACACTAAAAGTAGAATTGCAACGAGCGTTGTCCGACGCCAGATCAGTCGACAATAACAGCCAAGAAGAAATTAAATCTTTAAGAATTTCAAATTCCGAATTAAGTGATGAAATTAATCGAATTACGAAGCAACTTAATGAGAAAGAAGTCGAAATAAAAGCACAGAGTGAAAATGTATCTTCTCTTCAGCATTCTCTCACGGAAATTAATTCTCTGCAATCTAAGATTTCCGAACTGCAAGCTGCAGTTAAGACAACGACGGATCGTCTTTATGAGAAGGAAGAAGAACTAAAGTTGCGAGAAAATGACGTATCCTCTCTCCGGAAGCAACATAGCGAAATTGTTTTAGAAAAATCTGCCAGCGAAAGTGCACTCCAGTCTCTACAAAGCTGCAAATCCAATCTTGAAAAGCAGTTGCACCAAATGCAATCGGATTATGAAATTCAATCCAGTGAATATGCAAATCTGAAGGAACAGCTTCAACAAGAAGTGCAATCGCAGGATGCAGAACTCAAAGTGCTTCGAGCGAAAGTGAATTCAAGTGAGCAAACTGTTAATATTAAATATTCCGAAAAGCTTAAGCAGGACCTCAAAGCAAGTTGGAAAGACAATAAAGATCTTGAGGATAAAATCTCCGAGCTGAGGCAGTTGCTACAGGGGAAAGAAGAAGAGCTTTCACAACAAATTCGCAAAGTGCAGGACTTAAATCTCGATGATATGAAACCACGCGCAGAGTTTGATAGAATTAGTAAGGAAATGGAATCTCGTAAAATGGAGTTGGAAACAATGACAAAAGCTAAAGTTGAGGTTTGTACCTATGTTATGTGTTTTTAATGTGGTTTGTCCCTAATCTGAATAATTTGTTTTATGTAGATTGAAGACCAATTGGCTTTGTCGAAAACTAAAATCCATGGGTTGGAGCAACAATTGGAGAAGGTCGCCAATAAGCGGAAGCCTGCCATAACCAGTAGAGGCATTCAAACACCTGATGATTGGGATCCATCAGGTTAGTTGCTAATATTTCTGAAGTTCAAATTTGACCATGTCAACTTCTGCTTTAATTTTAAATTGACTTTTGTTTATAGTGAAAGTGAAAGAACTGGCTCAACTGAAAATGACAATTAAAGTGATTAATCGAGAGTTGGAACAATCCAAAAAACAGCTTGCTTCTGCTGAATCAGAAAAGAAATCTGCACTGGTAAAATTGGAAAAAACGATTGGTGAAAAAGAGGCGAGAGTAAGTAGTTAATCTGTAAAGTCGTATATATCTATGACTTTTTATTGGTTTACAATTTCTAACCGTTATGCTTTCGCGTTTAGATTAACTCTCTAGAGGATCACATTAAGGGAATCATAAAAGATAAAGACGCTGCCAAACTTAGACAGGTACAGCTATTTGTATCCAAACTAATTTACGACTACACATATATATTATTGACTAATATTATTAACATGTTTTTCAGATGGATCAAGGAATTCAGTGCGAGTACATTACTGAACTAGTTGAACGGTCTCGCAAAGGGGAAAATGTCAAATTGCCACCAGAGTTCCCTAATGTTGCAAAATTGAATACAGAAGTTAAAAACTTGAAGAATAGGGTGTTTAACTTGGAAAGTTTGCTAACCTGGTGCAAGTGTGAAGCTAATGCTGAAAAAAAGAAGCGGCTTCTGTCCCAAAAAGGTGACATGTCAGGATCGATTCCGGGCAAGTCCCCCGCGACCACGTCAAAAGCAATTCAGAACAAGCCAGTTGAAAACACCCCGTTGTTTGCTCCTCCTCGCTCAGTTTATACCCGAGGTTCTGCAAAGGTAGTGGGAGTACCAAACTTACCACCTACTAAAGTAATGATGGTGGAAGATACAATTCCCGTAATAAGACGGTCGTCACGAATTTCCAAGACAGAACCAAACTTCACCTCGCCCACTGAGTCCCCAGTTTCACCCACTCGTCCTGTTTCTGTACTCACTCCACTTGTTTCTTCTTGTTCACCCCCCGCCCCCAAGAAGAAGCGTTCTTCCGATGATCAACAAATAAGTCCGCCAACTGTCGTGACCCGCAGCCAAGCTAATAAGTTAACTCCACCACCAATCCCGTCTTCCTCGTCCCCCAAGGCTCAAGGAAATAAAATAAAACCAAAACCAGCAATGCCATCATCCATAACTACCAGATCATTGCGTTCAGCTCCAAAGTCAAGCATCATCGTTAAAGGGGACGAAGAATTTCAACAAAGGTCGGCAGATTTTATGCAATGGTTACAGGATAACAGCCAATAATATCGTTTCAGCTCGGCTCAGACAGGATTGATTTATTTATTTTGTAATATATTTGCAGTCAGACAGTTATCAAATTGTCTATATCTATGTATAGGAAATTATTTTCTCAAGCTTTATATTATTAATGGACCATATATCAACTTAATTGTGTTTACTTTTAATTTGAGTCTTACGCGCTTTAAAATGTAATTTTATTGACATAATTAAAAGGGGTATTGAATTTTGAAATATTGAACACAACATTTTGTGAAATAAATTTGATGTTTACTTTTAATTTGAGTCTTACGCGCTTTAAAATGTAATTTTATTGACATAATTAAAAGGGGTATTGAATTTTGAAATATTGAACACAACATTTTGTGAAATAAATTTGATGTTTACTTTTAATTTGAGTCTTACGCGCTTTAAAATGTAATTTTATTGACATAATTAAAAGGGGTATTGAATTTTGAAATATTGAACACAACATTTTGTGAAATAAATTTGATCAAATATGAAAAAGGAAAAACTTTGGTTCCACATTATACAATTTCTCGGTTACTTTTCCTCTACATATAAAGCTTACTCCAAGTCATAAATACATTCAGGAAGCTTACTTCCCCTTTGTTTGTTGGTAAACTTGGATACATACTCGCTCCGAATTTCCATACCGAATAATCACGACCCGGGTATTTATTGATTTTCTCACACTCCGCTCATTTAATTCAAAAACCAGAAGGGACCAGCGGAACTACCACTCTAAAATATATCATTACTAACTAACTAATCACGTATTTACAAAAAAGTAATATACATATTTCTTATAACTCATTTATCCTCATTTTCCGTCCATCGTCATCATGAATTACGAGTCCAACAAGCCTTCAAAAGCCGACGAAGCTGAAGTTGTCACTCGTACGTTTAACATTCATCGCTTTGATCCTCATCCGAGACGGAAAATTCTCATTATTCACGGCGAAGTGCTAATCACCATTTCAAATCCGCTCTGTCCCGTCGTCCTGGCCGAGGAAAGCAGAGAATTCAAGAAACTCATCAGTCTGGAAAACCTCTTCCCCACAACACCCAGAGAACAAGTCATTGATTCCGTGCTACGAGAATGTCCCTTCATCAATCCCGATATGCGACTGCATCTCGCAGTGACCATCGATTTTTTAAAGAATCGACAATACGACGACAACGGGATGGTTATTACGCCATCGACATCGCTAACTGAACGAGAAAAATATTCAAGTGGTAATAACGCAAAAGTAAACCAATCCACGGCCAGCACACCAACCGGCGACTTTCCAGACTTTGAGGTGGACACCATCTCAGCCTCGCAACAAGGCACATTCTCCACCTCTGCAAACACTGAGGCTGAACTCAACGAAAAAGTGGACATGACCAGATTGGACACGTATGTCGAACTTTTGTATGAAGATGACTTATCCGAGAAAGCCAGAGGAGCAAGATGTATTGCAAAACTTGCCAAAATCTCGGAAAACTTGGCCGTCATTGCATATCATGAAACCGCTCTGAATGCATTATTCCGCACACTACGAGAAGAATATCGCAAATCGCTGGATCTGACGACCCACATCATGTCAACTTGTCTAAGTTACGCTCAATTTACTGATTTCCATCCAATCCTTCTCACCAATAAGACTTGCTCCATAACCTTTGACCTTATCGAGTTTGAGTTGCAACGGTATGAAAAGTGGAGATTAGAAGTGGCACGGAGACAGGATATTGTCGAGAATAGGTCAGAGTTCCCAGGAAGTGCGGGTTCGTTTCAGAAGGCTAAAGCCGACTTTGAACGGATGAGAGTCAAGTTTGCGGAAGTGACGAGAAAACAAGATCACATTCTTGCCTTGGCGTTCGAAGTCATTTTATATCTCGCAGAAAATCATGGACTACAAGGTGAAATCCTGTCGAGAGGAGTTGTCCCAATGTTGATGGATACTTTAAGTCGAAAAAATATCGACTTGCTCAAGGTGGGCTTGAAATATTTGAAAGACTTGTCATATTACCTGCCATGCAAAGTGCAGATGGGTCAGCTCTACATTACGGAGAAAATTGCGCAATTATTGGATGCCAATATTCCAAATGAAATCATACGTTGTTGTCTCGACCTCCTGTTCAACCTTTCCTTCGACACGAAACTTCGCCATAAGATGGTCATGTTTGGAATCCTACCTAAACTCGCGTTTTACTTGGAGGACACCGTTTTGGAGAATGTGACCCGAAAACTGCTCTACGTTATGTCCATGGACAGAAGAGTGAGACCCAGAATTGCATCCCTTCCTCAAATCTTGCCAGTTTTGATACAAACATTAAATGAAAATAGAGAGGAGCCAGCCAGGAACTCTTTAGATGTGGCTGGAATTCTTATAAATTTAGCCACAAATAAGAAATGTGCCTTGGCCATGTGTGACAAAACCACTGCTGGCAACGGTAACAATAATCTCGTCACTTTTCTCCAACAATCCTTCGAATCTGAGGATGAAATTGTTATGAAAATCGTGAGAAACTTGTCCGCCCATTCAAACACTAAAGAAGCCTTTGCACCATTTATTTGCGACTTGGCGAGAGCAATTCTTGACGCTACGTCGGAGGAATTTGTTCTCGAATGCATTGGAACTCTGGCAAACTTGGACCTACCAAATATCGACTTTTCCAAACTTTTACAAGAATTTCAACTTATTCCCTGGATTCAAGCCATTTTTGACAAGTTCTTGAGTACAAATCTCAACTTGAATCGTACCAAGTCTGCCTCCTCTTCCCGTACTAATGCAAATAATAATAACAGTAATTCTAATACCACTAATCACACCAGCCTGCTGACCTTGGAAGTGGTCATATTAACGGGGACATGCTGCAGTGACTACGAGTGTGCCGACCTTCTCATCCAAGAGGGAATTTTAGACCAATTAATCAAAATTTTAATTACAACGTCCGACCTCGGATTAAAATCCCAAGTTTTGTACGTCTTTTACAAAATGTGTAGTCACTCTGGCACAAAACAGCATATTCAAGAGCGGACACAAATTCCTAAGATTGTACTGGAACTCCTGCAACATGAAAATTTGGAGGTTCAACAACTATGCGAAGGGATCATGAACCAATTCGGAGAAACGGATGAAGCCTGGATGGAAAAACTGAGGGAAAAAAGGTTCCGATTTTTTAACGAGGCATGGATCGAAATGACGGAACGATCCGTAGATGACGACGACCCGTACGGATTTACGTATGGGAATACCCGGGAGAAAATTGTGATTGACATGGGTCCATCTTCCACGTCAGAAACTCTCATGACGGAAGACGACAGTGGAGAAGAGCACAGCGATTTGGAAGTTGACAAGGATGACGAACAACTCCTGCAGGAAAGAGGGGGACGAATCAGAGGGGAGAACAATACTGATAAAGCAGGGTCCAGCATCTTTGATCGGTTTAAAGCTCAGTATGAACGTGAAATGAGGGCGAAAGAGCAGTGGGACCGGAGAGAATTCAGTGATGAGGAGGACGACGAGGAAATTAATAATGGGGAGCTAACACTGGTTAAAAATAGGGCTAAATCAGCGAGAAGAATTAAAAAGTGAGGGAGGAGTATATAAGAAAATTGCCTTTATTTACGTACACACATCGTATATATTTGTAAATATGCATATGTATGTGACCTGACGTTATATAATGCTTTTCTTAAAATAAAGTTGTATCAAACATAAGCACAGATATTTATGATTCAAAATTTATTATTTGACCATAAAATTCATGACCAGATTTTAAATTTCCAATAAATAATTTAAAATTTTGCTGATTGTTTTGCACATTTGCATAATTGGTTTAGACGTAGTAACCCCCATACGCGGCAGGGATGGCATCATAGATCCCAGCAGCACCGTACGCATAACCTCCAGCAGTAGATCCATATCGTCGAATTCCGGTCGAAGTACTGCTTGCCCATGGGGCATGGAAGCTGGGTGCCGTATCGTGACCACCGTGGTGATAACCCCTATCAGCGTAGAGATACTGAGCAGAAGCCACAGCGATAAGGGCGAGAATTGCAACGGCCACCTTAAAAATTTTGCGAAAAATTGTTACAAAATGAAAAAAAAATTGGTTTAGTAAATTATATGTACACTTACGAATCTCAACATTATGACAATTTTTTAGATCAAGACAACAACAAAACTGGACTGACTGAATGACTCTGGAATGTAAACTGATGGGAGTTTTGCCACATTTTGCTTTTATACGTAAAATACTGTGAAGATATCCAAGGGTTTGAGATTAGATTAAGCGATTAACACCTTTGGGATCTTTTTTATCCTGTAAAATTTTATCTCTTATGGCGTGTTGAAATGTATTCGCAGTTCGAGAAATACATGAATTTTAATTAATTTAATAACAAGTGTATGTATACAAAAGCAGCAAAATCCCTTCCGTCCGTCCCTTACCCACAACATAACATCCACGAGGAGACCCAACCCAATGTTGGTTTATTATTGTTGCATTTTTTCAATTCACACGCTTACATGTCCGTCTCAAATGGTAGACTTAAGTAAGAGTCACTTTATTCTTAGGTAAATAAATAAATGTAAGTATTCCATTAAATTCAAGTTCATCTTATTGTTTTGTCTCAGCAGTTTGAAGGCTTCGTCTGAAACCCACGATAACAAGTCGTCCAAGCGTTTCATAACATGCAAAAGTGTACGTACACACAAATGCTTAAAGGAATTTAGTAGCATTCTTCAAGTCAACAGGCCGTGACACCGGCGTGCGAAAATAAATAATGCTTCCATTTTATGAATATATTTATGTAGCTTATTACATAAAAAGTCTGTTTCCTTTTCTCGTACCCTTCATGTTTCTCATTGCATTGATGATGAAGCACAATGGATAATTAATAATTAGACCATTCTCTCATGCACAATGTTCCCATGCAGGTTTTTTATGGGGCTTTTAGCCACCGTGTGTAAATATGAATGGCTTTGTAGTAATAAGTAGTTGACTTGACTTGACTGACACTTCCACCTTCTAAATACATTTTTGTGATAAAAGTGCATTATAATGAGTGCCTTTTTTAGGTAGGGATTCGCTTTTTTATGGCAAATTTGAGTAAAGCCTGCAATTATGTCTCTCTGATTGAGACAGCCTCCTGATTTTGACGTGGTATTGAAAAGTACTTGTACTTTTAGTAGTAATTACGGATCAATTAAGCAAATATTGGCAGAAGATTCAATGCCAAAAGTGCATTTGATGCCCTAATTCTTACAATATTTTATTTCATGGTGTCATCACAATTAATAAATAAAAACAACAATTGTATTCGTACTTCAATGTTTATTATAATGCTGCAAAAATCATAAGCATATACTAACCTATTATAATTATTAGTAGCTAATTAGCCAATTAATTAGTAACCTTCTCACAGTTCCCACGCATACAAATGTATCCTTATGGATGATCTGCAGACAATTTCTGATAAGCAAAGTGTCATTCTCTTAAGTACATGAATAAGTATTAAGGAGTACCAAAAAATTTCAAAAAAATTACATATATCGAAACATCATCTTACGATTAGCATAAAATTCTTCCGAATTAAGAATTTTGTTACAATTTGCAACTTGGCATTTTCCTCTTCTTTCAATCTGCATATTTTTTAACCAGCATGAAATTCTCTGAAATTCTTTGCTTCTCTTTTTCTCTTAAAGAAGAAGAAAAGTCTTTTTTTCCGCCTACGGGATGGCGACTTTGGTGCAGGAGTGAAAGGTGGACGAGAGCCAAAAGTGGAAGAAAATTCTCTCATGTTCCCTACCAGTCTTGTTCCGAGTGGTGGTGGTGCTGGTTAGTCAGCAGCCCCATTGATCTCGACGATCCATCCTGCTCCACTTTCTTCTCTCTCACTCTCCACAAAACTCTCTCTCCCACAGCATCTCGCTCTCTCTCTCTCTCGTCCTGTGCCCTGTCTGGACCAAACTGAGGAAAAGTAAACGATGGCCGTAGCCCGCAGGATAATTCGGATTATGTCGGATGTAAACTTTCTCTCGAGTAGGAATAAGGAAGTGGACGGAGCCTTCATAACTTTTGTTGTCGCAAAATTGTTCTGGTCCAAATTGCGAATTTGTAAAATCATGTCGTGATCCAGATTTGCAGAATTTGCAAGGATTTACTTTTCTGCCGGATTTCCATTAATAGAGCCGCTTATCCGATGTAATGTTTACCAGAGAGAGAAAGCGGATTGTGGTGAAAGTGTGTGCATACATTATTTTCAAAATTTCATACCCATAATCTTAAAGGCATGTATGTAGTAGATCTTTTTCATGTAGGCGAAAAACTCTCCCCAAGCGTGGAACTATGTACTTATTGCACGTTAGTGGAGGAGGAGGAGGAGATAATCTGCATATCAAGCGACAGCCAGTTACACTTAACAATGATCTTGATGTGGTTAGTGGAATCTGGCGTGGAATAGTGATGTGGATGATGCCACATGGAGAAAGTAGAGTAAGGCACAGAAAGTGGATCGATGGACGTGAAAATCGATGTCGGATCTTTTCACCTCCTCCGTATAAATATATACTCACTTACTTCTTAAGGTACCACGAGTCCCTTTGTCCCTGCCGTCTAAGTGCCTACTTATCAAGTTTTAGGTCAAAGGTCATTTCTTCCAAGAGGCGGAACAGAGTAGGGAAAGAGAGAGAGTAAAAACACTCACTTTCCCATGACCGATAACTCTTTGCATTGTCTTTTCCCCCCGATTTACTCGTTTCATTTGAGCATGAGGACAAGTTAGGGAAAGCCAATTGCATACTAACGAGCTGCCTTTTTCACCTAATTCGAATTAAGGGGAGGAAGATTGTGAAAGTAAAAAAAATGTGCCGACAGGAAATTGAAACGGGATAAAAAAAGTAAATTGCTCGATAGTTATCATCTCCACTCTGCTCCTCTTCTTTTTTCACGTTTATCACTGATAGAGTAACTTTCTCTGATAATGTCCAATTATCATTAAAATGGTAAAACCCGCACGAACTTGACTGATTATATGGAGGGACATGACATTGGTAACCCATTTTTTGCCCATAAATAGCGGAAAACAAAGCCCATTATGGACCAACAAGCATGCACGTTGACGGGTGACAAGGCCCAGCTGTGCAGGAGCGTTTTGTGGCTGAGTCGAGTCGTGAAACATGAATGACGCTGACAGCAGGAAGCGAAGGCCTATAAATGGATTGGCCATTAGGGATCTAAGACCCAAAACTGGGTTTCGTACAGTCGTCAAGAAGGAAACTTTACTATTATTGCTGCTCCATGTCAGATAAAATAAAATAAACTTGCACACACATGCATGCCGGTAGGCCAAGGATGATGGAAATTACGATAACACACAGCGTAACCAACAATGCTAATCACCAGTGACATAATAATCTGCATCATAGGTACGAATACATAATAATATCCTTTGTTTCGCGTGATTAAAGCTGTCTGGAGCAATTGCATGTCAAATCCATAGCCCAGATTCCTCTTTGCATGCATGTAAAAGAGACAATGCTGCGATGAACGGATAGATAACGAGTGAAAATTAATATTTATTGTTTCGCTCTTGTTCGTTCGTCTGATTTTATGTGCTACACAATCTGTTAGCCGTACGAACGCACATAATGTTCCTCCAGCTACGGAAGAATGCATAGTGCAGGATTTAGTAAAATGTAAAATAAAAGAAAACAGAGTCGAGCAAGCGAGTGTACTATTGTTCTTTTCGGGAGACAGGAGAACGTCAAGTCTGGAACGGGGCACATCAGTAGCGATTCGCAATGTCAACAAACAAAGGGTTAAAAGAATGTGTCTTTTATGGACTGCATATAAGAATAAAAGGGAAATGGTAAGAATACAAACGACGACATGGGTCTGACTAATTTTACTCGCTAAATATTATGACAAAGCACACATGTTGTACATACTAAAGCATGACGTACATAATTACCCAATTGAGACAATTACCATTTGAAAACAATTTGATCCGTAATAAATTTAGATCCCATTTAGAAACAACATTCACCACCACTTCAACTGCCTATTTAGTGTCTAAATGCTCAACATTACTCCATCCAACCTAGTTTGAGGATGTTATGTTATGTGATTTTATGGCATTCTGGGTCAAACCAACGCTTTCGGGGAGATGCAAAACTTTGACAAGAAATCTGAAAATATTTATACCCACAACTTTCACCCTATAAAAATCAAACCTTGCAAAACGTAAAATTTCTCAATTTCCCCCCTACATTATGAAATCTTCGTAAAAACATGTTTTCTTAAAAAATCCAACTCATTCCGCAACCGGTTATTTTCTCTCGCTTACAACCACGAGTAGGACGGGCAGTTTAACTTAATACTGAAACCGGCTTGAGTTTAAGGGGTAGCGTGGAGATGGAATTTATAGTGAGACATAAGGAGAAAGCAGGCAGAGAGAGAGAGCGAGTAAAAGTGCGAGTAGAGACGAGATGGGACGACGAATCTTTTGTTGTCATGGCAACCCTCCGCCATTTCCTGAATCCGTTCATCCTCCCTCTCCTTTACTTTACTTCATTGGAGATGAGATGTTGTTGGAGAAAATTCTTACTTACGGCGACAACCGCAAGGATACACATTATTATTGCACGCATATCTATCCCTCTGTCTTAGAGATGATGATGTGTGTCGTGGGTATCAAATATTTCCCGATATGACACGTGGTATCTGCATCATTCTTTTCCTCCTTAAAGTTGTCATGTCATATCACATCCATTCCTCTGCCACAAGTGAAAGCAGAGAGAGAAAGCAGATCTTAAACAGTTGGATGAATGGATTATATGGCGAGCACTTGCATTCCATTCCGCTCCTTTGACCTAACCGAAGACGACGACGACGACATAACTCGTCTCCATTCCATGGATCTCCAGTCTCTTCATTAGACGCCGCAATTTTCCCATTTTTATGATTTAATCTAGAATATTGACGGAGGAGAGAAAAAGTTGTCGAATTATCAAGAGGTGGATATACTCTTAAATAGATGGGCAGGCACGATTGACGGTGAAGACGAGCCGACTACTTTCTCCAAGTCTTGATTAGATATACATAGATTTGATCTTGATAGCCTCGAGTGTCAAACAGCAGACAGCGACAAGGTTAGTCTACCCGTGAATGTTTTCCTTCTCGCTTATCAAGTCAAGAATCTATTGGATTTCGGAGGGCCCAATATCTCGTGTCATATTCATCTTATGCCTCTCCTCGCAAAGATTTACGGACCCGATGAAAGTTAAGTATGCCAAGAAAAAGATGAATCTACATGTACACACAGAAATAAAATAGTGCTAGGTTGCCTTTTCTTCATGGCTGTAAACTAAACTGTGTTTCTAGAGAGAGAAAAAAATAGCGTGTAAGGGGCGGACTTTCTCCTTCTTCTTTCTACTATCTTTTTTTAAGCTTGTCTCTCTAAAAAAGTTGGAGCAATCTCACCCAAATATTTTGGACAATACATAACACACAAGGAGAACCATCAATATTTTCTCTTGTCCTGTTTAAACTCGTCTGTCTACGGGCCTTGCCATTCTACTGCCCCGTTTTACTACTGCTTCTAGGTGAGAGAGAGAACGAAACAGAATTTTGTCCTGAATTAGAGAGAAAGCATTCCGTCCTATCTGACTTGGCTGGCTGGCAGGCAGGCAGGCAAACACACACAATGAGCCTTTTCTTCCCTTTTTCTCGCTATATAATCCTTCCTTGGAGAGGAGTCGTCCTCGTCGTCGTCGTAGAATTGAATGCCATATTATTACGGTCTCAATGGGTATAAACAATTGGAGAAGAGAAAACAGTAGTTTATGCAGCTGCAGCAGTGCCGTGTTTATAAGATGGATAATTTTATTAAATTGCAGGATTACATGGTACACTCTGTTTTCTGAAGAAAATGTGAGAGAAAGTGGTCCTTCAATTGGTCGGGTTATGTGTGTGTGTATGTATGTAAAGCCGCCGTTGGAGAAAGCATGGAGGGCTTTTTCCGGGAACTTTTCCAGGATTTCTGGGGAACTTATACGTATACGTAGTTTTTGGGGTATAGTTTTTAGCATGGGATTGGTTTGTAGGTTGGTTGGTAGGTAGTAGGGATCCTCTCTCTCTCTCTCCTCTTTTGGTTCTTGGTGAACTTGGACTGTGGATGAATTCACTGCCTACTTTGGATTTGGATGGGACTATGGACCACTCCGGTTTTTAGGGCTACTCGCCTGTTTGGTTCTTCTGGCTCGGTTAAACTCCCGTCGTACTCAATCCAACTGCTCTGCACTCACCCTCAACTCAGTAGCACCAGCACCAACCGACACCAACTACGGGTGTTCTACTCTTCTTCTTTTTAGAGAGAATAGAATTGTAGATTGGGTTGGATTCGTGTAGAAATTCAGTTTCTACACAAAATATATAAAGACGTGGATGGCGGAGGGATGGGAGTGAAAGGACGAGGGCCGAGTTGGATGGAAAAAACGGGAAAAACTTGTTCATTTAAATAATTAGGGTTGGTCGTGTTGACCAATTACGTACGGAAATAATATAAACATCAATATCCACGGTTGTGAGAGTGTTGTTCGTAATTGGAGTGCTTCGTCAATGGCATGATCTACATATTAAGAAGCTCAAATCCTGGCGTGGTGGTGAAAGTTTGTGAAAGTTAACTGCTCCAATTAAATAAAGAAAACTGTAATCATCATCACGCTGTTCTTCTTCTAAGGGAACAATTTTCATTTATATCAGAAACAAGAGAATGGATCTTCTCATTTCAACGACTTATCAACGAATTTCAAGATAAGTGAAAGTATTGACAAAAAAGACATCCGCGCATTATCACAATTCGGAATCATCCCTAATTTCTAACGAGCAGTTTTTCTTCTCACACATGACCTACACGTTTCTTTAATTGGTTGATTAGCCCAATATAATTTATTTGTAATGGAAAAAAATTAAATAATTACATAATTCCACGCGCAGCAGAACGAGAGGAATAAAAACAACGAGCCTGTAAGGAAAAGTTTCGCTCAAATCAAAGTAATCTAAAATTCACTACGTCAAACTGCAAATAAATGACAAGCGCATGATCCTCAGCACTGATTCTTTGGAATCGCTTCTCAATTTCATCTCGCTGACCGGGCATTACTTTTATCAAGTATTATTATTCTTATTAGCAGTACTAAATTTGCAATTTGTATTGCTGAAGATTGAAACGTGCCAAATTCCAAGCAAGTAAAGAATGGTGCTACATTTGTATACAAATTAGTTTCATGAAATTAAATTAAGCACTCAAAATCACGACGCCTATGCAGTCGACTTAATTAATTAATGTACAATCTCCTCCTAATTCTGCTGAAGTAAATAAGAAAAAATCACGATTTTCCTTTGAATAACAACACCAAGAAGAAGAAGAGGAAACTCCTGCTGGCCCATCTAATCGATCGTGCCCACTCTGATATATCAGTAGCTCAGATCTGATCTTGTTTCTTGCAAAAGAAAGTACAACATAGGAGGACGACAGAATCGAAAAAAACCTAATTCATATTCTGCATAATTACATAATTCAATTTGCTTTCAAGGCTTAGATCAATACGTCATAATAAAATTTATTATACATAAATTTCAATAAAATTATCCCCAAACACCGCGCAACTTAAACTCACTCACTCAGCTTGACACTTGACATAAAAAGAAATACCGAGAAAAATTCGATCATCTGATTAAGTCAGAATGTCAGATTTAACAAATAACGGTTGAAGAAAAAGCTTGCAAAAAAGAGAAAGGATGTCAAGCTTACTCGATGTTGGATTTCTTTGAACACAGTCAAAATCAAGGCTCTCCCTCCAGTGAGTGACAGAAATATGGACTGTTAAATCCAAAAAAGAGAAAGCAACGGCAGAAATCTCTCGGACTTTCTCCCTGTCACAGAGTCCAGTCCAGTCCAGCAGATTCGGCCAGGCCACACACAGCAAAACATTTTTGAGCTGTGGCTGGTGGTTGTTAAGTCAAGAAAAAAATTCAAAGTGTGAGCATTTATTTCGCTTTCTCCTTCCACCACTGCCGACCAGTTCAACCGTGTCCAGCCAGACATCACCTTTACTGAACTAGAAAGCAGAACATGGATCGGTCGGTCCAATAAGTCATTCGGATTTGTCCTCGCCATCTCACCACCACGATTGAATTGGGGACAATGGATGCCATAATTATTTAATCTCATAAGTTAAACCAAGCTCAATTTGAAATCAGTTGGCCAAATTATTAACAAGAAAAAATTACATTAAGTAAAGCAAAGCAACGAAAGTTAAGAATTAAATTTATCTAAATATGATTGTGCAAATGACGACGACGAATCCCGCAATAATAATTAAGAAGAGGATGGAGACGGAGTTGATCAATCAACGGTACCAACACAACGAGTAAATTATTGAAGGGTGAGTAGACAATCGAAATATCTCTCTCTGCTCTAATTTTACATTCTCATTTATGGAAATTTATGGGTGAGTGAGAGTGAATGCTGGCAAAATACGTACTCGACTTGAGTGAAAGTACGTATATAAATACATACTGCGTACCAAGGCAAATATTTATTTCGCAGTTTATTTGTTTGCATGTATGTATGTACATAATTTCAATAATTATCTGGGGCGGGATGTTATGTGGAAATAATGAAAGTCTATAATTTTCGCAAAAGTGCACAAATCCATCATGGGAGAAAAGAGGGAAATAAATGTCATACTTTTGTCACATTAGTTATCTACAATCCAATATCGTAGCCTCGTAACAAAGTGCATGTCATAGTGCAGTACGGATCATGACACATTCCTCAGAGAGGCACCACCACCACCAGGCCAACAAACACAACAATGTGCAGAGTACTCCTCGGCAGCAGTGGAGAGAATCCATTAACAAGTGAAAGTCGGTCCACACAGAGAGGAGAGAGTCAAAACTGGAGAGCTCTCTGACTGGCAGATGAACTTTAGTTAGTTGAATTCCAACTTTCACTCGGCTTTCCAAAGAGAGAGTTTGGTCGTCGGGTTGTTGGTTGGTTGTATGTATGTACATACGTACTACTTGCTGTTTGGGATGGTGGGCTCCTGTGATGGGAGAAGAAGAAGAAGAGTTGGTCGGGTTGGCGGTGGGAGTACATGTTCATAAAATATTTAATTTCAATCTACCTAAACCATAGTTTATGATGCAGGGCTGCTGCACAAGACCAACGAGATCAGTCGTCCTTCGTCCTCTCCGTAAATTCATAGTCAGATGTTGGACGTACATTCATTGTGTGTGCGCGGCACTTAAGCACCCACCTTTTCTTATCCCGGATGGAATCCGCGTTGCATTGCCTTTATTTGGAAAAGTCATACGCTAAGTGATTTTTCGATTGTGCTTTCTCCAACTGCACTTTCTCCTCCGAGTCGGCTGGTTCGTCTTCCATTCTTGTTTTGCATACATATTTACATACGTGGAGGAGAGAATAATGAGGGAGGAACAGACTTTTTTTAGGTGCTTAATGCATGCCAGAGTGATTAAGGGATGTGTACAAGGAGGTATTTTTGTGTTGGAAAATATAGCAAATTATTTGTTATATGAGGGACACAATGAGGCAATTTGTCTACTCGTTTTTCTTAAATTTCTCCTATGACATACTTTGTGAGAATGTGCAAAACCAAAAAATAAGCTCTTTCCTGATCCAAGCACAATTCGCAGGTTTTTCTCTCTTTTCTCATTTTCAAATAAATGTGAAGAACTCTTCACTTTTCAAAGATCTCGTTATTCCTATCACGGCTACTTGAAAATTCAAAAAGGAGCAAAAGAGTAAGCGAGTGAGAGTAAAGTGCTATCGATGGTGAGTACCCAAAATTGCATGAAATTACAGATTCCTCCAATTTCAAGAGTACGTAATCCTCTATTCAACCAAGCAGACAATTAAGCAACTTCTTGAGTATTCCACCAGGATTTGGAAAAATCACGTAGAGCATCAATTTCATGATAAAATCTAGATAGTCATTTTAATCGTTGAAGAATAAGAAGATTCAATACTTTAAAACTTTAGTCTTCGTCACGATGTTATGAATCTTTTTAACCGGAATTTACTTATCTTGGGTGGATGGAAAAACAGCAAATCTGAGCTGCTCAGCTGCTTTCTCCATCAGTTCTTCAAGTCTTGGATACAAGATTTAACTAAAAAAAGGGGAGGAAGAATAATGGATTTATAGGACGTGCCTACCACCATCACCATTACATTATATTACTACATTGCACTATCACTTCATTATTGAGCGAGTAAATGTGGAGGTGGGGCCAACGGTCCGTGCTCGATAAAGCGTATGACTAAAGTATGGAGAAAAGAGAAAGTGAAGGATTAATGATTGTCAGTCTCTCGCTCCCTTTATCTGCGGACTTCACTTCGCTTATTCATATCATTTTCTTCCCAATCCATGCACCGTCCAACACTTTCAATGTGGCCAATTGATTCCCTTTATTGAGGGAAAAAATACGTTTGTCCGATTCCCTAAGAGTAATGAGATTTTGGCCGATTTGAAATCTTACCCATCTCATTTTCACTTCATTACTTTCTCCTCTTCCTGAGGTATGATTTGGCTTAATTGTTGGTAATAAATTAGGGGAGAAAAAAGTAACTCCGCTAAGAATTATTGATTCGGGTGACGAAATATGAACTGCATTTTTATGACGTTACACAATCTGGGAGAGGAAAGCATAAAAACGCCCAGGCCGTTTTAGATATCGGAGAGAATTTAGACATTTATTTATCACAAATCCATTTGCATGCAGGCTGACCGACCCGTGTTATTGTTTATTTATTTCGCTCCGAGAAAAACGAGGGTCACGTTGTCCGTGACGGGAAGTAATCACCAAATAAGGTTTTCTTAGTCACAACAAAGGTTGGCATTTTGTATTATTGTTTTCTTCCGGGCTATTTCCAACAACTTTTATATGCTCAACAACCTTCTGTTTGGTGACGTTGATGTATAAACCGTGAGAAATTGTGCTGTGTTTGTGTATAGCGTGAAAGTCTGCATGAATGTACGGAACTTGTATTAAGTAGATACATATTTTCGTCGTTATTCCAAAATCGTCCCTGCGAACACGAGGCATAGTGAAAGCAACAGCATTAGAAAATTACCTCGTGCCATTATGTATCCCCTAATTTCCAGCCGATTCGGGTGTTTCAGATACCCATCCAACTTTTTACCCAGTCATTCAAAACTGTTGAACCGATAACTGGTTGGAGTACGTAGGAGTGTGAGCTATTAACCACTTGTGCTGACAGGAGATGATATGCAACCTATGAGATGTGATGATTAATGTTCCTACTTTGGCCTCGTTTCCTTTCTCGTCGTCCTTCCTCGCTGACTGAATGAACTTCTCTGGCTGGCTGGCTGGGCGGTCGGGGAGTGAAAGCAGGCCAGATTGGAGGAAAGTCTTAATAGAGCCTGGCATACGACGACCATACCACATTCCAACTTGCTACTTTAGATTTATCGTTGAATTTAATGCGATTCCAGTTCACTACTTTCTCGCACATCCGGAAGATTTAGTGCAATCCGTGAAATTGAACTTGAGCAGTTGCTTATAAGAAGATGGACTCATTTTACTACTACATCTAATTTTATGAGAGTTTCGATTGTCAGAGTCAATTCTATCTCACGCTGGCTTCAACTTGATCATAATTATCGTGTTTTCCACTAAAATATGCTTTCTCCTGAGCAAGTGTGTTATCCTTTTTCGAATCAAAATCAACTTACACCCACCCACGCATGCACAACTGGGAAAATGCATGTCGAGTGTTTTGTCCGGTGTTTGAATGGCATTTCAACTCATATACAGATGTCTTTCTCTCTTTGTCTGACATGCCATCTGGCTTACTTTAAAACTTTTCCACTCCTCCGTGACGGACGAGAACTGGGGTAGTTGTATGGATCCCATACACTTAATCCTCCTCCTCCTCCTGCACTGCTTTGTTACCCACCAACTTTTACTTTCCCCATTACCATCCCACCACCAACAAGCAAGGAACTTTTCCCAAATCCAAGTAAACTTTCTCCCTGTGACAAAACTATCATTATTATTATTAGCCCGGGAGTAGTAGCGAGCGTGTGTATGTGATACGATACACTACATACGTGTCAAGTTTTACTTGTGTGAAAAGCAGCCGTGGTTGGTGGTGACTTGAGATTTTTGACACAAAGAGAAGCTTAACCATGGCGAGAGGCAACAGGGGCAACGGGGGTAGAAAGTCGCTTGGTTGGCTGGTTTGCTTTAGGCAATTATAAAGAAGAAGAAGTGACTGAGTGAAAAATCTACTCTTTCATCTCGGATTTTCTTCTGTATTCTTGAACGCTAAAAATACTCTTACAATGCTCAAAATATAAATGAAAACTTTGGGATAAAGGAATAAGAAGCGAACTTCTTTATCGTGCAGTATAATAATCCGATATGGAGAAGGAGAACTTGGTTGGCGTTGTTGAAAGGATGATAATAATTGGTTGGCTTGAGAGCTATTAAAATAAAGAAGAAGAAGGTTTTATATTTGTCGGATTATATTTCACTACATGTAGAAACGGCTGTACTTACGTTTAAAAAAGTATGTATTGATCATCATTTTTTAAGAAAAACAACATGGGAGCACCCTTCATCTTCTTTATTGTTTGATGCATTTATTCATAAAGTAAAGTGACTCAAGTATAGTTGCGGGTGGGTGGTGGTGGTTTTGGTTGGTGGCTTGGCTGGTGTAGCGGGTGGATGCTCTATTAAGCTCCTCTTTCAAGTATTCTTCTTCTAGGACTCAAAAGGGGGAGAGAGAAAGGAAGAAGACTTGAATTTAATTAGTTGCTCAGCCAGCTCAGCCCAGGTGCGTCATTCTCTGCTCCTGTCATGCCAAACCACTCACTTTTCTCCGCTTTCTCTTTGTGTTCCCCTCTCTCGCACGAGACTAATACAAATCACTTATGCACGCTCACAACTTTATTGACGTTGACTCATTTAGAGATGATTTTAGATTTCTATTTCAGTCAAAATGTCGCGAAAAGCAGGGAAATGGCAATAAAAAGTTTTAGGGGAGAAAATTGGTGGAAAGCTTGAGAATTGGTATCGAGTTGTTACCAATTTTATCTGATAATTGTGCAATTACAGTGTTCATTTTATGTGATAATTGCGCTACAATATTAACTGGTTAATTGTGTCTGATAAGTAATTGCTGCAAATAGCATCATGCTACAATGTCCATAGGTCAGTAATTATCTAATTTTGCACGCACTTTGTTACTCTGTCTGAAAGGATAAATTATGTGTTGTGAAAGGTTAGATTTGTTTGTTTTCGTGGGCGACGAAAGCAGTAATAACGTTAACGAGTCGGACTTTTCAATGGCGAGACGTGTAGCAAGTTGTGTTTGGTCGTGGTCGTGGTCGTACGTACATAAAACGTCTCCATCCATCAAAGCTGACTGGTTGAGTAATTGGCTGAATAAAAGGTTCGTTTGCCTGCCTGCTCACGTGGGCTTTCTTTCTGAACAACAAAGTAAAGTAAAGCACTTATTATTTACTGGCTGTGCTGGTGGTGGGTCTTCGCATCTCATCAGGATGATGAAAGCTGTCTCAAATAATATCGTAATCATGACTGAGGTAGATTGATACTTTTTTCGCCTTACTCGTTTATGTCTTTCTAATCTTATAAATGAGTCACGATGAGGCAGCGAACACGCGGAAACTTGGCAAAGATAATCCTTTCACCACGAGTAATAACGTGTGCCCGGTATAATTTCGTTACCTTTCACCTTTGAAATGAGAGTTCATTATTGATCGCCATTATTATTACCACATTTTACGCGTATTCTATGTACGTCTGGGGCATAGTCTGCTCCTAGGAAATTGACTTATTCATGCATACTCGATGGAAATTGATACTCTTTCAATTTGTGACTTTATTCTAAACATGAGGCATGTTTTGTGCGGATGGCAGCTTCATGCTGCTCTCCTTTTTTGCCCCATCCACCATCTGGCTAAATTGGGTGAATCATGTAAGCAAACAAATTCGGGTGAAATCTATGTAGCCCACACATAGCAAAGCCATTCTCGCATCAATCAAAATAATGGGGCATTATATACTCTGGTCGAATATTAAGTTAAGAAGATGAGGGGGAAGCATTAGAAATCGTAAAAGAAGAATATTTGAGAGAAATTGTTGTCCGTGTCAGTTTCCTCGGTTGCTGGCTGTAGTTTTCACTCTGCGTCCTCCTCCATCTGTCCCTCTCTCTCCTTGAAAAGCATTATCCAATCTCTGCGTGAGTCCCTCAGGACACATTCGACATTTATCTTCCCATTGTGACCGTGTTCACCTCTCATTCACATTCTCTATTCACATCACACTCGTTGAACATTCACACTTTCCCAGACATTGTTCCTCCCTCCTCCACCAGCAGCACCACGTTGGGCGAATACTTTATCTCTCTCGCACCATTCTTCACCAGAACGGGCTTTCTCCCACAGACCGAGAGAAAGGCAGAGGCTGACTTCTTCGATTTTGAACATAATCGCCAATCCGACAACTTCCAGGAAGAAGAAAGTGTAAGATTCTTGTGTATAACATGTCCTTCTGCGGAAGAGAAGTTGGCAACTTTAATATTTTGCACATACATATTCGTGAAAACAGAGATACATACATCGTAGCGACGCGGTAGGAATTTTGCACGGGGAAAAATATTGTACGTGTAATTAAACGAAATTCAGTGTTTGCTCAGAGATCTCAAAGGTATTATATTGTTATTGTAGAGTAGTCGAGTTCTGCATTGATTGCTGCCTGGCAGTTACTTGTTTTTCCTTCCCCTGCGTTGTTTGTGGTGTGTGAAAAGGAATAAATAATGTGACAGTCTATTAGTCCCCGCTGGCATTGTGTGCTTTTCTTGGTCTGACAACAATTTCAGGAGAGTTAACATTTTCCCTGAACAGCAAAGCCCCGTGTAGGGGAAAGCAATTGGTTGTTTTGAGCTGGCTGCTCCTGTATTTGCCATTTATTCATTAGTATTTGCATTTCTCTTGTTGTCGGTACCTGAAATCAGATCGCTCTATTTATCTATGCAAACTTGTATAGGTGGGAATTGCTAAATATGGTGGATAGCGATACATATGTCTAGAGAGCCACTTGAAAAATGTAATTTCAACAACTCTGTACTCGTGCATAGACACGTTTTGTTTGGTCAATGAATGAGAATCTAAAGCCATGAAAATTGCAATGTGCATATATTTTCATCATTCTCACCGGCGTGCGTCTTACCTGTACAAATATCCATTCGTTGTACAAACATATAATTTAATGGAGCCTATTTTTTCTGTGAACAAATTTCAGATTTCGAGAGAAAATTATTTGGAGCTATCTCCCAAAAGAAGACATCCTTCAAGCAAATATTAAAATTAATTGGTGCTCATAAATTGTCCATTGTGTCAAATGCAGTGATCAAATCGATATAACATAGTTGTGAAAGCAAGCCGTGCCGATGATTTAAATGTCAGGACGAAGACGTCATTCTTCATTTTAACCATAGTGGAAAGCGTGGTCTGTGTACTTCACAGCCAAAAATTCAGAGAACTATTGCACCCAAAAAATTTTGGAAACTACTTCGCGGGAGCTCCCAGGAATCCAATCAAAGTTCCTTGATGGGGAATAAATTGAGTTGTAAGTGGAATGGAAATGTGATCCAAGGAAGAAATAAATGTGAATAAGTTTGTATCACAAACTTTGCTTTTCACAGGTAACTGCGGCCCCTTGACTCGCAAACCGTATCGGTATGAGGGTGAGATGCAAAGTAAGCAATATTTACTGACTAGAGCATAAGTTGTAGAAAAGTTTATGAGATTGCGTACACAATTATTAATTGAAATTGTATTTGTTACCTGAGAAGACACCCCTTGGAGCGCAGGGTCGAGTAGCCGGAGTTTCAGCAAACGGGACGGTCACCTGCTTCGCCTTTGGGCCGAGGTTTTTCACGTAACCACTGCTGGCGGTAAGATAACCTTCGATAAAAAAAATGTTACAATTGTATATGAACATATCTAGTGTCTCATTGTCATGTATTTTATGTGGTATAAATCGTAATTCAGGTGGGTCGGTGAAATGGCAACAGGTACGGAAACCAGTTTGTATTATATTCTTAATTTGATCCTCTTAATTCAGTTGTTTTAATTCGAAATACTTAATATAAAACACGAAATCAACAGGTTTCAGAAGATCTCGTTCCCGTCAACATTACTTGTATTCAGGTAATTCGTCACTCATCTCGCCAAATTAATGAACTGTTTCAATCGTGATTTTGTGCCATGTGCAGGATTCCCCAGAGGTCGTGTTTCACATCACAGCGTATAATTCCCAAGTAGACAAAATCCTCGATGTTCGCCTAGTACAGCCAGGTATGTGCATAATACTTATGTTCTTTCATTAAGCAAAATGCAATCAAATATTTCCAAACTTTTCCAATATTCGTCTCATAATTTGAACAGGAACAAAAATTGGCCAGGCTTCCGAGTGTTTTGTGTACTGGAAGGATCCTGTGACCAGTGACACTTGGGGGCTCAACTTCACTTCACCAATTGATGCCAAGCAATTTAGAGAATGTTGCGTAAGTTTTTTTTATTTTTATTATTGAATAACATGCCACAGCATCATCACCATCTTTTCGGTGATACTACGATACAAGAAATACTTGATACGTGCCTTCAAACCAAAAAAAGTAATAACGTGTTTGAACTTTCTCTGCGTGGTGAGAACCTGTGCAATGCACACAATTCTTTCCCCCCTCCAATTGTCCAGCTGTCCTATTTGTCCTTTTAATCTGACCCTAAGAAGCCATGGGTGACATGTGCTGCCCATTCCAAAGAAATTACGCAACACTTTCCTACACTTCTCAGCAGTGTTCGTAGGATCAGATGAGATTTCGATCGTGAGATTTCGCCTTGAAACTATATGGCAGACCAGACTTTCCATCCACCTTGAGATACTCTCTCTCTGCGGGTCTCTGCGACATTATATGTAGGAATCTAAACCCAAGTCAAACATCGAAATCCAATTCTAAACCAAAGTCCACACAGTCGGGAGGAGGAAAATGTCCCAATTCTTTTACTGCCCGAGTGTGAAATCAGGTTAAGCATGTTATCGAGAACGGAATTGCAAGTAGTGCGAATTGGAATCGTTAAACCGTTTAGCTCTCAATTTTAGGGATCTTTGTCACGTCCGATATTTCCTGGTTGGACGATACGATACCCGAAAATGGTGTTGTTCTCGCCTTCGTGAATCTGCATCGCCATATTTTACCCATTTGTGCAAATATTTCCCAGATTCTGCATTGCATTACAATATTTATTGATCGGGCATAAATATTTACAAGTCAATATGTTTCCCGTGTAGGTAAACTTTTGCTGTTTTTGAAAACATTCATACGACAGAAACGTACATTTACAGATATATTTGTGTTAGAAACTCATACTATGCGTTATAAAGTTTGAAATTGATTCCTCTAATTTCCTGCTTTCTCTTCTCACCACCACCACCGATTCACGAACAAGACACCCACCACTAGCAGAAGGAGCCCAGAAAGAATAGCGGAATCCTTAAATACTGAGAGTGGCATTAGAAGAAGTGAGTAGTATCGCAGTTGTGTAAAGCACCTTATTGGATATGATAAAGCAACTATCTGGGATCAAGAATCTGTAATTTTTTTGAAAATCCGACCAAAATTGGATTTTTGGCGAAGGTGTTAGCGCGGCTAGTTTAGCATGGGGCGCTCCTTCAGAGGGGTGTGGCGGGCGCAAATGGGGCCATGGAATGAAATCCTTCCACACTTGTGCTAGACTCACCTAGTACTACGACATATCCAAAGGGCATCAAGATCGGTGACTTTGTCGGTGAGGGGTTGTCCTCCTGAGATACTTATTCCATTTCGACAAATTAGGGGAAGGTTCTTTACAGATTGTTTTCCTAATAAATAACAAGACCAGACAGCACTGCTTTCTTCTTTCTCCCTCCCATCCTTTTTTATTTCGTGTGCTAATGTCTCTATTTCCAGCTAATTCGAGGCCGCCCTGCTTTCTCCTCGGTGATATTATTATCCTTGATTTTTGACTGAGGGAAAGGTAGTGGAATTAAACTAGACGTATATCCTCCTCCGCAAATTATGTCTTATTTTTCCTCATCACCACTAAAAGGGATGTGGTCCAGCAGTCGGTAACTACTTCCGGTTACAGTTACATTATACTTCTGCGGATACTAATCAACCCTTTGTTCCAAACCAACCCAACCCAAAAACTAAGCCACGCACAGACCACCACCACATATTTTTGGCTATGGACGCGGCGAGATGCTATCATCCCGTGGAGAGGAAGTGCATGGGAAAAGCAACCCATCCGAAAAAAAATGAGAAAGATGTTATACTTTCTCCAGTACGAGAATAGGACAGAGCGAGAGGTACACGTCCGTTTGGCAGTTATTTGGGTGGTGGTGGTGGTGGTCGTGGTGTTTATACGCTTCCACAAACTTTCCTGACTTTTTGGTGGAGAAACTTGAGTGATGCAAGGGCTCAACAAATACATTTATTTGGCTTTTACTGGTGAAAAGTGTGAGTTTGAGAGAAACGTGATGGAAATTGTAATCTTCATTAGATTCCACCCGGTGTTGTTCCACCTACACGGCCACATACATACATATCCATGTAGGTACATGCTGTAGTGTGGATGACGGTAGAAATGGCTCCCCCCACTCTACTTTAATTGAATCTCTGCTGTCTTGTACAGATATCGGGGAGAAAATAGGTCGGGTGGCAGGAAAAATCATGAATATTGTCTGCGTATGATTATAATGCTGCACAAGACTTTTTCAACTGATCACGGAAAAGATTCCTCTTTATTACGGAATAAATAATGCTAATAAAAACGTGAATTGTTGGATTTCAGTCACCCGCATTTAAGTTTTCGAGAAAGGCCAGCTCATCCTATTCACTAAAATTAGAAAACAATGCGAGAGGAGGTCGTGGTGGGACGGTTTCCGGATCTGCAAGTCGGGGTGGAAGTGGTCGCATCAACGCTACATCCGCAGCTGCAGTAAGTTATAAATACATAAGTTTTGTAATAAGGTTGAAACAAGGTCTTTGTCAAAGTTATGCATGTAATGATATGTTTCCTATTAATAAATAGGCCCGAAGACGTCCCCTCTCAACCCCCACATCGCCATCTAAACGGGAGCCTCAGTGTACATGCATGACGGGTAATAATTTTAGTCGTTTCCAATACTTAAGTCCAAAAATCCAAAAATATATAACCTGACCGGAACAAATGTGAAATTTTTGAAATTTCTCGTACTGTAAAAATATTAAGAGATAAAAATGAACGCATGAATGTTGAGTTACTTATCCTATCAATCACCCAAATTATCCGCATGAACTGAAATGTTTGATCATTACCAAGTTTGCCCTTTTTCCCCCATAAAACATTATTCTGATTCTTTTATTTTCAGCGGAACAATATGCCAGACTACGCGCAATGGATCCTCGGTTCCGTGGTGAGTTTGGATATTAATTTTCCCCGTAATCAACCATTCATAGGAAGACTTCTATTCTAAGTAATGTGCCTTTTTTTGTTTCCAGCCGCATCCACGCTGCCAAGATCCCTTCCGAATCAAGCCCCACGAGGAGAAGGTGCTGGACGGGAAAAACAAGCTCCCGGAGACAACTATGCCACCATCAGACGTCCCGAAGCGAAAGTAATCAGTCCTTCTTTGAAACAAAATTTATCTCTCTTTTGCAAGACGATAGGGAGCCGGAAAAGCATTCATCCACTAAACTGAACTTTGTATTAAACCAGGGAGTCGGACCAGACATGGATGGAGACGATCGTACTGAAAGAATTGGCAGTTCCCGAGGCAGAGGTTCCGGTCGGGGTGGAAGGGACATTATGACCTCGAAATCTGTTGACTACTCAGACAATGAACTCGCAGCGAGGGACACGATTGAGAGGAAGAAGAGTAGGAGCAAAAGCACGGATGATGTCACTGAAAGAAATGGTCAACCAGGGGGACAACCTGTTTCGTCGTCGTCTTCCTCGAGACGAGGGGTCCTCGCGCAACAACAACAACAAACCGAAGCTCATGGACATCATCATGGAGCTTACTCGTGCGTGGGAGCTCACAATTGTGTTACGATTACTGAAGGGAAATGTATTAATTTTGGTATATTTCTGATCTAGACGGTCTCGTACCCTGCCATCCAAGTCGACAATCGGGACGAACACGACCCCAACGGGGGATGGGCTTACGGATAGTCAAACTTTGAAGAGGTTGTTGAAACCAATTCCATCAGCAGGGTCGGTGGTAACCTCGCCAGAAATGTCGCGGAGGGTGTATCATCATGATGGCTACATTTCCGGTGATTTCAGCTAAAAAATATTTCTGATGTCAATTTGAAGAAAGTCATAATTTGTAATGCTGCTTTCTTTTTCAATTAGAACCTGAAATACGTCACGTTTCAACCCATACGACACAAGGAAAGCGACCCACTGACACGTTGAGACGAATTCATGAACGAAGTACGAATTGCTACATACAAAAATTGACACAGTTTAAAAACAAACTTTTAGTTAAATCCCTTTTCTTTATACTCTGGTCAACTTTTTCCATTACTCGTTTTTTTGCAGGTCGTGGTGTTGGGACGCAGACTGGATATGGAAAGCTAAAAAGTGAGACTTCGCCTCCTTCGGATCATCCCATCTTTGACCACGCGTACTACGCAACCACACCCCCAAGCTCAAGTCCTGAAGGTAATAGAGTCATATAAATCAGTTAATATAATTAGTAATTAAAATCTAATATGCCTTTATTTATTATGAAGATGGAGGTTAGCAGCGCAACAATCAAAATATAAACACATAATTTTCAAACCCCAAGACAAGATTGAAAACTAAAACGCATATTTTTTATTTATCTTCTTTTAGCTCACGGAAGCCCGTCTCCAGGATCTCCAACCGCAAGACTTTTACTTGAATATGAACAACGTTAGTGAAAACTAATACATTTATTTACTGAGCATACAAAATTCTGATAATTTCCTACTTAATTTGTACCCTTTATTATTTCAGACCTTCGAAATACGTTAGCCAAAGGCATGGACGCCGAGAGTTACAGTTTGCATACATTCGAAGCCATAATTTCGCAAAGCAACGAGAATCTTGGTAAGCTATCAAAGTTATTGTTTTTTTTATCGTAATGAAAGTGATACTTAAATGCGAGAATATTTTCTTACGGAGAAAGTTGTCGTCGAATGTACATAAAATAATTATCTTGTGCTGAATTATGCATGTTTGTGTTTAATAATTGTTGTGGACTAATTTTCATGTTATGATTTTTATCTACTAAAGCATACGATGGTGGATCAGATTCTTCACTGGAACATATTTATGTTTGACTCAAGGAACCAATTTATCAAAAAAAGAGCTGCTCACTACTTACTTACACAGACACACTCGATTCACGTCGTCACATTCATCATCCTTCAATGTAGTTTGTTCTTCTCGTGGAATAATTGATGATAAATAAGCAGTAGAATATTTTAGTTGTAGTTTTCTGCGTTTTTATTAAACTTCTACTTCTTATTCTACTCAATTAGTTAGTGTTCATCATAAAGTCAGCGAGTAATGATGATGAGTTTAAAGTAGTCTCGTTGTATGTGTGTAGTAGATGATCGTGTATTATTATGTAGATTAGAAAGCATAGTTGTGTAATAATTGATGGTGGTTGTTGTTGTGCTAAATTTTTCAGCTTGTTCTGCTCTGTAAAATTAAACCATTTTATCCTTTACTGTAAATTATTTCCTGTATTCAATTTTGAATTTTTGAGAATTACAGCCTAATGCTTTTTGATGGAATAATTGCTCTCGCCTTGCGTTATGTGGATTTATTTATTTTGCCCTTGTAGATTTTCTCATCTTATTATCATTTATAGTTTTCCCGATCAAGTTTCTAAATCCATTTGGAATGGTTGCATGCATATGTTGAGCATTGTCTTATTTTGCATAAATATTCATGCACACGTACAAAATAAGTATGCATCAGGACATCTGGGCATTCTAGCACATTGCATACTCATCATGGTAATTATTTCAGACTTACTTTTTATTTATGTACTGAAAATCCTGCGAAAATTGGTCCTCCTGGAGGCACACAAAGTTGTTATTACTTTCATTCATTTAGCCGTAGGAGTCTAATGAAATTCATTGTCTGCGTGGTGGTGGTGGTGTCATTGATTGCACTCAAGTGGCTCCCATTTCCATTAGCACCTTCTTGCATCCATTGGCTGTTGGAAAGTAATTTGAATTTGGAGAGATTAAGATTTCCACTTTGCTCCCTGGTAGGCTGACTCTCAGCTCCTCTGATCAGCCAACCTTAAGGTACTTGCAGCAAGTTGAAAGGAGAGAAAGTGCTGCTGCCTCAAATTCATTAAAGATGAAGAGGTCCAGGTCTCCTGTCAGTTTTAAATTAGTTATTCAACTTGGCAGAATGACAAAGACGGAAAACTCTCAAGAGCTGAGAAGGCAATTGTTCTTTACTGATTGCAATTAACATTTTAAGTAATTTATGAATGATTGAATGCTTTCTCTCAAATTTCAATTTGTTGGTAAATTGTAGTTTTGAATTACAAGAGGTGAAAACTTTGAAAGAATTTTGGCTCGTATTGTGTCACCCGTACATTGAAAATAATATAAATATATAGACCCGGGCAGGTTAGGTGAGGTCAAATGCTCACCAGGTTCACCAATAAATTTTCACAGCAGATAGCGCAATGTGGGAGCCCATTACGGTATCGCGCAAGGAAATAAGTACATGCATATCTCTGGTCTGGTCATAACGTCCATCCATACATAATCCATTCTTCTGTCAGCTCATAACTCACAATTTCCACGAAGAAGTTGAACCCATTGTTAGTCGCACATATATTTCTGGGAAAGGAAAGCAGCAGCTCGCTATGATTTATAACTACTCATTCAATTCATTTCATGTAGCATTATATGAATATGAATACATGCAGATGTTGTGACAGGGAAAGTGAGGACAGGACGAGGAGCAAGATTTCTTTGCATACCTACTTTCTCCCTCGGGTATGCATGTTCACACATTTCCTCTCCGTGCAGGTGCAGGCCGTAGTGATTTGCTAGTCAATTTCACTTAGAATGATGATGGTTTCTGAAGTAGACAGTGGCAGACAATGATAAATGGACATTCGGCCCTATTTACGATTTCCCCAATGAATTTCTACAACTGGTCGAATCCGCGTGACGGGATACAATGAAAGCAATAATGAGTGATGAACTGCTTTCATCAGCCAAATGTTCTCCCGCATAGAATTCGAACGGAGTGAATAAATGTGGTCACTTGGACAACGTGTATTCATTTCCGTGCTTAAATAGTCTGACTCCTGCGCGACAATAAATACCAAAACTCTTCTCTCTCGTCCAGCAATTTACTTTATCGAACCATCAAATCGAACCATGGTTAATTCAGAAACCACATCTCACATTAAGGTGGAAGCCATACTGGGATAAATCATTATTATTACCTACTTTCACCTTCTTCTAGAATCTAACTTAAACTTGAACCAAGTTGTACTGCTGTAGTTTTGCACTGATGATACCTTGTCATGAACAATCGCGTGCACAACCAGTTTTAAATCGAGTATGCATATACATCTGGCTGGGTTAAATGTATAAATAATTATTTCAGGTGGTCACATTTTGATGGTTTTTGAAGAAAGACAAAGTTTTTACTTGCAAAGCTTTTAAAAAGGATTCTTTTGTTTCAAAGAAAACTTGGAAATGAGGACGAAAATAATTGAAAAATAACTAAATTTGAAATTGTTTCTTCTTTGCTTTGCAGCTGTTCCGCCAAACTCGAGATCCACAACTTTACCACGATTTGGACTAACTCGGGAGAACTTTCGATGTTCGCGTGATGTATCTAAAGAGTCGCGTGATTCGGATGTTCTTTCTGGATACTACAGCGATTTCCGCGATCGGGGTTATCTCTCAGATCACAATTCGAGGTAGGTTTCAGTAGCAATTACCATGCCACACCTTGATCTAATGCGGCTGCACTTATGGATATCGTGCATCTACAAAACTTGAGATTGTGGAAGGAAGGAGGATATCTCAAATGGCATGATAAAGTGCCAACAAGCAACACATTTTCCTTCTCCCAGAATATCAGGGAATGATATGATATCGAATTTTGAGCACCTACTTTCACTTGCATACATATGCTTTCATCGGGAGGGTTAACGAGTGGCATAGTGCTATCATCACGACATTTATTGTCACTTACTTTCAGTAGCATGTGCTGTTGGTACTGTAATATTGTTGATATTCATGAGAGGAAGGCGTGGTCGTTCGAAGTAGTGTCGGACAACACTTATTTATTGTTTTTTTACACGGAGTTTCTACTTGTTGTTGCTTTCACCACGATACAAATGCACATTGTACTTTGTCTACGAGTTTTTGTACAGTAAGATTTTTAATAGTTCGAATCTCTAATAATAGAGGCCATATTCTCACAGATTTTTAGTGTCAATTGATTACAAATTTAATTAATATTATATTATTTACTAGCAGTAAGTTTGGAAAGTATACAATTTTTCAACGTTAGAGAGCGTTTTCTCCTCTTCGGATGCAAATATTTTTTCCAAAGTTTAAGAGATTGTGCCTTTTGCAAATTTCATACTAATTAAACTTGCCATCGATTGACACTAATTTCTTGATCACAATCTGTGAGCATACCTTGGGATACCTCCATTGTGAGAGACCTCCATTTCTATGTAGGTGACAGGAAAATTGATCTCATTACAACAACATCCTTTGAAGTGCATGCATACATGCATAGTAATTTTTCTCATCTTGCAGATCGAATTTTTCGCGTAGGTTGACGTACCTCGTAGCATACATATTTGAAAAGAGAGTAAAGATAAACATTCATTTTTAAAAAGAAGACATGTCGATTTTTGTCCAACTTCTTCATCTTCAATCTTGTCAAGATTGATGAGTGCATATATTTTGACGATAATGGTCTCCACTCCACTACACTCGGCGAGATGAAGAAAGCTTCTTATTTTTTGCCACAACTTGCCATATCATTAACTTGTGAGAGCAAATAAATCATGTCTTGTTTCTTCGTATGCCATCCGCGGTTAATGTCAGCAACGTACTTTTACGTAAGACTCGCTCGTGTTTGTTTTGAGCCTATCATGTTTTTGTAAGAATATGTACACACAATGTGTTACATAAGATGAGGCATTTTCGCATCCCGTTTTTTGTTGGCATTAAATTTGATGCCCATAACTTTGAGATGAGATTGCAACCTGTGTGGTAATGATTTTTGGGGAAAGTTGGTTCTCTGGGCCATTCCTCCTCTTTCCTCCTGATATTGTCACCCCACATGTCTCATTTTATACTTGACTTGCCTTTATTTCAGGTCGAGTGGCTTCTTTGACCGACATGAAGGTGTCAGGTCCGGATATTTCTCGGATCGGGAGAGAAGCGGGTATTTTTCAGATAGGGAGGCTCACGCCCACCACAAGTACGGCATGCGACAACAGGCATCTGTCGAATCTGCAGACTCACGATTGTGCTACTTGACATCCTCAGAGGTTAGAAAATTTCTTTTTTTTGTCTGCCTCCTTTGATCATTTTCAGAATGGGTTCCCAAAACCTGGGGGAAAATTATATACCGTTGAACACACTGAGAAACGCTGCACATTAAACGGAATAAGTGAATCGTGTGAAATTTCGCTAATTTATTCTACGGCATCGTTCATGATTTATGTCGATTTATGAGCATTCTGTTTGCAATTTATTAACTGACATGCATCTGAAAAATCTCACATACATTTTAGCCTGATTTAATACACAGTGTATAAAACTAATTTTTAAAAAGGTCTTCATTTTTATGTATATGCACTTGTGGTTTCAGCCGTGGTGGGTAAGTACACGCGTAAGATAATCATTTGTCCTTGTCACATTTACCCTTCTAAACTACCAACAAGAATTGTTGTCCACATAACGAAACCAATTCGCTGGTTCTACTGTTCCCGTTACAAACTACGTGAAACTGAAACAACAAAACGCCCTACTTTCTCCTGTGCATGCTATTACGTCCGTTTAGCCGGAGTAATAACCACTCCACTTGCTATCTCATCTCCACAGTCAACAGTCACCTGCTATCCGAACACACACCACCATTTTCATGCACATTATTATTATGCCTTCCACCGCGACGTGTGAAAACATTGCGGAGAAGAAGAGAAAGTAGTCGAGAGAAAGCAGAGGCGACTGTTTATTGTGCACTCACACATGACACAACACATTCTGCACACTCGGCGTTGTATTCTACATGAAAAGCAGTTCGTAGTCGGAGTGGATGAGAAGTAATTTCACAATCCACTCATGCATGCAAATATTCACAAGGATTAATTTGGCTGAGGGTGAGATGCCTCATGGCTCAGGCGGTAGATATCTACCCGCTATGTGACACACCCTTGTATGTACTTTTTAACTATACGGTTTATGTACATACATACCAATCCAGTAGTCACGCTTGGATTTGTGTCATCGCCATATTTCCACGTTTTCCAACTACCCGTTTGGCTTTTCCAGTATTAGCATGTCACATCGCATCGTGATTCTACTACGGCTCGTGTAAAATGAGAGAGACGCAATTCGAAAATAAGGCAGACACACAGAGGCATTCATTACATACATTTGTCAGTAATGAAGCTGTGGGTGACAACGACACGGGCAATGCAAATTTTGCTTTGAATTTGAAGTTGACTTCCTTCCTCCACTTTACTTTCCTTTCTCTGTGGTCGTGGTGATGATGATGAGACGACAGAACTTGTGTGGACGAGAATTATTACTTATCTCACTCAGCACAAGCCTAATGCTGATGACGGTTATGTGTACTTATCAATGTTACAAATGAGGAGAATATAATGATTGGTTTAGTTTGTCAATCAGCATCATCATTGTGAAACAAAGTGTAAGCTTGAAACAAGAATATGGGGATAATTACAGTGCAAACATTTGTTCTGGAAATGTTGAATAACAGCTTGAATGAAAATCATCCTTTGGTTACATAACATAACATTGTACGTAACACGACTACCTAAATTGGTGCATACCTAAACATACATTTTTCGGCTGTCTGATGTTACGGCCTCCCATTTCTATCAGTCTCAAAACTTTTCTATTTCACCTTCTAATCTCAATTTTATCCGACAATTTTGCACTTTTTTAACGTGAGATGCATACATAAATTGAGGAGTAAAGAACTTGCTTACTCAGTGGAAAATAAGACCAGATAAAAATAACCTGAAAGTGAAAACTATTGGCCCTCCTCCGCACATAAATTCATCCCCTTTTTCTCCTTACTTCCACTGATCGAGTAAAGAAAACAATAATAATTTGCCACCAGACCAGACCAGACCAGACCACAAATCGGATTACTTTAACTACCTGCATTTCTACAAACATAAAAAGTCTCTCGAGTTTCTGAAACTTGACAGATTAAGGCGCTGATCTAATCAAAGGTTGATTATTCTTGGTCTCACTGCTGTCACGAGTGAAGTGAAAGCAGTCCTTGTAAAATTACGCAAGTCAAGGGAATTTCTTGTGTCAAACTGTTGCCTAAATTTAGTCGGCATAAATATTGTTACGAAAGCAGAATGACGACGGTGGTTTGTTGGTAACGTAAGAAAAAGAGGGCGGATTCAGCATTTAGATTAACGACTTGATTCTGCTGCTGGATCCACACGGTGCGAGCGGTTAAAGAGATGCCATCGCATGACCGTGTGTTGCTCCCAAGGTTTCCCACGATATGATATCTCCTAATATAAAATGAAATATGACATGTCCTGGAGGTAATTTACATTATGCTCTGAGTCGTGTAAGTACGACGCGACGGTGTGGTAAACCTAATCCTCTTACGTACATTTTGTGTGTACAAACGAAAAATTCTGTTTAAAAAATACCGGACAAATTGCAAACGCGTCTTTAATCTCTTCCTCTTTCAAAGAGAGAAAGCAAGATGACATGACATAGCACAGGTTGAAAGTGAGATACACTCGTGTCATATCGAATTTCCCAGAGTGCCTTATCTTGTAACGGGCAAAATTGTGTTAGAGAGAGAGAAAACTCAGATAAAAGGATTTTATTTAGTTCCCCATTGTTTGCAAAGGTCGGAATTTCTCACCAAAAGGAAAGGAAGGAAAAGGAAAGCCGAATAAAAATTTAATGTGACCGATTGTTCCATTAAAATGCTGCGAGGATAATGAGATGCCGGATTTACTCTCTGGTTTCATCCGTTCTTTAATTATTCAAACGAGAGCATCACTTCTACGAGGAGGCAGACACCATAGGAAAGCTTACGGGTTAAGCTAAATAGTTTGTGGGTGGGTGGCTGGCTTGGCTGGCTGGCAGTGAGAAGAACTTACATCTTACTTTCACCAGTAGTAGCTTTCTCTCTCCTCTTCTGATCGATTGGCCCACACACACAAACGAACGGAGGAGAGAGTGGAGAGAGATCTGATGAGATTTTGCGCACTTTTCCTTTCGCCCCAAGTCCAACTAGAGTCAAGACAAGGACGGAATTCTTTTGCTGAAGAGATGAGCATGGCACAAAAACAAGTCTCTCCCACCGCCTTTCTCTTTCTCCTTCATCATCATCCTTATTTCCCAGATTGGAAAATAAATGATTCGACAACACAAATATGATAATGAGGCTGGAGAAAAGCTAGAGAAAAAAACAAATGCTGCTGGCTGAACAGACTATAAAATGGCAGAGTCAAATTAGATGTGGAGAAAGAAAAAAAATCTTGACTGTCACGGTTTTTTAAGAGAAAAACTTTATCGACTTTGCTTAGGATAAAAGGGGACAACCTCCTTTTCTTAATATGATTGAGAGACTTGGAAGAAACACTAAAGTGTTTTGAAGTCTGTCGTCACGCATTCTGTTTCTCTCGCAGGATTTGAATCTAGGTGGTTGGTTGGCATTATTTTCTTCACCACCTCCAACAAAAACAGTTGGATGACAAGGAATGAAAGTGGGGCAGGCCGTCGTAATAACGGGACTTTATTGTCATGCTCTGCTTGTCTTATTCATTCCGTGGGTTATGTTATGTTCCCCGTCCTCATGTGCTAAAATTCATCATAAAGTCGTAAAATCTTGTCAAACTTGGTATTAAAATTCTGCTGGGGGAGAAGATAGTAAAAATTCTTCAATTAAGTCAACATTCGTCTGGTGACAGGTTATAGTTTGGATGTAAATTTGAGGTTAGCATATTTCTTTCTGCTGGATTTAGTATAATGTCATATTTCTTCTCATACGCTTATTATTCACGACGCCATTTTCTCCGCCATTTTCTATAATAGCAGCAAAAAGGTGGATGTTCTGTCATCATTAAGTTTTGTAACATTTGTCCACGGGGTACTCCATACGGCTCCGCGTTCAAGCATATTGTAGAAATGACCCCACACACACCTTTTCCCTGCCCTATTTTTCCCCGTCTGAGGTGAAGATGCTCCTCTGACACGTGCAATCAGTGCTGCTGCTTTCACTTGCAAGTGGTTGGTTGGTCGGTCGTGGTGGTCTTTTACACACTGCTCGGTGACCCATGCTCACATGTCGCCATTCTACATTTCAATTCAAGAGCTCGCTTTTCTTCACGGTTTCTCATGTGCAAAGCAAAGTAGACGTAGTAAAAAGTTAGTTGTGAAATAAAGGGGAAAGTTTTGCACGTTTTATATTTATATTTATTATCACATGCAGTGAAGGAAGGCGAGGGTGGAGAGGAATTCGAGTCGCAGAGGGGGAGACCTAAGTTAGTAGTTGGCTCGTTTTGGCATACAATCGCATTGGCATCCGCCATTCATAACTTGTAACTCAACAACACAATAGTATATGTGTAAGAGCATATATAGCGACTTGGCTGGCTAAAGACTGATTTTTTTTCAGCCACCCATCTTTTCCTGCTTACAATGCAATGTATAGTTCAGCTATTATTAAACTTGTGTTGTATCCTTCCTCCGGTCTGGTCGTATTGCCAGCTTGGATGAAAAGTTGGAATGGTGAAAGTAAATGTACTATTAATGTTGAATTGTACAAGGAAAAAACATATAATGTGGCGCGTGGAAGTGACTTTTAGTATTGTCCTTAGTCTTCCCAGTGTACATAGAGTACGTTTGTATCGTTCGTAGGTACCTTGTGTGAGTGAGATTCGCTGTATTATGTAGCACGTAGGTGTATTCACGGTTTGGCCGTGAATGGGGTCGCCACTAAATACGAGATGCAGGAAATGTATGCATATTTATAGGGGAAAGTTGTACCAGGATAAACATGCAGTTGTGACCCCGTCTAATTTTTGATCGTTGTATGTGTCCCGTTATAAAAAAGAGTGATGTAGCCAAAGCTGCTGGTGATGCCGTAAATGGAGTGCAAAATTTGTAAACGCCCCATTCGCCCTATGCATCCAAGGAGGAATTCTCTCTCTGCCTATACTTTCTCCAGAGCTTTCTTTCTCTCTCTCTCTACCGGAGCTAGAGCGGAGTGAATTTCCATTAAGCCCGTATTTCGCCTGGTCGTGTCTGCCCTTTC